ACGATATTACGTTAACTATTTTTTTTTTACTACTGAAAACAATTCATAAAGATCGTTTTATTGTGCATTTTTACGGGTATGAAAAAATGTAATTTATTCACAAAACTAAAAACAATTTCAAACATCTAAAATAACAAAAAAAATACTCAATATTTTGAAAATTTGACCGTATTTAAAAAACGATAGTAGTATTTTTGGAATATTTCAGGTCTCTATGATTATTTTTCACTAAATTAAATTACATAACTATTCCCGTTTTCCGTTTGTTTATTTTTTTTTTTCAGTTTTTCTCCACTATTAAAAAAAGTAAAAAATCAAACTCACCTCTCCAATGTTCCAACTAGACAAAATTTTCCACCTGAATCCATCCTTGAAATTGTTGAGTAAAACAAAATGCCTTGAAAACTCGTTTAACAGACAGAAAAAGAAAAAAGCATCACTACATTTTTTTGTTTTGCCCAGAACATAAATTATTTAAAAACAATACTTACCTATTTTGAAAATGTTCTTCATGGTCGACTTTTTAAAATATAATGATTTGAAAATTTATTACAGCCATTGAAAAACTGGCTTTATGAACATTTCCCACGCATTATGTAGTAACATTATTCACAAGTGTGCACTTATGCAATAAAAATCAATTTTTTTGTATCAAAATAAATTATTAATGTCTGATAGATTTGTCCATGATATATTTTTTAAGGTAATATAGGAACGAAAATTGTATATCACCGTATCAGATAGTGATGGTCAAATGATTTCGTCATGAGGAAAGAGATAAGGATAATTTTTAAAAATATTGTTGTTTACATAATTCGTTTTACAACTATAAAGATATAATATAATATACAGGGTGATTTTTCAAGCTTGCTCACCCCATTTTTTTGGCTAAATTATGCATAAATTCGAATACTGATTTTCGGACTTTTTAAGTGTAGTGAACGACGATATTTTCACATATTTAGACTTTTCACGACAATTAACAAGTATCTTGTGACGAGAACAACTTTGGTTTTTCAAATGAGAATCTATATGTTTTGTTGCAAGTTATCGACCAGATGATTTTTTTTGAAAATGGTGACCCAATATAATCGACATTTAGACGAAAGGTTTCTGAGTTATTCTGCTTTAAATACTAAGGGTAATATCTTTTATTGAGATCGGATACCGATTGTTTCACTGGAGTCGTGTATTCGAAAATATCGTTTTTCGTTACACTTAAAAATTCCGAGAGTCAAAATTTGAATGTACGCATAATTCAACCATACAAATAGGGTGAGGTCATTTAGCCTGTATATTTGATTTAGTATCGAAATGAACTATTTGATTCATCGAGTTTTGCCAAAAATTAAAATTTTTTAACTAATGGTAGAGCGTTCATCGAGACTCAACAGCAAAACGAATAGCGGTTTTAATGTTTTCGTATTTTTTAGTTTTTGGTCGAAATCGTATTACTATAATATTATAATTTGGTTTGGTTCGAAGCACGATGTTATATAGTATGTTTTTATGATGGCGTTAAATCGATTTGGAAATTAAATCGTTTTGAAATTTATTAAAACGGTTTAGCTTAATACCAATAAGTTGTACCTATTTATATAATTTGCATAGTACATTACATTAAATCAGTTTAGTAAGCATTTTATAAACCGATTTAATACATAATTTTATTATCTTGCTAAAATTGAATCAAATATCCTTCGATGTTTAATTTTAAAAAGCGTACCTATTTGATGGAATATAAAATAAGAATTCGATACGAGACTCATTAAAATAACGCGCTATAGTAATTGGCCATGCAAGAAGCAACGCAAAAACGAAAACTGATAAAAAGTGAATCGATTTTAAAAACGCGTTTATAATATTTATAATGTTCATTTGACATTTTATAATGTTCAATTTCTTAAACTACATATCGTGAATATTTTTATTTTGAAAACGGTTGGATGGTTTGGAATCATTTTTTTTTTTTTTTTGTGTATACATGACGAGAATAAGTGTTAATTTCAAAACGATTTGAAATGAAATCGTTTTGACGTCATCATACAAACGTAAGTACCTACGTAACTAATAGTCGTGTTACGACGTTAAATCGATTGCCTTCGAGTTTTAAACCCGAAACGAACATTCTTGGATATTAATTTCCTTATTTGTTCATACGATCTTGATGAATGAACGTTCTCGTACAGATCGATTTTTTAGAGGTTAGAGAGTATTCTCTTCGTAACCTCGGCTGGAGTCTATCATCTGAGGGCGTTCCGATTTAATCGTAGATCATTTGAGTACAATATTTTTAGCACATTTGAACGCCCTATGTGCTAGGTAGTTGTTTTACCCGGGTAAACACGTCCACAACACAATAATTGAACCCGATTTTTAAATTACATATAACCAGCACAAAAACAAAATAAACTATGGACAACGCCGGGTAAACAAGCTTTACGAACAAAAGTCAAGTGTATGATGGAAAACACTCACTTCTATCTACGATCACCCACTCGGGGTAGTAGTGGTAGGTACTTATATATAATCCTCGGACTTTAACAGTGGCGGTTGAGCGCGCATGAGAGTGGGTGTGTGTCGAAAATGTCTTTCTAACACATTCAACTTCTCACTATGCAAATAAATGGGATAGGTATTATTTATGGTCAGAAGAGTGTTAGAGCGAAAGAGGAAGATACGGGGAGTAATGGAACAGGCGGCTGGAAGGAGGTAAGGGTTACCATGGTCCGTGGGCATTTAATCTGGCACGGTCGACGCGGTACGGTAGGGGTTAACGGAGATTGGGGAGATGGAGGCACTGAAGGCATACAACTATATACGAACGGAATGAAAAAAAACTGTTACAATTAGGGAGACACGGGGGGGAGACACGTTTTTATTTTTTCGTTCAATATTGTGCACGGGCAATGAATTAAACGTGGTCAAATGATATGCGATAGTTTTAGGATATAATATAAAGGCCGGTAACAGCGCTTAAAAATGCGTTCAAATGCAGGTATCCGTGTTCAGATTGATGCCACCCGTCTGTATCAATACGGAGAGAAAGTTTGTGTGCTCTTGAATATTTGTTCAGGAGGAACGGATAGAATGGAAAAGAAAAAAAAATTTTAAAAAAAACCAAACAACGTTGTCGGAACAGGCTCGTGCGCGGATCGGCGGGGGGTTTACCTAAATCGTCAATTATTACATACCCCACGTCTACGATACACCATGATAATATAACTGTTATTAGGTTACTACTTTACTTTTTTATTTCATATACTGTAATAAAATTGTAGTATACCAGTAGGGCAGGAGTATTAGCAGCAGCAGCAGCAGCAGCAGGTATGTTATAAAATATTGTTATTATATTTACGCGCGCGGAAAGAACGATGATGGAAACGAACTATGTTACGCATACAGAGTGATTGTTTTATTTCGAATCAGCGATTGTTTATATTTTTTTCCGGAAATTACGGAACCGCCTAACGATCTTTTTACAATATTTACAAAATGTTGCCGTAAATGTTTTTCCGTATACACCACAAACTGTTTGATGATAAACACACATAAACCTAACCAGTACTTAGCAACACAATTGTACGCATCGTTTTGTGCTTGACGGATTTTAATTTGGAAAATGGATGTAGGGTCTCTGTTGGAAATAGAAATTTAATCATTTTACTCGAAATCGTAAAAAAAAAAAATCGGTTGCACTTTTGAAGAACGTTCAAAAACGACCCTAAAGTATTTTGCCTTTTATTTATGACAAATTCAAAAAATGATTCTAACGTTAAACGTATCCTGTAGTGTAGAACCTATAATAAATTATAATACGTTTTCAAAATTGAAATCCGTTTTGTACAATTCCTTCTTTAGTTTTGTCTGGCTTTTCGGTCTGAAACGTCATATTATTCGTAAAACCAGTCGTGCATCTACTCCTTAAATATGGGTATCGGGCAGTGAATCAGTGGAAAATTTGTTAGGATGTTTATTCAAATGCAATCAAATAATTTCGTTAAAGTACACGATGAGTTTACATTAAATGCCAGACAAAAGTGCATTAGAAAAATTGTGTTTGACGGATTTCGATTTTGAAAACGTATTGATTCGTTTTGTCATTAACGGGTTACGTTGGAATTGTTTTTAATTTTAATTCCCTTTATCATAAGTTAAAGACAAATCAATCCAAGTACAATTCTGAATATTTTTCAAAAATACAATTAAATTTGTTTACGATTTCGAGTCAAGCGGTTTCTATTTCCAACGGATCCTAGTAAAGAACCTAAACAACCAGTATCCGTTTTCAGAATTTAAATCCGCCGAAAATTGCAATGCCTACTGTTCTGACCGGATTTCGTGTTTTAACCGACGTACAAATGTACGCCGTTATCTAGCGATCCCCTTGGAAATTTCTTTTGACATTTCGTGAAATAAAATCGACAAAAGTTCAAAACCTATCGGAGTGAAAAATGCCGACAAGACGGCCGGATTTCATAACGAGCACACGAGTATAGTGTACACGTACATATGTACGTACGAACGTGGACTTTATTTACGGTACGTAATTAGTAGCTATTAAAAAAAAAAGGCATTAAAAGAAAAAAAAAAAAAATGAAAATCTCGCAGAAATCGAACTGCCGGGGGTGCGATATTCGATACCCCGGTATCGAATAACGGTCGAAACGCATGGAAAACAGCGGGTCCGCTCGTTTCGACCGCCGCGGCAAGCGCGAAACGCAAATACGCATTCGGAATCCTTGTTGCGCGGCCAATAACCGCGGTCGGCCCGTGATAACAGAATCACCCTGTATATATACGTACGTACGGCCGAACGAGCGCGCGCGTATCCTCTCTCCTCGGTATCCGCAACCCGAACCCCTTCCCCCGGCCCGGGTTTTCAACGGACACCCATCGCGGCGACGGCGACTACGACGACCGTCCGCCTACCCGTCGAGCCGGAACGCGCGCGGCTGCAGCGGCGGTAACGTGTGCACGAGAAAGACCGTTGACGAACAGCTGCCGCCGCCGCCGCCGCTCTTTATTATTATGTGTTATTTTATTTTACTCGTTATTTTTTTTCCTACTTTCCGACGCACTCGATCCACCGTCGGGTCCCGCGCGTAACGTGCGTTTCGGGTTTGTTTTTTTTTTTTCCTCGCATAACGGCTCCGACGGCGACGACGCGTACGACGACCACGGCGACTCGCACCCGCGGGCCAGACACGACGATCGCACACGAAACTACGGCTTTTGACAAGGTAGGTAAACCGCGCACGATATTATTGTATACATTTAAACGGTCGTCGATCGTTATCGTTGGGGTTATCGCAGGGGTGGACTCGTTTACGCGCGCTAAAATATTATCCGCGAAAACCCGTACCCGTATAAGGTACGCGTCGTCCATTAGACGCGCCGACAGTAATAAAGTCGAATTCGAATTGAATGATCGGGTCGGACCGGGACGCCGAGGGCCTGACGCGAAGAAAAAAATAATCTGTCGCGGGTTTTACGGTGACGCGGCCTCGCATACGTTCGGTCGGAATACACGAATGTATTGCAATCAGTGGCGCGCCCAGGAATTTTCAACGGTAGGGTACGTAGCAAATAAGAATCGTGAATAAATCGTAAAATCGCCTTATTTTTCTCATTCATGGGAATTGGTAATTTAAAAGCCGGATCCTAAAAGAAAAGCCAATTTCTAATCAATACATCAAGCTTTTCGTCGTAACTTTGCTGAACGCTGAAATATACACATTTCGATATTAAATTTCTCATTTTTAAGCCAATAGAGGAGGGGGAGATATAACCCCTAACCTCCCCCTCACCAGTGATTGTAATAGTAAGGCACATTGGTTTCCGAGGCTCGGGGTTTGTAAACTATAAAGGCTTCCTTTCGATTTTGTCCAACAGTCAATTGCGTCTGCACTATATCAGGCTTCTTTGAATTTCGTTTTTTAATTTACTATCGTATTTACTCGGTACATTTTTTTTTGTTATTCATCGCGCGTCTTTTTTTACATTAATTAAAACGAACATATTATTTAGCTTTAACTATGAACGAAAATTGTAACTATCCGTAGTATTGGTCGAATTCGCCTACAATTTTTTCTTCTAAATCGAATTTTTCAATTTATTTTCTGTGTGAACTTTACATGCATGAGCCACAAACAGACGATTCTCATTCATTGTCTAAATCATAACCAAGTTTTAATAGAACGTAACGTGCTTGAAAGTCCTTTTTGTATTGTACATGTTGTCAGTGGAATAATCGGATACATACAACGATATTACAACCTTTAGCCTGGGGTCTAGTTTAAATGTAGGGCAGTTGGCCTCCTGCCTCCCCTTCGAGCGCTCTTGGGTGGTTCTATCAAAGAGGAAAAGGGTACATTACAACGCAGATAAAGTTTTTATCTAAATGTGTTGTGAAATTTTGGTAACAATTACGAGTTTAAATGCGAATTGTCCTGCGCATAAACGTTTTTTAAAATCAGATTACTGAGAGTACCTATTACATTCTCTTAAATTATTCTGATTTAGACTATCTGCGTTTTATATAAATACCTGTTTAAACATATTTTGTCCATTTGCGGTGCATAATTAGCTATTTTATTCGTTTTTTAGTGCATAAATATCCCAACCCTAATCGTTACCTCACGTAAAACCGTTACGTGGCCGCAAATAATAGAGTTTCATATGAGCATCCCATCTTACCCCTAGACTTGTCTCGTCTCGACAAAGCTAATTGTTCACGTGAATATTATTTGCGGAAAATTTAAACAGCAACAATTAATATGTGAACATATTCGATATTACTGGTATTAAATTGCAATTAGTTCATGTTTTCCCAATGATGTTTGTATAAATTTCGTTAAAGCTTAAACCATTTAAGACAAAACAATTTAAATCGACTTTTACGTTTCTAAAGCACGCAGTAGTGGGGCAACAATATCCACACAGACTCTCCACTGCTGTCCGTTGAACCGGGAAAAAAAATGATTTCAAAAGTTAACAAAAGTTTATTAGTTTACTATAGTACATGGTTACGGTTGATTTGGCCGACTAGGCGATATGTATCGTTCATAACATTATGGTTTTTTTTTTTTTTTTTGCCTATACTATAAATTATACAAATATATAATTATAAATCTGTAAGAGATAATCTCTAGAACGGTCGTACAATTTCCATTAAATTTACGTCAATCGATTCAGCGAGATCCGTGGAGGATGATGATAGACTACTTTTAGTCCTTCGGTCTTTGGATATTCCCACTATCGCCTCTAAAAACCGGGTTTTATGTATTTTTAGTACGAAATCAAAATATTTTTATAAATTAAAAGGTTACTTTGGTAACACAGACGAAATAAAAACAATCATTATAGATGGTTATTTTGTTGGCACGTACCGAATTTCGTATTTTTCAAATTATACGTTTTTAGTTTAAAAGAACATTGCGTCACACTAGTAGCCCCGATAAATAATACAAATATTAACTGTGTTAGTTTTGCGCATCAATAATAAATAAATAATAATTAGTTTAAGATACCATATGCGAATCAATTAGTTATACAAAAATGTATTACGGAGAACAAACTAAATTTTCAAACAAACATTTTCAAATCTGGAGAAATTCGATAGTGGAATCAAGTCAAATAGACTGCCTCTAATAGATAAAAAACTAACGAGTAAATATTGGAAGACACTAAATTTTAACATGTTACCATTGTTAAACATGATTTTTGGTCAATACTGCGCAAGACAGCTAGTTTAAATTATAAACTCGTGATACCATTATCGTTATTAATTTAAATACGAGTATTCAATAAAAATGTATGATAGCTGATATAAAAAAAAAAATACCGATACAGAAATATGATAACTTCAAAAATTCAAAAAAATGTCCTGTTAACTATTTACAAACTAAGATATTATTAATCCAAACCATATACCTAAGCATTTTTCAGTAGATAAAATTTGTTGTTTTATATTGTTTATTTATGAGTAACGAGTACATCGAAATATTGAATTATAACTATTAAGAACAAAAATATAAAAAAAAAAAAAACAGTTTAATAAATGAATACTTATATTGATTTTTTCCGTTGAGAAATATATTAGGTATATGTACGGTATAATACATCCATATATTATCCACCCTTCAAGTTCATCCTGACTGTTTTGTAAGTTCGTGTACAAAAAAAGAATCAATTTTCCGTAGAATCCCTTAATAATAATAAATAGACAATACAAAAATACATCGTATTGAAAATATGTATACCTAATATTTATGAGCACACGCAGTAATTTGATTTATTCGAAACTTGCGTTGAATTAAACTCATTTTTTCTTTTAAATTCATTTGCATCTCGGGATATAAGTTTAGTATTATTGTTACAGACTATCGTGTTTCGTGTTCAATACTATAATGTTTACTGTATAATGCATTCCTATTGGGTCTACCTAAAAAGTTTATAAAACATTAAATTTATCATTTTAAAATCGTGAAATTTACAACCTACTTCCTTATATGTGTAATGAATAGTAATGTTAGGTTATGTATAAATAACTTCATTGTTGTTGATGTTGTACCGTAATGACGCCGGACAATATGCTAATAAGTAATAATCTTAATTATACTATCGAGTCCAATGAGGAGGAGTCAGAATTTTTTGTTTTTTTTTTTTTTTGTTTTTTGAAGCAAAATGTAATTCCCTAAGTAACATTGAAATATACACCGAATATGTTTCCTCCTCTTTCGTTTCATTATATTTAAACGATATTCGGTATTCTGAACTAACCGAGGAACCAACGTAACACACGCTATACAGATAATTAAATATTTTTTCAGTGGTTAAAAACCGTTATCAACCATTCGTGATTAAGCCATTAAGGGAAAAGCAATTTAAACGTGCACGGGATACTCATACATATTATTTTCACATCCAACTTTCGACACGTTTAACAATATTGCATTCCGGCTATTCGTTTTAAGTTAAACATTTTAACCATACTACCATAAGAAATAAAAGAAGAAAATAATCGTGACACTGTTATAGTAACTTAATGCCTGTATAATATACTAATCGGCTGATAGAGTAAAGTAATACAGTTCTTAATTTCTGGACATTCTGGTATATACATTATTATAGAGAACAAACGTTTACTAGCAGCTATTATAGTTGTCCACGTAGCCTATATACCTACGAATAATACTTAAATTTTCACCTCTAGTACGTATATAACCTAATTCCGTGTAATTTTCTGTTCCGTCACGTAAATGAATATCCCGTAGAAATCACATCGATGGGCAATTTAAAATTTGTTTCGGTAGGGTCACCTGGCGGGCTATTATGGTCTTTGACAATAAATAATGCGGCGATACAACAAAAAGTCTTTATAATACCCTATATGTCTCTACAGTATGTAAGCTTACATTATACGTATATTATGTTGATTTATCACCGACTCTATAATATAATTAGATATAGGGTACATTCGATGGTCTGCAGTCCGTCGGATATTCAATTAATCGAAAACCAAAGTTACTCAGGTACATAGTATTACGTTAACTGAGAACCTCCCGGTGACCTTTCGGAGTGCCACTTTAATAATTATATTTTGAGCATTAATTTTAATATATTATTACGTGAGAATTTACGTTCACAATAATACCTGCCTACATTCAATTATTTATTAAACACTTCACGATGTGAACGTCAACATATTTCAAAACTAATACTTCATGTTAAGTACATAGCTGTGGTAAATTATGGTGTGTACTGTACGTAATCAACGGCGTGACTTCGTAATAGGTATACTTTTGAACCGTCCAATAATTTGTACGCAAACTGTAAATATCGGAGAATTCATGCGACAAACCAAGACACCCTAAAAACCATACAGGCCATAGACATTATTAAACTAAAAATAACAGTGTAGTTATAAGCGCGACAAGTTTTAAAATACGTTTCGTGAACAATTAATTAAAATAATCTTTCGACAATTCTCAAAACGTGTCAAAGCAATTTGTTCGCATTGCACATTATTTCTATACAATAATATTATAACTACTGTACGACTTCTAAACAAAAGCCGTTATTGGTCATTACATTAGTTCATTACATTTTCAACACGGTTATTTTAAAAAAAAAAAAAAAATACACACCTTTTTAGCACACCAACACACCAATTAAATTATATGACAATTTAAACAATCAGAAACATTTTTGTTTTTTCATATACAACATTAACATTTCGTTCTATAGCATTCGTGTTCTCAATACATTTTTCATTATTCGCGGGAAATTTTTGACACATCCAATCCTATTTTAAGTTATTATTTTGAAACCTACTGAATAAATAATTTATTATTTAAACAAACTGAAATAATATTTTCATACCTAATATAAATATATAATTACAATTTACTGTTTTTCATAACTTTAAATTACCTACCTACTTAAATATACAAAATTACTAAAACTTGAATATTAAGTATTTAAATTTAAACTTATAACTATTATCCAACGAATGTAGTGTTTAATTGGTTTCACAAAGAAATTACAAATAAAAAACTTAATAAATAATTAATTGAAATTTTAAATTAAAAAACACACAAATTATATAAATGTATAATTATTAAATATTATTTAAAATACAATAAATATTATTTTGTATTTATTTACACTACTTTCTTTAATAAATATATACAGATAATAAAATTAAGTAATATTTAAGGGAGAAAGGTCACGGAGGTTTATATTCAATCTTATTCACACCCCCGTTTGACCATCCCTACTGCAGTCCTCCTATTCTTATCCTTATTATACTGATAATAATCATTAATTCACATACAAACATCAAATAGGTGTATTCGTTATCGTGGATACATTTAAATATTACTATCGATGAACTCAGTGCAAATATTCATCGGCTGATAAATAATAATATGTTTATAAGGATTCGGTATAAATATGCTTTGTAGACATAGGTGCCTATAGTCACTGGACAATGTAACAAAATCATTTTTGTCACCCAGTGTTATTATAATAGGTGATGGTATCTGTGTCAGAGGAAAATTTCCATTGAAAACTTTTAAATCCGGGCGTCATTTTTTAAAAGTCAATGATTTCCTATAACAAACACGTATTCTGTCGCATCGCTTGTTTTGTCATAATATATTATATAGGCACATTGTGTCGTTTACCTCTCGGATATTACGGATTATTTTTGTCCAATGCACGTGAGATGTGCCCGTGTGCCGCCGGATCGTGCTGGATTCGTCTCGCTCGCATTATAAACACAAAAAAAAACACACCTATATAAAGTAAATGTGAATACAACAATGAAAAAGCCACATATATGGGTGGGCGATGTTAATAAAGGAAGTTGAATAATTTGACTGCCGTGATATTGTGCAATCACGTTCATAAAAATGTCCATGTCAAATACGTCTCACTACTCTATTTAGTTATTGATTTTCCTATTATTACTGTTATTATTAATGTGTCTCAATTCATTTTATGTTATTTTACATTATAATCATGTTGAGCATGTCATATTTCTTATATTTATCTGTATATTTAAGTATTATTAACCAGTAAACCGTGTATTATAGTTATATGTCGACTCATCTGTAGATAAAAATGTAGGTACAGTTTTACCCGATTCTTGCCATATATTCCTTATAGACCCGGTTTGTTAACCTCACGGGGAACTGCAACCTTGAGCCACCTCTACATGGTGTCAATGTGAAGGAATACATAAAACTTTAGCATACAAATGATTGGGGAGAGAGTTGAAAGTTGAAACCCTCAAAAAACACATCTTTGATACTTACACCATGCATATACACAATTTCATCCCCCCGGCTTCATTTGGAGGAAGGGTCTGTAAAGATGTACAAAGCTAAGAAAAATGTCTTCCTCCCAGAAAAATATGATGAAATTATATTGGAATTCAACCAAATTTGTATCACTTCAATTCGCTCATAAGAAAAAAATACTCTTATTCCTGGACTCAAACCAGTGGCATACCGATAAAGTAGCATAACAAGCAATGAGTCACGGGCCTGATGATATTTAGGGGCCTCTAAGGCAATATTTTTAGTTGATGGAAAGATAAAAAAAATCAGGTGATGACCTTTTTTTCTTAGTAATATGAAGTGTACATACGGGTGTATGAAAACAGGCAATGCTCTTTTATCTTTTATCTTTCAATTTGGATGAATTCGTCCCCAACTCGGATTGTGCATTCTCTCTCCCCCCCCCCATTTGGTTATTTTGCCACGGGCATTAGAAATTCTAGTTACGTTCCTGACTCAAACGTATTTAGTCCAGAGGGAGCTGCTAAAAGTACCATAAAAAACATATATATTACACATACAATATAGTGATATAATCTCTATACTCGGATAAATTCTACGAAAAATAAAGGAATAACAGGAACGAGTTTCTTTTTTGAAGAAAGAACGAGGAATAGGAACGAATTCATTTTTAAAAAAAACTTTCCCTGCAACATTGAGTATTGTACAGATATCACATTACTGTACAATATCTATAGTAGTACAATAAAAAGCAAAATATACAATAAACAATAATTTATAATGTAATGGCTTCACTGATCGTGGGTCATAACTTAGTTGTAGACTTGGAATAGGTATAGACTTTCCTGTATATTGTTATTTATAGTATTTGATACAGACACGAGACGAAGGACTTGAAACAATATGCTGTTCATTATAAGACGACCATTTTAGGGAATATAATTGTTTTACTGTCGCGCAATCGATTTCCTCTAATAATTTGGTCTAAATGACGTGAACCCGTTTCGGTTGGTTTCAACGTGCGAAATCACACGAAAGTTCGCCCGGCTCCATTCGGATCGTTCTTCGGTCGTCATCGTTCTGTGAGCGTGCTATGAACAACCCATTGTTAAACGAGCGGAGTCCCGATCGACATTAAAACCTAGACAAATTGTACCTACCTATTTTATGGCCAAAAAAAAAAACTACTAAATTACAAATCTGACTATACTGCGGTATAGTATTAAATCGTCGTCACGAAACAAAAAATATCACGTGAATGGCTGTAATTCCTGCAATATAAGACCGTATTTTATGGACGGTGAGCGGTGACTAACAAATAGATTACCAAATGGAATATGGTTTACAAGAATACGTTGTTGTAATACGCGTGCACAAGAGTTGTGTCATATTAAAATGTATTATTAAGAGGACGCTACAACCGCATTATTAGCTGTATCAGTTTGAAATAAAGAGCCAACATAGCGGAATTACGTTGCTAAGAACATACATTATGTTGTTTGGGTTGATATTAGAGTTCAATCATAAATGAGAAATTTTAAAGAGGTGAATATTTTTTTTTTTTTTTTTTGATGGCTGTACGTAGTTTTTTTCTAAAGAATTGTCGTACAAATAATTTATAACTATTTAAAAAACAAAAAAAAACAAAACGAATACGGCTATAACTTGTTTGTTCCATGAGTTTTTAGAAAAAAGCTAAAAAATATTCTTTACTTTACATTTTGTTATTTATGTTCAAACTATTATTTCAACTTAAACGCTACAGTTTATGTTCGAAGTAACGTAATGTGTCTATGTTGTTCGTTGGTAAAACAAGGACAGCGCATGTGAGTATGTAATCCTCTAAAGATAAGAGGACAATTTTGTAAAATAATATTGAATTATGTACATTTTTATATGAGCCTGAGTTTTGGGGCATTGAATAAAAGTGATGAAATAAAAATAATTTCAGGTAAGCATACTTTATGACAAGCTTGGATAAAGTTATAAATGCATATTATTATATTGTATAAAAGATAAAGCCTAGGGTATACCAGGGAAAAGAGAAAGAATATAATACAGTGGATTCCGCTTAATGTGGGCATGTTAGGACCAGTTACAATTACCAACATTAAGCGGTTGCCCGTTTTAACCGAAATGAGTATCGTTATACATTAGAATCGGGATCAGATGGGATTAGGCGGCTGCCTGCATTGACCGGTGGCCACATTAAGCGAAATCCACTATTATATTGAGATTAGTAAAGTCAAGTTGACTTTTTTAAGATTAAGGAAACCGACGAGACAGTATAGAAGATTATAGATATAGTTTAATTAAGCGTAAATGAAAGCCAGGAAAGAATCGGACTAAAAAAAAAGATGACTTAGGGTTATTGGGGGCGCTGGTATGAGGACATGTATAATTATGATGAAGAAATGGTGACCCAACTTGTGACTCCATTCGGAATAAAGGCAAAGAGGAATAACAAGATAATATTATATCATACTCATGCATTTGTATGGACCTACCTAATTAACTTTCAATGACGACGCGTACATGGGGAGCTAGGAAACATAGAGCTATTTTACTTATATAAGTATGCTACGATTCTGAGTGAAGTTCAGTTGTACATATTTTGAAAAGCTGTATAGTGTTTACGGTTTTCAGTACAGTAGGTATAGTAAGTTTGATAGGTACCTACCAAATAAAAATTAAGTAAAAAAAAACACTCGCAAAATTAAAATGCCTATAAAAAGCTCGAAAATCGCACAAATGTTTTGAACAATATTTCAAGTCTCTATGAATATTTTTAGCTGAATTACAACAAAAAAACAAAATCATAAATTATAAAACCATTATTTTTGTACATTTTCCCATTCGTTCTACGTTTTTTTCGATTTTGCCCAATTATTAAAAAAACTACAAGAAAAATATAAAAACACGCCTTCCATACTCACTAACTAGGTTAAAAATTCAACAAATAAGGTCTTCTGTTGTTTTATTTTGGAGCAATATTTCTGGTTAAAAAATTGAGCCGTATAAAAATTTAAAATATAGGAATCAGTTTTCATTTTTTGTCTTTTTTCTGGTTTTTCCTAATTATTATGAAAACTCGTTGGAAAATCAAATAATTACCTCCCCACTGCACTGGCTAGACAAAGACGGTACACTTAATACGTCGGAGCAAGACCTCTGGTGAAAAGTTGTTTACAGAGAGAAAACAAAAAAAAAAAACGCACACACACATACACCTCATGGTAAAAACATTAGGTCCTTCGCACGCTCCGAGTCTGAAATACAAAATCAAAAATAATGAAACCGTAAATTTCCGTGATATAAGCGTACCCGTTTCGGGTAAAAAAGTGGTTTTCGGACACGAAAAAAAAAAAAAATTATAAAATAACACATCGCGGTACCAATACATTCCTCGGTTAGTTCGGAATCCAAATGGAGTGAAAAAAAGCCTTATCCCCGCCGAAGTACGTCACGTGCAGTCCTTTTGTCGTTGTACGACGGCACATCTGATTCGCCGATTAATTAGTTTCCCGTAGTAATTATCGCCGCCACAACCGATCGCCCGCTGCTCAACGTGATTAATAGGACGAAACACCGACGCCGCCGCGAGTTTTTGCGCACCGGCCCGGACAACAATCGGGTTTCCCCGCGCGCGTAATGTCCTCCGGTACCCCTCGCGCACCGCAACAGCAACAACAACAACAACAACAACAATCTTCGTGTTATTATTGCAGCACCGTGTTCGCCGGCCGAGTTCTTGCAACGGGACAGCAGTGTACGCCTCCCGGCTCGACGTGGCGTCGCAACAAGACGGTACGGCCGCGCACTTCCTCCTCCCAGAAGGTTAGGAACCTCGTCCTCGCGGCAGCCGTCTACGTTTCCTGTACAATGTGCACATAAGCCGGTGCGACTGTATAGAAAACGTGGCTCAAGGTCGCCGGAAACGCGAGACAAATGCCATCGTCACACGGAAAACCGTGATCGATCGCGGTAATTACCACATACATAAATAGGTACCTATATATAAACAACTACGTACAGCCGACTCTCTATGCAACCCTTAGCCATCGGCAAGATGGCCGAATTTCCTTATCCGTGTTTACACATTTTAGGCAAAAACAAGTAGCACACGTCAAATAAAAACGGAAGAAGCTAAGCACAGTATAAAAGAAATCTGTTCGCGTTTTCAAATTCAGACGCCAATACCTATACCGAAAGGAAAAGCCGACGAGTTTGCAAAATCATTAGGTATACATTTTTCAATCACGCACCTAATAATATTCTATTAGTTTTTGTCTATTGTGAAATTGATGTGTAAATTATCGATTTGTCTTTCTCTTTGACGTCCCGAATAAATCGTAACTCCGACGACTACTGGAATTTCGTTTTAACCCCTTATAATTCAAGCGATCGTGATTCGTTTTAACATTTTTAGTTTTGACGGTATTCTCAGCGACGATTATGTAACGCGAGATGGCCATACGTCACGATTTTTCGCCTAGATTACAATAATATACGTATACTCGTTTTTTTATATAGTATGCTATATATATATATATATGTATATATAGTATGCAGTATGCTTTTTTTTTATTGTCCACCAGTATAATCGTAATGTAAGTGACTACTAAGAAATATCATTATGAAATACTTGTATTATATAGTTTATAAGAAGCGCATCGCAGATGAGTTACGACATTACAATACTATTTTATATCGTACGAGCATTCTGTAAACTGAAGTCTGAAGTTGTACATTGAATTAAATGAAAAGAATAAAGCCGTTTCGAAACATCAATAACACAAAATAATAATAATAATAAATTGATATCTACATCAATAATATTATTGTACTAGTGATGACGTTTTATTATACGAACTATATTATATACCCAACAGGGTAATACTATAGAAATGTTTCAAATTATTCACGAGTTATTGCACAGAGAAAATAATAGGGCAAATGGGTATAATATCGCTGTTTTTTTAGAGGGAAGTCTGAAGGGAGGATATATAGAGTAATTCAATGGACACTTGTTCGTGACGATAATCCTTTGCAGAGAAAATGGAAAAAAATTACCTCCCCGGTGAACCGATTGAACCAAAATTACTATCAGAAAAGTCGTATAAAATGTTTGTATTGGAGCGAGATTTTTGGTAGAAAATTCGTTTACAGAAACAAAAACAACCAATCAGTGGCACAACCGAGGGAATGAACTCCGATTTCGAACGTTTGGACCATCCCCGCTTCCTCTAAGACAAATCCTGGTCGTGCCACAACCCGTATACGTGTCTTTCGCTTCATCCGGGATCTAAAGTATATATTTATTTTTAGTTGGTACTCTCGGTGTAATTGAATCTCGAAACGATGTCTTTCCAGTCTAAATGATAATATTAACGCTGCGTGAAAACATAGTTTTATTGATGACAATAATAACCGTGTAAGTGTCATGGCGACGCGTTCTGATTTTGCGAAAGCAATTTAAAATGCTATTAACAATATAATTGTCCCTAATCAATATGTATATTTTGTTCACGATAGACGTGCAGCGCACACCTATCGCTACGCCGTTACGCATTTATTGGATTCGTATCGTCAACGTCACGATGAACAATGATCCGATTTTTTTTTTCTTAAAAATATTCAACATAATAATTTATATGTACTTTAATAGTATGTAGGAAGGTATTACGTACCTATAAATCGAGTACAGATGATAATAAATTGGCGCATGTATAAATAGAGACGCACTGTATTTTCTATAGCATACACGTAGGCGCAATAATAATGATTGTAAACCATTCGTCGTAGTTATTATGCGCTGTATAATGGAGCTATAATGTTTTTTAAATGACTTGGCACATTTTTTTTTCTTTATGATAATTTAAACCAGAATATATATATAATATATCGATAATTACGCGATTTGTAAGGTAGGTGTCGGTAGTTAAATCTGTATAGTAAATACCGGATCAAATTCGGTCGAATTTTACTTTAATTGTATCTTCAGACTCTTCAGTATTGGGAATTACCTACATTTGATCGTATGTATCGACAGCTACTGCAGAGCTATAAAATGTGATTTATTTTGAATATTTTTTTTTTCTTTGATATTAAACGCGACGGTACTACTGAAATTGTCGTTATTGTTAAAAAAAAAAAGTGAAATGTAACGTGGTTGCACCAAATTTCAATAAAAAAAAATTAATATTGAACACTGAACGCCACGGTCAAAGTATCAATTAAAATACCTAAGAGGTCAGTATGGATAGAAATTGCAAGGGGTACGAGTGTAAACTCTTCCCCAAATGGTGCCCCCCGCAGGACAATATCTATATTATAGGTAACAAAGATAATAATATTATGTAATATACTTAGTTCATACAATTTTTAATCACACATTATATTTTTCGTTTTCATCGAAATAGTTTTCAATTGGACGTTGTATTCATGTGTATATAAATCCACGAATACGTTTGATTAATAAAACAAACGATTTACACGTACATACCGTTGATAATAATCACGAGCTATGCTATTATCCTTGGTCTTAAGTCAATTTTTGTTATAATGTTTCCCGTTAATTTTTTTACCTAAACGACATAAGTATGTATTTATATTCGAACACGTGTTATACCGAAAAAGCTAGGTCGCTACGATGTAAATTTCGACCGGCACAAAGACATACAAGCCATTTAAAACGCCATATATTCAGACCAGAACATTTATAGTATACGACTACGCTTATTGTTATGCCGTTTATTAATATTCAAGATTTAATTTGCTCGTACCCATTGAAAAACATACAAAATTGACTGGAGCCCTTTTTCCCTGAGATCAAAGATGTACCCATACATCTTGTACAATAATCTAATGTCGAACAATTGTATACGCCAGTACATGCCATGTCGCCGTGATTCAATTATCTGAATTATTACCGTGTTCACGAGTTATTACCACACATATGTATGAATAATACGTGTGTGAAATAACGAAGACGTCTGATATAATAATTAACGTACATTATATTATGTTATTATAACATTAACGCGTTATACCAGACGACTTTTATTTATTTCCCCCCTACCCCCCTCCCGTTTATTTTCAACGGCGTTTTCGTTTTTAGAAAATAAAAGAATAAAGAAAATGTACACAATATACGCATTCCTGCATTTTAATATTATACGTTATTTCGTTGTCGCCATTTGCGTCGGTGCACCAAAGTGTACCGGATGCAATTACACGTATGAAAAAAAAAAAAAAAAATAACAGGTCTTCTTTCCTATCTGGGTAACATCTCATCATTCATTCTTGTTCGCCGTAATAATTCCGACGCGGCTTTGATACGAAACCACGCTCAACATAAATCAGTGCGTCTCAAAACAGTGCCTATTACGGTGAGTACCTATCGTTCTGGAGATATTCGTCGTTTTCGTATTTTATATGCAAGGATAATATTATACTAATACATGCCCGAAACACGTAGATAGTATGCATTTTATGTCTAAAATACTATACAAACTGTAAAATAATCTATTAGTCACGTGTCGATCTGAATACGTGACACGAATATTTTATTTATTTTTTAGTTAGATATTTTCTATATTTTCAGAATTTACGGAGAGATAAAAATAAACAATTCTTGTTGACACGGTATAAAACGAAAGTTTCCAAAATAATCCTAACAAAAAGAGCTGCTACTGCTGACGGATGTGACACAATTAGGGGTGGGAATTTGGGAAAGTAGGATACAAAAAGTTATTTAATTTATATCTGTGCGCAACGATTGCTGACAAAGCATAGTTCGATTAAACATGAAACATGAAATGCCGTAGTTTTTAATTTTCAATTAAAATTTCTAGATACTTTAAACGTACATAAAATAACTAATATAATATTACACTCAGCTTCTTTTTTTTTTACCACTGAATACAACTTGTAATGGACCTCTGTACAATTCTCAAACGTTTCTGCTCAAAAAGAATAATTCTATCCACATAAAACCAAATGCTACGAAACAATCGCAAAAATGTTAAATGCCTAAAAATAGCACAACAATCACTAGAAAAGGCCAATTTAAGTAATCCGTGAAAATGTCGGATCTTCACGATTATTTTTAATTGGATTACAACATAAAAACAAAATAAAAAAAAATAAAACTTTTATTATTTGTTCGTTTTTCCTATACGGTTTTTTTCCCCAATTATAATGATAACTCCTTAGAAAATCAAAAAAAAATTAACGGACCAGATCCAAAATGCTACAAAAAAATTTTTATTGTTTATTGACACAAAGGAATAATTAAATTTAAAAAATTGCAAACATCACAATAAAACAAACACATGTCTCGTTCCGTTGAGAACTTAAAAACGTGTAGGCGCAATAATTAAAATGGAATATAATTATTTGAAATGCCTTAAAAAATGTACTCTTTAAACGATGATACTCTAGCGATTCATTTTGTATCCACAAATTATCATTTTTTAAATAATATTTCATGTTTTAGTCAAAATGACTGAATGGCTTAAATTTTAAAACCCGTATTCAAGGTATACGTGTTGGATGAATGTCAAATTGCGGGCATTAATATTATTCGCTCTTAATTGTTTGATTACCTAGTTGAATTACCTATGCTGTATAAATATATGCGTCATGTACTATAGATTATAACCAACCAGCTATGGGAATCGTACCCCGTTATAGTTACACACGAATAAACTCGATTCGGCACAAATATTACAGTGCATCGAATTTCACATAAATACTTTCTGCCTTAAAAACTAATTCCACTAGCGTTTACCTATAATATTATATAAGACGCACATTTTTGTTCGAAACGCGTTCTTATAACCGTGTACTTTATAGAAAATAAGGCTTCTGTAATTATTCTATATATTATCAATAATGAACATTGAACACGAACGTTTCCGGATATTGAACACCGGATTAACCAAAGTAACTGTAAATTTAAATTATTATTTTTTTTTTTTTTTTTTTTTTTTTATATTTGAACAGTGAGCACAGCGAGGAATTTATTAGGTTTTTAACAAGAATGTTTAGTTTGTTTCTGGCTATTGACAATTATTCTACCAGAAATTTCGTTCCGAGTTTAATAATTTTTTTTTTTTTTTTTTTTTCTTACTCCTATTTTATTATATTTGATCACGTCGTTATACTCGCACACCGGATTATTATTGTCCATTATGTACGATCTATTGACTATTTTTTACTTGAGGTTTTTTGTCGTTTAATTGTTGTAAGTCTACGAGGGGCCCGCCACGAGTTCGTATAATTTTAAGGTGTACATTCTTTTTTTTATTCGCGCTATCATTTACGGCGAGCTGACTGTAGAGGTTAAGGTTATAACGCATACCTACCAACTGTATAGCCGTCACACCGTGACGGCGGCTCGCAGTGGTTGGATAAAATGCGTTGTGCGCGTGTTTGTTTTTTTTTCCTACGGGAAAATTACGTTTGATACGAAACGATAAACATAATAAAAAAAACAATACATTTATTTAATCAGCAATAGGATTTTGTGACGGCGGCGCCGCGCCGTGACATTTTGTCATATAATTTCCGGCAATTGAAATTATTCTTTTTAACTTTACGAGCATACGCTGTAACTGTACCGGGAATCCGCAAAACAATGCCTTACCTATATAATAAGAAAGTAAAAATTATTGTTCTTATTCTATGTTATCCGAACGGATCGTAACATCATACCTATATAATATAGTTATTACCCGCAGTTTTAATGTAACTATACTGAACGGGTTGAATGTAATTATTAATGGTAACAATAAAATACAACATATTTCACTTGCAAACATTTTTATTAAACAGCGCGTCGACGAGAATGCACCCGAATGAATTACACTCGAATAATTTTATCGGTAATGGATATTGCTGCAGTACACTCGTATATATTTAAATAATTCAATGCCGGAAAATTACGGTTATGTACAAACACTTCAAACAAACAGACTGTCGTGTACATTATTCTCCGTCAATAATACGGTTTTTAACGGATCGGATCGAAAACCGCACATTCATACCGTATCCCAAATACTTTTCAACCGTTTCATATTATAACTCTGCTTCCGTTAAGGGTCTTCAAAAACAATGAACTATTTTTTTTATAGTATATTTTATTTTCGTTACCAGCAATAATATTATTATACTCTTGTATTATTTCTAGCTGAGTGTATTCTGTTTTATTATACTATTAATAATAACCGTACATAATAATAATATTTAAATAATATTTTCTATACATCCATAGCATTATTCTCAATGATCCATTCAATATTATACACACAAACACACTCACACACACACACACACACACACACACACACACATCCAATTTATTTGCTTTATGATTTTGTATATAAAGTGTGCGCTACAAGAAAATACATTAGAAAACACAAAAAACGTGTCACAATACTGTAGGAAATAGAAACAAATCTCCTCCTTAAGAGTCTTGCTCGTAGTTTTTTTTACTAATATGTTAACAATTGCAAATAATTAATATCATTTACAATTGAAAAGTCTTAATAGTTCTAAACAAAAAATGCATAAAAAGTTTTAATTTTTGTGTTAAGGTGTCTGCGCACCACCTGTTTTTTTTTTTTTTTTTTTTTGTTCAAAACATTATCTCAATTTTATCATGATAATAATCTATTTCTCTCTAATCTGGAAAAAGAACATGGGAGATATGTTCCTCTCATCCGCCCTCTCATGCAGTGTCTAAAACAGGTCTAGATGAACTATTATTGCTCAACGTAAAATTGTCTTTCATTATAATGTTTGTTATGTTGTTAGTGATTGTCAATTGATGCTCGTTGACTAGTAATAAAATATTGTCGTGATTAGTAGCCAAGGATGGCTAGACATTACCAATCAGTTGTATCGATTTTTATTCGGGTCGCTCCGATTATAATACCTTATATACCTATAAATATACGAGTATCGAGTATATATTAAAACGCATAGGTGTTATATAGCGTGATAAGCAATATAGAATGTTTACCACGAAAAAAATAATACATTTTTTTTTCTTCAATAGGAAACCTAAAATTACAAATATTATACTCGTATCATACGCATAAAGTGAATGAATATAATACTAACGAGTTATAATTTATAAGAGACGCCACACTAACGTATGAAGTCGAAAGCTATGTACATATCGATTCAAATTCCGTGCTCTGTCATTGTTTAGTAGTGTCATAACTCGTAAGACGAAATTACTTCACAATATTTATGTCGTAATACAAAAATGTAAATTATAAATTTTCCACTTAAGTAATGAAACCTGACTTCGTAATACTTCCATTTGCAGATTTGTTCGTTAAATAACAAAAAAAAAAAAAAATCCCACGCTCAGTTATACATGTCAATAATAAACTAGTATCGTAATAACCATTGGTGTGCATTTGCGGACGGATTGTGAAAAACCAGTTTTCAGTGTCAATAAGTAACCTCCGCGAAAATATCTGTCTAAAGCTCCAAACAAAAATATGCTTAACAAATCCGTATTTGTGCATCTAAAACCATCATGATCGGATACATCTGTCCTTAGAAATATCAATAAAAAAACATTACAAACATGCAAAACCATTCAATGCGTACAACAGAAAAAAAAAAAAATAGTTGATATTGCTGATGGGTGTGCCACTGTTGTAGGTATGTAGGAAGTTCGTAAAGTAAAATAAATACAAATATATACATGGATTAATTTAATTTGTATATAATTTGATAAATCATTGCCGAGAAAAAATAATTTTCACTCTGTTTTGAAATTCCGTATTATAAAATTGTTCCTCAAAGTCCTCAAAGCGCTTATAAACAAATTATGCTTAGCTGTATTACGCAGTTTTACGCATTTTACCGCTAAGTCAAACTATGATGAATTTCTTGTTAAATTTTCGATCATTTTTAATGAGCCAAAACAATTTTTATAATACTAAATAAAAACTATAAAACTCAACAATTTTAAATAGCTATGAATACCTCAAAAATCTTTTGAATATTTTGAAAATTAAACCATTTATAAAATTAGCTAAGTAATTGGTAAAAATTAAAAATGTCAGGTCTTTACAATTATTTTTCACTGATTTACACAGAAATAAAACAAAAACGAGAATAATAGAAACCGTCAATTCGTAAATTTTTTGCCAATTATTAAAATAACTATAAAAAAATAAAAAAATGACCTACTCGATGTACACATTTAACAACAAAATTTTTCTTAAGTATAGAGAATAATTAATTAGTGTTGATAAATGAAAAAGGAGAAATATTTTCATTTATATTGTATTTTAAAACCCGAATAATTATTATACTATAACAATGTGGTTGAAGTGATGCATTTTTTACTACATTTAGATTTCTTAAATGTGCATATACAAGTCCAAATCCGATTTCCATATAAAATAAATGAAAAAAGACTAATAAACTGGAGTAATAATAAAAACGGTGTTTGCTGATGGGTGGTGGCTGTTGTAGAATAGAATGTTGGGAAGTTAGAATTTATATCTGCACGCAATGATAAACCATTGCTAACAAAATACGATTCTGAGCGAAATTCGGTTATACATATTTTGAAATGCCGTACTATTTACGAAAATTTAACCACGACCAGAAAAGTTGAATAAGTATAAGTGGTATAAATATTCTGTAAAAATTCCAGGTCTGTGAATATTTTTATCCGAATGAAAACACGAAACTTCGCCGCATTTCCTAATTATTCTGGGTTTGAAAACACGACTTTCTTACTTACCAATTAAATCCAAAATGCAACAAAAAAAGGTATTTTGTCTTTAGTTTAGGTTAGGTATTAGCTTTCGATTAGAGTAATATTTCTAGTATAGCTATAGAAAACATAAACCGTAAAAATCGAAAATAATGATATCGTAACGCCATAATTTGTCCAGGTTTTCCGAATTAGTATTTTAAAAACTGGTTGGAGAATCAAAACTCACCTTTCTAACTTAACAAATAGATCCAAAATGCAACAAAGCGTGTATAACTAAACTTCACTTAAAATAGAATTCCGTTGGCAATGGTTTATCATTATAGATACAGATATAAATTAAATAACTTTATGTATTCAACAGTATCAGCTCTATTTTTATTTTATTTGTAACACCTTTTAAATACGAGTTTTGTTTATGAACAAAAGGAAAACTCATCATGTACTTCAACTGAATAAAAAATCAGCAACAAAGTAATCAAAGAATTTAACTAGGTATGTTTTCAAAATTAAAATTTAGCGAGAAGTAATTGATGAATTCTATTCCCACTTATTGGTCAAAAACGTCATATTCGTCTGTGAAAATGGCTGTACCCCAACCCCTTAAATTGGGGGTCAGATTAAACGTGCGTCAGATAAATGAAAAAGTTTTATCGTTAAGATGGACATTATAGGTTCAAAAATAAGTTTTAGATATAACAAAATCGGGCTGAAATTTGGGAAATTGTTTCTAATCACCGTAATATTTGAAAAATAGCGCCTATTATCGTACAAATATAAATTTTAAAATAATTATTAATATTACCGATAGTATATTTTATAATAAATGAACAGAAAAATTCAAAATCATACATTCGACCGGCCATCGGTTCCTTCATTCCTTGCGTGTACAAATAATTTATTTAGATTGAAATTCACCGTATATTATATTTATGAAACAATCGAAATTTCGAAACGCATTATTGTCGTCACCATCTGCAGTGAACACGTGACAGCGTAAAGATTAAAGGGACGGCAAATTTGAACATGATAAACATACACCGTATAATGTTTGCCTATAAACTTTTCTGAAGAACCCAAGATCCCTCGAGTGTCGTCATAAGTTTTCGCCCTACTACTATTACTTGTAGTGCGTTCAAATTAAAATTCGAATACATTTTCGGAAACTTATGCAAACATACCAAGCGACGAACAATACCAACAGTAGTTATAGTTCTTATAGTTGCCCGCCAGTCACATACCTAATCCCGTAATTTCCCTCAAAAATTTCATAGAAACTAGTGGAGTATTTATAGGGAGGGGGTTCATGGATTCCGGATCCCCTAATCATGGTTCGACCTCGTGTCTTTGATATCCATTATCTACTACACCATATTAAATTTGATATCTCTACGTAATTATAATAGAAACATTTTGTATTATAATAATATTATATAAATTATTATTATTATTTATGTTATCAACTCTACAGTCTGCGTAGATCAATAACAAATAGTTTAGCCATATAGGCGATAAAATAATACAAAATAAATATATTTTTCTGAATCACAAATAACGTTCGTCTACCAATACAATCGACATTCCGTGGACTCAATCCAAAATAGGCACCGATAATATACACGCGCTGTTCGCAGGTATCGTTTTGTTCTTGTCCGTACGTATGTTAGTGCGTGAGTTTGCGGTCCATCAGAAGCGGCATCATGCGATATGGTGGATAATCGGTTTTAGAATCTAAACTCACACACACACACACACACACACACACATATATATATATATATATATACATAGATTTATGAGCAATATACAAAATAAAATTACGCATGGAGACCAGTTAGAAAATAATGCAGTCATCACGTATACCGCTGCCATCACTAGTATAATAAAATATAAATATATAATATGGTTGATGACGATTGACGACGTTTCGCATTAATATTTTTAAAAATCGTGTCGGCGACCGCGTTTGAGATAAAACTGCAGCTCAGCTTTTTGTACACACTGTCTAGATAAAAAAAAATAACAGTCCAAATTCGTGTTTGTCCGTGGTTGGTACGTTCTGTTCATAGATATATTAAAGATATGGTTAAGCCATCAGTAGTATTTTTGTGGTCGTGAATATTGGCTAACACTGTAATCAAACCAACGATAAAAAGACCTGATTTACCTCTCCTATATCCTATGCTAGCCGTTCTCCTAATACCCGTCCCTCTTAAACCGCAGTCTGAAATGTACGAGTGACCTGTCCACATCTTATAGATATGAGTCCGTCCGTCCGTCTGTAACGCTTTGTTGATTTACCATGACAACCAAATATAAAATCCATTAAAACCCATCATTTATAAAACGAGCATACAATCAATCTGCGGTTATAGTCGACAATAATAGTGTATAAGACTACAAAATCGTCTCTTTTTATCAGCAGATACCTGTAAAAACTATTTCACAGAACGGCTGCTAACTTAAATAAAAGTATAGTTATCATCAAAAATAATTTAGTACATACAATAGGTACCCATACCGCAGGAATACTGGTGAAATTTGGATAATTATACAATTTACAAAGTACCTATAATATAATGTAAATGTGTAAATAAGACGAAACTGTTGTAATACTTATACCAAAATTAAATTAACAACGGTACCTATAACTTGTACACCCACACTAAAATCTATAAGTCTAACAAATAATATTGCAATTTTGAATGACCTGTATCAATAAATTATATCATAACGGGCGTTATTAATAAAGCCCATACACGATCAGAATAACCAATCACATTTTTTTTTTTTTTTTATTTTTTTTTTTCTGAAAACATAATTGTTATTTATTTGAAACTGTATAATATTGGCATATTAACAATCAACACAATATTGGTACATTATTCTGATCGAATTTATATGAACTAAGAAACAAAACAACAATCGTTTAGCTATAATCATTTTAGTCCCTTGGCCTCGTACGAAACCGAGCACTTGGCACAACTTTGTATTTTCATTTTATTTCTTAATCGCAATACTGTATACTATACTACACTGTTAAATATATCTGTAACATTATTTTGTATAAGAAAAACCATTCCCGTCTAATATAATATTGATTCCGCCTAACAGTTTTTTCTATGTGTTTTTAGGATCGTTTGCTGATATCATGAGTTCTACGGCATCTCAAATTAGTGACTTCAATTTATTGAGACGATGTACCAAAAGGTGAATACTGTATAAAAATACCGAGATTAATTATGTCTATCGTCCGTGGTCTAAAATCGTATTCGTATAACAATCGTGACTGGCGATTAATATAAATAAATTACATTCAGTTTTGGTTGTAAACGTCTTAATTAAAGTTATAAGTTCAAAATATGTAAGCAATTGAACTGCTTTATTGGTAAATGGTAACAGAACAATTTAAAAACCGGAAAAAAACGTATAAGAAAAACGAACAAATATTTACGGCGCGCCGTTACCGATTTCATTATTTTAAATTTTTACGATTTGTTTTCCACCAGAAATATTGCTCCAATCGCGAGACTTTTTTTGTTAAATTTTAAATATAGTTGGTGAATAATAAGAAAATCGTTTTTTTTATATTCTGTGTAGTTTTATAAAAAAAATTGAGTACAACCGGGAAAAAAACTAAAATCAACGGGAAAGCTTACAGAAATAATTGTTTCTTTATTTTTAATTTTTCTTTTCGTTGTATTTCAGTAAAAAATATTTGTAGAGACTTGAAATTTTGACATAAAATTTACCTTGGCCTTTTCTAGGCGTAAACAAATTTACAAAACGTATTTGATCTATTCGTAGGCATTTTATGTTTTACGTACCTAGTTTTTTTTTTTTGGTAGGTACCATATAAATATAATTTTTTAAATAATAATTTGTATAATTGTTTGACCAAACAAAAATGCTTGCCAATTTAACAGGAGGTTTGTTATAAGTTGTACTTCGTGGTAAAAATAAGCTGAATGTTATATAGAAGTTTTTTTTTTTTTTAATAATCATATTAAAATCGAATTTTGATGAAAATTGTAAAAATCCGTGCATTTCAAAACATGTATAACCGAAATTCCCTGAGAATCTTATTTGATTAGCGAATGATTTGTCGTCACTGACAGGTATAAATCAAATAACTTTATTTACCTTTCCAACTTCCCATCTACAACAGTGACAGAATCGTTCCTAGTATCAGCTCTTTTTTTACAAATAAATATTTGGAAAAAATATTACATTCAATTGAATAAAAGACTAATTTAATAATTCTGTTTTCCATTATTTCAAATGAAAATCGTATAACAATCACTAATCAATGTAATTATTCACCTTTCGAAATTCGGATCTAAGTAATTTAGCACCAATAAATAAAATGTGCATGTTGCTGGCCTTGCCACGGTAATTGAAAAACAAAATAATAATAATAATAATAAATAAAACATATACTCTTAACTAGTGGGTATTAAAGAAAATGTAATAAAATGATCGGCCTTCTTGATTAAAACCCAAAATATCAAAAATAGGAGAAATACCTCTCTATATAATATCATTTTGATACAAACATAAGATAGTGTTATTATTTTACTTAGCCTACTTGCTTCGATTTTGTAACACAAATTGTTAACACACTATTTGCCTTGAAATTACATATTATAATTACGATGAACTACGCACACGCAGAATTAAGCTATAATTACACCAACTCAATTTTGATATTATAATACGCAGCGTTCATGTATAATACGTGTGTGAATGCGAAAATGTCGAAAAACCTGTTTACTCATACTCAATCTGCTGTCGTTACAGGTCATCAAAGAAGAACAACTCAACCATCTCAGAACTGTACAACAATTTATACGCCAGTCAAATGGTGGCAGTCAACCAAAGGGCCAAAATGTCGCCTCAAAGAACCATTTCACTGGTAAGTACCACAGGAATAACTACTGTCAAAAATAACACCAATTAATAGGGATAGGTGTTAAATATTTAATGCATATTTTCAAACCATTTAAACCATTTAAACGCAACGTATACTAACGTTCAATAACTACTAATTAACTTTTTTGATTTCATGTTTTTCTGATTTTATTGCGATTTTGTAAGTTTCTACAATAATAAGTTAAATTTTAGTTTTAAAGGCTTTTTTTTTTTAAATAATTATTATGCATAGTAATATTTTAAACGCTTAATTTAAACTCTATACAATTCAAAAAATAAAAAGAGCTGATACAGGGGATGGGAGCAGCCACTATTGTTGGTGAGAAGTTAGTAAGATAGAATATATAAGGTTATTTCAATTATATCTGTAAGCAACGATAAACCATTGTTTGACGAGAGACGATTCCGAGCGCAATTCGGTAATACATAATTTGAAGTGCCATAATTTTTTTTTGGCGATATTCGTTTAAATTTAATTTAAAAAAAAAAAAGTCGTCCGATGATTTTGAAAATTTTATCACGTCTAATTAAGTCCAATATAAATATTATTACCAAGTTCCAAGTCTCTACGTGTATTTATAAATTAATTACAGCAAAAAATACTCCCGAAAATTAAAATTCCTTAAAAGCTCAATAGTGGCTCAATTGTTGACAATAATATCGTATTGAATTAAATCAAAAAAGTGATTTTTCGGTAAAATCATATTTTCTAGTAGAAAACGTCACTCGTGTTTTTATAAAATATTAAAATCGTGAAATTGTACGTTTTCCTACGTTTTTCCCACTTAAGTGCTTTTATTTAAAAAATGACATCGAAAATCAAAAAAAGACTTCTTTAAAGTACAATTTAAACAACTTGAGCTTTCAGAATAGTTGCTACACGTAAAAGTCGGAGCAAGTATACTAAAAAAAAAACGTGTCCACAGACAAGAACAAAGAAAAAAAATAAACATGTTAGTAAAATCAATAGCTCCCTCGCTACGCTCGCAATCTAATTAAACATATAACTTAAACGGTTTTCAGTTGGGTAATTATTAATTAACTACAAATCGAGTTCAGTAAAATTCAATAATTATGATCTTCAATCGCAGTGAATTTTTAATAATCACGTTTGGAATATTATTTCGAAGTGTTCTGTTAGTGTTTTTAAAAACTTATATTTTTATAAAAAAAAAAAAAAAGAGCGTTAGTGCTTATGAGCCTTCCACTATTCTAGGTAAAAAGTTGTAAATACATAAGATACGGAACGTTCTTTAATTTATACCTTTAAGCAACAATAAACCACTACTGTTTAGGAATTTATAGTATTCAATCATTAATTTCCCTAAAAAAAATACATGCATTAGATACCCAATATTTATAACTATATATATATGAACCTTGTTGTCATTATTTTCTCATTAACATAAAAAAACGTAAAAATTCTAAATAATTCGTGGCCTACTGGAAATCCTTGAGAATTCAAATCGTTACGACTTAGTTTTTAAAGTTTTTAGGCAATAACCACATTCAATGTATTATTTATCAAAACAACTAGGTACCTGTGCAGAATATATTTTTTTCGTCTGTACCTTAAAAATATAATCTCACATAAAATGATAACTCGACTGCAGTTTTTGTGGTTTTCAGAATACCGTACTAACCAAAAAACCATATTACCACATCACATACCTTCTATTTATGTACAGTATAATAAAGGAACAACTTGTATCCTTCGGGAATACACTGCATGTTTCCAGATTTATATACAAAATTAATTATTCATACACACAAGTTATCTAAGAATTTACCAAATCGCGTATAAATTATAAATACGAATATTCCAGTTACCTACTTATATGATATAAAACTTTGACATCCCTTAAAACTAAACTTCTAACGGTATAGTTACGTAAGTTACTCGTATATTTTACATTTAAACTTGATTATAGGCAAAAATCAATAATATTAGCAAGCCATTTTGCTTTATTTTTTTTAAATTTCATTTTATTTGACAAAATTATGCTGCTTCTAAAAATAAGCAATCTAACTTAGACACTGGCCTACATGATGTTTACAAGAAAATAATTCGTGTGAAATACATCAATAGAAAATAAATAAATAATGATTTTATTACTGATATAACCAAATCAACAAACACCGGTAAATTTTCTTAAATTTAGAATAAAATAAAAACAAAACAAACATTTTTTTGTTATTATAGATATTAACAAAGATGAACTTAATATCTATAACTAATATAACAAATCGTCTCATATATCTTAGTTAATCCATAAGTTTTCTTTCATAATATTTCCTATTTCTTAATAAGTCTTCTTTGGTAATTCTGAGGTTATTTAATACGCATTTAATTGATTATGTTTTTCTTCGATTTTAAGTGAACATAATATTCACCTGAACATTTTTTTTGAATAATCTGGGCTCTGGAAAATCAGAGATAATCTGCTTCATAAATTTGTATATAAGACCAATTTGAAAATACCCTCACAAATTTGGTTGCAGAAGATTCTTTTAATCAATAGTATAGTATTTATAGCCGTGGTTTTAACCTCAGATATATAAAATAATTAAATGTCTGTGGTTATCACTTATCAATACTAATTGACAATATTGTACCTGATAATTGTTGTTCAGTGCATTTATAAAAAAAAAAAACTTTTATGCAGTACAAAACGATAAAATAAAGTAGTTTTATACATTTTATACGTAATTTATACGAAGGTTCGTATAAGACGTGTTTTATACTTTATTGTATTATCCGTTCCAACCCTGATCAACCCCAATTTTGAAATTTCACCAGGCCATATAATAATAAATAATTAAATATTAAAGAAAAAAACGAAATTATTAAAATGGTTAGTACCCGTTAATAAATGTATAATATTTGATTCACCCATGTATATTATCCCGCTTTTAATTTATTCCATTGTCATTGGATCGCATCAACATGGAAAATAGAAAAAAGCAATTCAAAACAAAAATATAATAAATAATAATGAATTACATTAGCTGTAAAAACTAATAAAAAATGCAAATCAAGCTCGAAAAAGACAAATAAAGAAATGAAAAGCACTTGATGTCTACCGTGAACCAATACACTATGTCTACGTCCGCCCATTGTTTACTCAGTTAATTGATACCGCGATATTTGTTTATTTACCCGTGTCAGTTGTCCGCGATAATAACAATTACTAGTTACCTAATATCGAAATACAATTTAATTTCAATTATATAAATATTGGTGCGACATTTCAGCAGGCCAATTGGGACTGTATGGAAATTAAGAGGTGCGACCGCGAACCCTACGCCCCCTACACCCTTGCTACGCGCCCTCGTTACTACCCTTGCAATACTAAAATATTGAAAATATGTTTTCGGGCGATATATCGCACGCACCGACGATACCCGAGCGATGTTTTCAAAGATCGATAAATCAATGTTCGCAACCTACGCACTGATCGATGGCTGATCGACTTTGGTGGTTCGCGTATTATGATACTCGTATATTAGATGTAAGTAAGTGAACGTAAGTAAACACGGCACGTATATCCTAGGCAAATATATTTTATGTAAATGACGTGTACGCAGGCACCACGTATACATACGTACTGCAGATAATATACGAAATATAAATGCGTAATTGATGTAAGCGGAATGCGCGGTACACGTATTTCGAAGTAAAACGACTAAATTTAAAACCAAATGTTATAACATATCCGTAAAAAATACGTACGCGTATGGTATACGTTCCGTGTAAACGTTATGTCTAAAAAAACTCGTTTAATTTTACGCGAGCATTTATACATACAAAATTTGATTTGAAACGCGTCAAATTGTTACTGCGTCTGTTTAAATTTTCAATTTTAAATAATTCGTAAATAATTTTTTATTTTACGCTAGCATGTTGCGTTACTCGTACAGCTACATGCGCAATTTCCAGAGTTTTATTTCGCGCATTACACAAACACATAATATCAATATTACCAATAACCTTTTGATTATTTTAAACAGCAACCGACCGTGTTTTCAACACAGATTTGAAAAGAAAACATTTTTCTGTATGTATTCATATAATAGGTATAAAGTGGTATTAGGTATATGTGTTGTTTCAATGTAGGTACTTATGATAATTCCATAGTGATGATATTATAATTATTTAAACGGTCGAATGAAATTGAAATAATCTATACAGTTCTGCTGTAAAGGAAAAACCAATGAATTCTGAAAATTGACTTTGAAACACGAATTAAGATATATATATATATATATTATATATAATATCTATCAAAGTGTATCTTAATCCGTACTTTAAAACTACGAGTTTCGATTACGAGTATTATGAAAACCCCTTGGAAAATCAAAAAAAATGATTTTTCTGACGCGCCAAACAGATGAAATTTCCTTTCAGAAAAAGTGCTGTACTCGGATACTATGGTGCTAGTTTTCCGTTCGAAAAATCCATTTACAAACAGCGTCGCGAAAAATCGCACGCACATATCGTAGTGAAACCGATAATAGACCGTTCGCTCCGCCCTGGGTCTAATACTAACAACAAATCGATCGACGAATATTGTCAGAAAACAAAAAAAATCCAAGGGGAGAGCGATCGCCCCTATCGCCTATACCCCTCCCACACCGGGCGTTTAAAAACCGCCAACGGCCGGTCGGACGTCGGGCGCGAGATCGGTCGACATCGCCGGCCAGTCCCCCGGGTCCACTGTCAACGGGTTATCGCTGTTACGAATGCGAACGCGCAGGTCGGGGGTCAGGCGTATTCGCGACGATCGCGTGTGCGTTTACTCCGGCCGGACGACCGATGACCGTGTCTCGGCCGATCGAATCTCACGGTCGTCTGTGACCGTCCCGTCGCCCGGACACGCGTAACGGACCGGTCGGAAATCGATTCGTTCGACTGCGAAGACGCGCGGTCGGGTCTCCGGACGAGGCGCAAACGCCGCGTCGGAATGCCGTGCGTAAAACGTTACCGCCGTGCTCGACCGGCGTACGCGCCCGGGGACGTACCTGAGCGGTCGGCGGCGGCGGCGGCGAACGAAAAGTCCCGCGCGGCGGCGGCGGCGTTATTTTCGTAACGGGAGGCGCGCCCGCCGCCCGTGCGCGTTGCTGTAACCGCTGTCTGTTGCGGACAACGTGCGCCGCGCTACATTACAGTACGCCGGTACGATGCGCGCGCGCGCGGCGTTCGGGTCGGTCGTTCCCGGACGTCGTAACAAACGTTTTTGCCGCACGCGCGCGTGCGCGCGCGTCCCCGGCCAACCTGTTATCCGGTATCGGTTGAGAAAATTAGAAAAAAAAAATCTCGCGTGCGTGTCGTAGATTCCGGTAGCCATCCATCGCGATTGGAAATCTTGAAAATCTACCGCGGTCATGACGTGTGCGCGTTACCGGCCGCGGCGCGAGAGTCGTCGGAAACCTATTGGCTTCGGCGGAACGCGTAATGTCGCGCGCGTACGGGGCACGCGCGTTTTGTTTTGTTTTTTTGTTTTTGTTTTTTTTCATTCGCGTTGCGGCCGTCTCGTGACGCGCGTCGATACACGGAGACGGGGGTACGTTATTGTCGCGGCAGCATTAATATTATCGGTTCGCGAAACAAAAAAAAAATAAACAAAAATCAACGTTCCATATGTCGTTGTATTGTCCACCGGGACCGAGTACAAAACAGCTATTGAGTTGAAAAACATTTTAATTTTTTTTTCTTTTACGTCCCAACCGGCCGTCGTGAAAAAAAAAATCGCGATATAAATAGTCGGGGGTAGGTCACGGGACACGCCGGAGTTGACTGTTGGACGTTTCGATAAATGTTTCGAATAAAGCACCGCCGGACAGAAGTTCTGCATATTTTAGAGAATTGCGTGGAAAACTAGAAACCTATCCAGACGAAAAAAAAAAAATAAGGAATAAACATAAAAAGCATTTCTTTTTGGAAAAAGTAGGTATACGAAAGTCAAATTTTCCACGAATTATTTATTTTTTCAATAAATAACTCATTAAAAAAAACTTTTTACTATCATATATTTTATAAATGTTACATTTTCCTCGTTTTTCTGAACGAATTAGTCTTTAAACATACTTGCACATACTTGCGGTTGAACGGAGTAGCGGCAGTCGTGTTCGTTTCCTTGTAGCCAGGTAACCCAGAAATCGACGAAAATAAAACCGATTTATCGATATTTGTGGTCGGTTTTTAAATCTGATAGAAAACCGGTATGGAGTCTAAATATTTCGTTCAAATAAAATACCATCGGGCGATAAATTCGTATCATATTATCGTAATTTATCGTTAAGTTGATAACAGTTATCAAACTAAAATACTGATCACATACAAAACACTTATCGAATATAATCTTCACCGTGACGCCATCGTATCGGATTTGTGCACTCGTACAGAGAAGACCACACTACGCCGTCGTATGGCATCTTCATTATCTACAGCACTGCAGAAAGTTGTGGTCAAAAATACAATCAGTTTGGAAAACGCTATTGAAACTACTAGATAAGATAATTGAAAAAAAAAGACTCATACTTACTGTCATTTGATAACTTTGTGTGAAGATTTTGAAGTACCTGCACAATTGCTTCAAAGTTCGATGTCACACGATGTCTATATCTCGGATATCATTTATAAATAAACACCAATTACCTGTACAGTGAATGTTTGTTAAAAATATTTTAATAAATTTTACAAAAAACGTGTGATGATTCCGGCCAGGATCGAACTGGCGACCTTCTGCGTGTAAAGCAGACGTGATAACCACTACACTACGGAACCGTGTATAGAGTTTAACGAATTAAAACCTATTAAGTAGATTTTTCAATTAATAAATTATAATTATCGTATATTGTCCGAAATAAATTATTTAATAAAACATATACTGTGTTGTACGATTAAAAATAAATATCTATAAAATATGTTCAGAGGCGTATTTATAGATTATTAATGCGGTGGTAAAGGAGGGGGGAGAGGGGGGATCTGGCCGTACAAGAAACTGTCATCGTTTCCTAATATTATTGTTAACGTTGCCAGTGGGCCGGCAAAAAAATGTGATACGCTGAGATCTTTGGAATTAATTTCAAAATTCAAAAACATGGTTCGACGGAACCACAGAAAACAACATATGTAATGCGTTTTTAATTTTAACCCTGTAAAAACTCAACAGTTCATACCAAATGAAAACTAAAATTATCACTAAGACTCAGGAGTTGTAGGAGTTACAGAATATTATATTGTTCTGTGATATTATGATGCTCTCGGATTTCAGCACACTAAGGCCGGATCGCGCGAACGTTCTGCAAAAAGTATTTTATGGACGCCTGTAGTGTTGCCCAAAAGAATTTGTAATAATAAATCTTGTAAATTCAAATATAATGATGACGATTGCCGGGTAAACTAAACCATTTATATTTGTTAACCCTGAACCATAGTTATCTTACTCAAGTGGATAACCGAGCCCCGAACAATGATAAGTGATAAAACGACGACGTCTTTGAGCCAAAAAAAAAAAAAAACCTCTTTTTGTTATTAGCAATTAGGTTAGTACCTGAATCGTTGTTTGAAATCTACACCAATAAACAAAATCTGCGGATTTGATCAATGCCGGATCAGGCGCGCGTACAAGGGGGATTTTAGGGGTTCAAATCCCCCCCCCCCGAAATTTCATTAAAAAATGTGACGAGAGTAAATTTTTAATAGAATCTCAAAAGTCGTCTTTGTCAATGAGACTTTAATAGGTAATAGGTACCTGAAACTTAAAAGGCTAAAAATGAATGTTATAAAAATATTAACATTTTTAATGAAAAATAAATAATCCTGCAGTTGAAAGTATGTAAACTCCTTTGTTAAATTCTAGGAATTTTTACACCTGGGAAAAAATTTTAAAAACACGCTCAATAATGAATTTTTTTGTAGTTCATTAATATACGATTATTTATATCTATAACACAATATTTTTTTATTTTGTTGTCAACAAGATGACTCATAATCGGCCCATAACTCATTTCACACATCATGTCACGTGTAGTTTACGCAGTAATGTAATATATTTTCAGAGGGGGGGTAATACCCCTCTGAAATATACATTTACCATGTTGTAAGCCTTCTCGAAAATATGTACGAGGTTTCGATTTCAATATTGGTCCAATTGATTGATAGAATAGAATAAAAAATAATTAAAACACCGGCGTGTATGAGTATGCACATGTGTTTTAGGACATTATTATCACGATAAAATTAATATGCGCGTATCAGCTTTTAAATTGTTAACCGACCTGCCTATTTTGTTATCGGTTTTGTAAGTTTCAAAGTATAGACTGCAATTTATTTTCTAGGGCTCGTTACATCATCCATCACAAACGCAATTCATGGAACCCAGACTCTCGCAACTCGAAACTTTAGAAGCTAAGGTAAATCGAAAAAAAAAAAAAAAACTATATGAAACGTCTCGCACGGACGCCTATATCAAAACCACGCACTCGCCATTTCATTAAACTACGCGTGCACATTTGTACACATCGAACGAATGTTCTGTGTAACACGCGTTTGTATCTTTCTAACACACCCGTTGTTCTGTATTGATTATCACACCACACAAACAGGTATATATATACGTGGTTCTACAATTATTAATAATCCATAAACCGTTCAAACAATTCGCATTTATACGATAATCGTTTTTTATTGAACGTATTTCGAGTTTTTACGCCATTTATCTTTTACGTTTATTCGTGTGATTTGACTATCGATACATAATATACGTAAACTATGCAAATCAACTAAACACGGTGCAGGTATACGGTTTTCTTGATCGGTGCATACAAATATAATACGAATCGTTTTATAGTTATACATTGTATAAACTAAATAATTGAGGGCTAGCTGAGCCAATGCTAATTTGGTGTGATTTGAAGCTATTCGGCAAGATAAAAGGTGGTTCGGTGGTGGGGGAGGGAGACTCTTTTCCCCCAAATATTTTAAAACTACTTTCCCTTTTCGCCCGAAAATATCACAGCACATTTCGACCACATTTTCATAACACACACTTCGGGAAAAACTTACTTTAAATTATTTATTATCGCCAAAACAACATTTGGGAAACTGTAGGTGTACGATAATAACAGGTTTTATAAAAAAAAGATAACAATAATGGTATATGGAATATACTATATAATTTTCTCGGGCGAAATGGGAAAGTAGTTTTAAAATATTCGGGCGAACGGAGTCTTGTCCTTTTGTGGTTCGGGTTGAATGGTAATAACCTGCCATCCCAATTTAATTTCGAGTGTGCGCCGCTGGCTAGTATTATACCAATGCAGAATCGTTCAAATATTTAATACCAAAATAACAATATAATCTAAATTTTAACGGCTGTAATAATAAATAATAATAAAATTAACACCTACGTAATCGTTCAAATCGAATACGGAATCGTGTTATTTACGAAATTCCTATCAGTTAGGACCTACAGTTCTAAATATCCCCACATCGTTTAACGATAACACTCGAGTTGTTTATGCGTTACAGTCTAATCATTTTCAAAACGTGCACAATCCGATTAACCATTTCGAAAATATGTTTACAGATGGCGAGCATTGAAGTCTCGCTGTCAGCGACATTGAAAAAACCGAAAAAAAGTTTGACCCCCGTTATACCGAACAGCCCACAGCCGGTCATGCAAAAGAACGTTGTATCCGTCAAAAGTATCGGTTATATGACGGACAACCACGACAAAGAGAACATTGCACGGAACAAGTAAGTTCGCCACCGGGCGAGTTAATCTTTCTATGTTTGATGGATGATCGATTTTAAATCACCTAAATCGACTCACCTAAATTTAAAATTATTTGCAGTTTAAAACTTCAAACTCATCTAGTCAATGAAACCAATGAGCATAGCAAACATAATCAAAACGTACAAAGCGATACGGTTAACGAAAGTGAAAAACAATCGCTGACTCAGAAAATAGAAATCCTAAAAAGTGACATGGACCAAAAACGATTGGCTATTAAGAATATAAAAATGTCACTGGATCAATTAGACGTTACCGAGTAAGTGAGAAACGCTGTTTAATTAAAATATAACAGAAAGGTCGTAGATGGAAAATCGTTTTTTTTTTTTTTTTACACAATCATCGTGTTTAGTACGTTGTTTTTATATTCGTTCCAGTAACATTGACACTAGGATTCAGCAGGCGGAGTTAGAATATCAATTGGGAAGGGAGGAACTTAACCTGCTTAGTCTGATGGAAGAGACTAACAAACACAAGTGTCGCCTAGAAGAAATGGAACAACACACTGAGCAAAATGAAAACAATACCTTATACAAGTAAGTCACAGTTAAATTCAATCGTATTAAATCTGACTCGTATTTTCTGTAGCTATTTAGTTTCTAACCCTGGAGCCGTAATCAGCTTACAAGCTGTGGAATTTGAATACGACCCGAAGAGTCCTAAATTTGGCATAGGCTCGAAAAAAGATAAACCAGGCTTGTTCATCGATTGGACAGTTGACGATTCGGGATTTTCTAAAGGCGATAGGTAAGTTTACAAGTTTATGAAAAATATACGACATTAGAATTGTAGGTAGGTAGGTAGGTACGAGATACCTACCTTAATATTTCAGTACTCTATAAATTATTTAGGTTCCTATTTTAGTAATTATCATAAAAACATTATGCTCAACTTTTTTTTTTTTTTCATCGTACCCAAAAAGACCAATTAGTGTTCTGTGAAAATGTTTGGTCTCTATGATGATTTTAATCGAATTACAAAAAAAAAAAAGAAATCGAAAATAATGAAACCGTTACTTTCTCAATCTTTCCCGTTTTTTCTGTTTTTTTTTCCAGCTATTAAGAAAATTACAAGGCAAATTAGAAAACGACCACCTAATACACGAATAAAATTGAATTTTCTTTCAGAAAATATGCACTGCAATTACTATATACATGTTTTCAGACCAAAATTCCTGATAAAAAAACAAAATCGAAAATAATGAAACTTATATTGCCGTAAATACGTACGATTTTCCCCAATTACTATGAAAATTACTCGAAAAATCAAAAAATAATCTCCCTAATGCACCTTCAAGATACTAAAAAAAAACCAATGTCATTTCCTGATCGGGACAAGATTACTGGTAGGAAATTGTTAACTGACAGACAAAAACGCACATCATTGTAAAACCAATACATACCTCAGAGCGCTAAAAATCTAAAAAAATATAAAAAGGATGGACATACTTCGCACGTGGGCGCAGCTACTGTTGTTGATGGAAAGGTAGGATACAGACGGGGATTTAATGTACATCTGTAAAGCAACGATAAACCGTTGCTAACGAAAAGACGAATCTGAGCGGAATTTAGTTTATAGTGTTGTTTTGTTAACAATACAGTGTATCCCACCATGTTCGACGGATTTTTCTAGCGCTGTTGATATAATTTTTTTTTTCTATTATTTCTTTTTCAATCGGTTTGTCTTCGAGGGGGACATCGATTTAGAGAAAAATTTAATTGTTTTTCATCCCCTATAGACAAAAGACAAGTAACTTTTTATTTATTGACAGTTTGGAAAATTTTCAAAAAATATTATACAGCAATTTTAATGCATCACACATTGATATCCGATGAATAATTTCTTGGTTATATTTCTCTACGAATATTTTTAACTGAATTCCAGCGAATAACGAAATTGAAAAATAATAAAAGTATTGATTTCGTAAATTTCCCGTTTTTCTTACGTTTTATCCCGGTTTTTCCCAAATATTATGAAAACCGCTTGGAAAATCAAAAAATGACCTCCCAAAAGTACCATCTGGACAACAACAATCCATTTCAGAAAAGGCTCCGCGCGTACATAACTGAGCAAGATTTATTGTCGAATTTTCGTACACAGGATAAAAAACAAAAAAATAAAAAATAAACGTCTTTGTAAAACCAATACATTTTTCGCTACACTCGAAATCTAAAACGACAACTCATGGGAAAACGCAAAATCCAAAATTTAATTTTTCCGCGGCCCCGTCGTACACACACGTTATATTACACGTGTGAAGCATTTACGCATTTACATCGTATTAATATTATTTATTATTATTTTTTTTTTTCTATCATATCAGATTACTAGAAGTGAACGGTAAGGTAGTGCTGTCTGTGAAGAACAAGAACGATTTGAACCGTTTGCTGGAGGTGTCGCCGTCGTCTGTGCGCGTGGTGGTCATGCACGACGGTCCGACGGCGGACCAATTGGAACTGGCGACGCTTAGGCGCGAGCTGGACGCGTGCCGCGCCAGGGCCGAAGAGACGGATCGGTCAAGGCACGCGTACAAGACGGAAAACGTCAAGCTCTCCCACCGGGTGTCCTATCTGGAGGATCAGGTGTCGGAGCTGATCAAGTACAGGTCCACGACGAACGGCGACGGCAGCGGCGTCCTGTTCCAGAGGGGTTCCAACTCGGCGATGGTCCGGAGCAAGAGCCCTAAACACGGCGTGTCCGCCATACAGCAGTACAAACGCAAACAGGTGGTGTACGACGATCGGCCCGTAACCGCGGCAGCGACACAGGACGGCCCGGTCAAGACGCGCATCAGGACCGTACCCCGTCTGTACGGTAGTTCGGCCTCGGTCGAGTCGCTGGTGTCCACGGCCGACGCGGTGGTCGCCGCCAAATCGTTCGATGACCTGCACGGCGTGGTCGTGTCGCCCAAACGGAACAAGTACCCGGCCACCCGGAACAGCAGCAGGACCCGGCACATACGCGAGGCACAGCAAACGCTGTTCCGGTTCCTGGACTCGGAGTCGTCCGGCGACACACTGTACATGATGCAACAGCAGAGCGGCGGCGCGGCCGCGGCGTCATCGACATCGACTGGCGGTGGTAGCGTCAAATCGTTGGACCTGCAGCAGGACGCCGCCACCGAATCACACCGGCTCAAGAGCACCGAATACTACTCGCACCTCACAGCCTCCCCTTCGCCGTCCGTCTGCGCCGGTGGCTCGCCACACGGCAGCTGGTCGCTCAACTACGACTCGGAACAGTCGGGCAGGCGAGCTCCAATGCCCCCCAAAAAACCGCTTCGGCTATCGCTACAACAGAGGCACGGCAACAAAAACCGCGTCGACGACGCCGACAACAAACGCCACAGGCACCAACGCGATAACGACGAAGTCGACTTATCGGCCATAAACAATACTATGTCGACGTGAAATGTCTGATAACAAGCCTGATATTATTGTAATACTATGTATGTAATTTAATTTCTATTTATTTATTGTGTAATATACATTAAGTATTTATTTACAAACAGATATTCTTTTTTTTTCCCTCTTTTTTCTGATGAAAAAAACCATCCGGTGATAACACTGTCAACCACGTGCAATTTAAGATAAATCTATGGCCGAGTTGTCCGAGTTTCAAAAATCAACACCGCCGGATTGCCCGAAAAAATATTTAAACCATAGGCAAAGTTGTACGGGGTACGCCTGTTATGCCCCAGCGGTCTAGCACACCTTAAACACATCCACTGTACGCATTTTTTTTTTTCAAATCGAGTAAAACCTAATTTTTTTTTACCTTTCACTTTTCCCGAAAACGTGCGTGTGGTTCCGAGCACCTCGCCTTCCGCGCCCGATGTTTACGGGCTAGGTGTATAACATTCGCCGATTATTATTGTAGGATAAAGATAAAAAAAAAAAAAAAAATAGCACGGCGGGCTTTACGTGTAGATTTTATTCACCAGACTCCAAATATGCAATTTTTATACCGATTTGTTTTTTTTAACTTTGCTATTTCGCTCGAGTTTTGGCGCTGTTTTTTCGTCAATGCGCATAACAGTCATTCGTTTTGTATTTGTCACAAACGGCAGGAAAAATGTGCGATTCATGTGAATTTATAAGAAAAATACTAACTGGCGTTGTATCCGTCGTAGAAACGTGTAGTTCGCGAACGAACGATTCGGTATCCGAATGAACGGCGAACCGCTGAACCGTTCCATCAAAATGAACTGCCGTTCGTATAAACGTATTGTGCCAATTGGAACGGTCTGCACTTATGGCCTTGTCGGTCATACGTATTTACTGTATATTTAAAACATATCATATTCATATGGTTGTTATAATTTTTTTTAAAAAAAAACAAAATATTACATCGCCGTGAACACAAATGTTAATTCTGAAGATTTCCCCGTTTCCCATTATCGTTCTACCGAAACGGTTTGACAGCGATAACGTACATACGGTAATAATTTGTTTATCGTACGCTGTACGCAAAGTGCGGTAACGGGACTATGCATTCACATTTATCGCCGTCATAAGTGCCACAATACTGCCGGTGCGAGTACGTTCGTTTTTAATATATTCGAATACGGATCCGAACGACAACGATAGCGTTGCGTGTGGCACGCACCCGAATCGTTGTATTCTCAAAGGAGATTTGCCCCCCCCCCCCCCCCCCGATTAAAATGAGTAAATTCGGATTTCAAACAGTTATAGATGATTGGTACCCGCCGTAATGCCGTTAGCACAATATTCTTATTATAAACGTGTATGCCGCTGTTTCGTTCTCATTTGTGTACGTGAAATTTTCGCCGGGCATTGTTAACGTAAATAATTAGAAACATAGGGTTTTTCAAGTGCGCAAAACGGGGAATCCAAGGCGCGGGACACGGGCCCCGCCATCGCCGGCTTCCGGACGGTCCCGCGGTTGTCCACGGGCTAATAATTTCTAAAAAGTTTCTCGCAAATAACAGAATAGGTACGCTTACATGTTACGAAAATGTTACCCGGACAATAATGTCGAACAGTATTTTCAACATATAATGCATTATACATTCCATAGCTCGTTTAGAATCTTCAAACGAACAGATTAGACGCGTTCTCCTGCGCGAAGTTATTACAAGAAGATTGTCTGACGCATACGTAGGTATCCCAATATCGATACAGCACTCGGAACGAACATGTGTGTGTACACTAATTTCAAATTGTACTATACTGAACGGTTTCTTTTTTTTTCTTCTTGTCTCAAGCGAATGAAAAATGATTTATGAACGAACGTCTATGGGTGCTGAAATCTCTATAGTTTGACCATATTGAATATCGAACCGGATTTGTTGTCGGTTTCGAAAATTAACCGATACGTTTGCGCTCAGGAAGACGTATAAGAAAAAATCATATAATTTTAAGCACTTATAATTAATTTGTAAATTGCAAAAATTGATGTTAGATACGATTTAATTTCCATTAACAATGTACCCATCTTTGTTTTATCGAAAATTGGCAATTTCGTGACGTTTGGAAACATTTCGTCCGTTAACGAGGCAGCACTGCTATGAAGTTATCTACCACGCACAAAACACAAAACACTCACTGACTCACAGCTGTTGTGTGTAGTTTAGGTGGCCCTTGTCTGTGGTTATGTTTGTTTCGAGTTTTGAGAGGGGATGAAAAATAAAAATTAAATAAATAACACAGAATTGTTTCAAGACAACACGAGTAAATTATAATAGTATAACCGTCTTCTACTATTCTCGTATTTTATTGTGAATTGTTCTAAAAAGTAAAAATTAAATTTCAAATTCAAAATGTCTGCCAGTCATGTGGATGATGAGTACGACGAGTACAACTACGATCAAGATAAATTGGTCAACGGCGGACACAGTGGTAATACAAACATTAGTGCAATTCGTTATGTATACAAACCTTATTAACGTGGGTTATTTTTTTGTCTAACACTAGGTAAAAATAGAAGCAAGAAAGAAGCCAGCGAACATACCAATCATTTTGATCCGAGTGGACACTCCAGGAAGTTGTCAACCAAATTGCAAAACACTGAAACTAACAAAAAGGAAGAAAACTTGAAACCTCATCCAGTAACCAAGAAATAATTGGTCCAGAATGCTTCCCGTTGCTTTACTATGGTTTAACATTTTTTTTTTTTTTCCGTCTAAACTTTATGATAATATATTAAAATGTTTATTCCTCTGTGGCCATCATAAGGTTTTATAAATAATATAAAAGACTAATGTACAGAAATTTCTAGTCTTACGTTTAAAACGTAGACTACTAGTTTTGTCTTTTTTTTTTTCTTTAAGATAATTTAATATTATCTATATATAGTGGTTATATTTTTCAAAAATGTATAACTATTGTCTACGACTTAAGTGCATTTGAATACATGTAAGTTGATTGTCATTCTTGTGGTTTTATTTTTTACTTTACCTTAACCGTCTTGTACACCGTTATGTATCTTCACATTTATTAAATTGTATTTTAAAAACCATGAATGACTATTGTCATGATAATTTTATTGATCATGAAAGAAAAACAACATATCTATTAAACTATCAGATTAAAACCAAACTAATCTCAAGGTCGGGTGGATTTTTAGTAAAAACGACTTTCATTTTCCGACAGACAAAATTTAAAATATGTTTCGTTTGAACAGCTGTACATAGTTACATTTTAACAATTTACACTATCTTTCAATGTCCATATATATTATATATATTATAATATTCTAATATTCTAAACGATAAATAATATTGTATTATTGTTTCTAACTTGATTGAGTGAAAAATAAGAAAAGAAACTAATCAATCAAATTAGAAATCCAATGTAATTCAATAATCTTTGATGATTAAATACGTCTGATAGCCCCTCAATGTATCCGGTGGACAACCAACTAACATGGCTTGGGTGTGAGGCAATTGACGGATATAGTTTATTATCAATAATTAATCCAATGTCCCATTAGATTGAAAACTAGACGAGGGAAATATTTCAACCTGAAAAAAAAAAGTTTATGGCAAGGATTATTGCTTTAACAATCAAGTTTAAATATTTAATGTCTACAATCACATGATATTTGTAGACTTTACCTAATATAAAAGTACCAAGAGTTCGGAGAAAATTTAAGTTTAGTCATACATATGTGTTAATTTCACATTTTTCTTAATTATTACCAAACTATTTATTTAAGTATATCAATCAATGGGTATCCTTGTAGTAAATATAATAGAATATAAAATATATTAAACTTAAATATTTGGTATATTTATACAAAGATCATTAAGTAAATTAGACTATAATAATAACAAAAAGTAAAAATATTAAATATAGATATTTCTTTAAACTAATGGTAATATGTAATTATGATGATACATGGACATTATTCTCTAATTGACTTGATATACTATCACTCAACAGTGTCCTGTCAAAAGTTACAGTACATTATGATTTTTGTATTATATAGTAATAAAATAAAAAATAGTATACAATTATGGTTTACTCAACCTCCCCTCCTCCTGACCTTTTTCTAAAGCTCGTTCATGAAAATTTACTCAATTAAAATTATTATTACGCAAAAGGAAATTATTATTTTTAGTCTATTTATTTATATTCTTTGAACAACATTTTTTTATTTAATTGAAACAATTTATTAGATATTTTAAAAAAAAAAAAAAACACAATACAATTGTAGGTTGGTAGGTACCTATAATAAATATTTTAATCAATAATTTGTTTATGCTCAAATTATTAATTTTAAAAAAAATATTGATCAATAAAAACTTTTCTAAATTTTACAGACATGGTGTTTAAAATAATCACTGGTATAACAAGTAATTTAAGTATCCATTATTTTAATTGAATAATTTAAATTATAATAATTATAATTTAATATAATAATTATTCATTAAAACTTACTTAGTATTAAATTACATTTATTTATTTGTTATCCAAGTAAAATTATCATTCATAAACCATTTGTATGCATTTGATACAAAGTGCTTCTTAATTAGAATTAAAACAAAAAATGGTATAAATGACAAGTTTCTTGTGCTATTTTTATAAGAAATATTTCTTACAATTCCAAAATGTATCATTGATAATTTGAGATATTTTATTTGAAAAACAGAAATTTTAAGCATGATGTTAAGTTAATAATGATGATATCATTATTATTATCTATTATATAATAGGCACTTGTACGAGTTAAGCTAATTATTTATTTTAACACAGAACACTTTTCCGACAATAGGTATTAAAAAGATTCCAAGTGATTATATTTATCTGAACAATACTTAAGTCAAATGGAAATTATTGCTTAATAATTAATTATTATACATGATTAAAGGTTTAATTATCACCATGAAATCCGTTAAATTATTTATGTATCATATTTCATTTTTTTTTTTTTTTGGGGGGGGGGCCTGTTCAGCATATATTTTGAATAACATTGTGATTTTATAAAATACCTACTTAGTATAACTAGTTATTTCATAGGATCTCTAGTTATTACATACAATTTAAATTTTTGTGAAAATTTGAAATATATTTTATAATAAGTATAAATACTTTTAAATATAGGTAAAATGGAAACACTCAAAATATTGTATTTTATACAGCATTACTAAAATAAATATTTATTATTTATTTATTTGTACACAGAATTATTTAGATTTTTTTTAGGAGTTATTAGGAGTATTAGCGGAAATTCATTGTAATACAATTAATGTTAAAAGTTAACATTTGTTTCTCTTGAATAGTTTTATAATTCATGCTTACGTTTTAACTTTAGAAACATTGATATTATATGAAATATATGGAATTTTAATAAATAATAAAATACACAACAATTGAAGGAAAAAGCAACAAAATATATTTTTTATGAAACATAATTAAAATTTCATTACAAATCATGTAAAAAAAATTAAAACAATAATATTACTAAATACTAAAAAAGTTTAAAATCTAAAAATATACAAAATATTATGTATAATGAGTAAAGTCAAAAAACAATCAATATTCACTTCAGTGACAGCATTTAGGAAAAGTGAAAGTGGCCACGCCCTCTCCCTTATAATGCCACAAGTTCTCAAATACAGTTATAGGATTTTGTAGACAAAAATGTCTCCTTCCTTGCTGACTGCACCATTGTTATTTAATTGTATTGAACTATATTTTGACTAGAAATAATAAAATACAAATATGCTTATCATTCTATAGTAACATGCCCACACAAAGCTAACCAAAACTGTCATCTATTCACTAATACACTTAGCTATGGAATAAATAGAATCCCTATATAATACATAATGGTTTAATAATACTGGTTGATAAAATTAAAAACTATGAAAACAAATCATATGATTTATTATGATGATATTAAAAATTGCATTTGAGTACACCATATTTTTTAATGTACTTAGCAGCAATTGTTTCGATAACTTCATTTGTTTCGTCATAATACGGATTTAAATATGACGCTATTCTAGTTTTCCACTTATATAACTTTGGACGACCAGCAAAAGCATCAAAACCAGCAATTCCTATAATCAACAAACAAAAACATTATACTAATTAGTTTTTACTGAATAACTTAAAATACTCACTCGTATATTCTATTTCGCAAATGCCAATGATGTCAGCAATGGAAATTTCATTGCCACATAAAAATAGATTATCCTGCAACCAAAAACTTTCAATCGAGTCTAAAGTTTGATTCATTCTTCTTTCCAATTGGGCAATTCTTGTATCATTCGCTTGTTTTCCACTAAACATTGGCCAAAATACCTGAAAATATATTAAAAAATGTATGGATTAACTTAAATGCTATTGAAAAAAAGGTAGATACATAATATCACTCAATATCAGCAATCAATCCAACCTTGTACAAGCAATAAAATGCACAATCAGCTCTAGTATTCGAATGTTGCCACTCAAGATATTCATCTACAAGTGCCTGCTTCACCGAATCTCTGGGATACCAGTGATCAGCCACATTATAAGTACGACAAATATAACGCAAAATTGCAACACTACAAAACAAAATATTGTTTAAAATTAAAATCAACAATTATTTTAACTCTACACTTAATATAATATCTATATTATTCAAATAATATACTTTAATTCAAAGTAAAATCATATTGAATCTTAATAATATTTATATGAAGACAATTAAAAAAATACTAACATAATAATATGTGATAGGCTAAAATTGTAGGTAGAAAGTTGTTAAAATACTTTAATTTAAAGCCTGAATGCAACAATAAATTATTGAAAACAAAATACGATTCTGAGTGCAGATTAATATTCGAACTTCTTAGGTACTTTGATTTAAAATTTGTAAAGTTTTTTTACAAGTTTTGTGAATATTTGAATTCTAAAAACCTATAGAACAATTAATGATAACTTTAATTATAATTATGGTACTTTTTAGACTTTTTAACTTTTTAGAAGAACTTAATAAAATGTTTATAATTTACATAATTATAGGTCCCAAAAACTAAAATTAAGAAAATATAATATATAATACCTTTCAGTAAGGATAAATCCATCATGATCAATAACTGGTATTTTTTGCAATGGATTTATGGCTTGAAATTCTTCAGTACAATGTTGCGCTTAAAATACAATTATAGTAATTAGAAGGCATAACAATACTGCTATTATTATTTTTACCTTTGAATAAATCAATAACCTTTCCATCGAATGGAATTTCAGCCACTTTAAAAAATAAATACAAAGCTCTGCTTGGTTGTGACATTAAACTGTAATACAATTTTAATGACGACATGTTTAAAAATCAAATGTTCAACGGTTTTATTTAACAAAATTTGTCAATTAATGAAGTAAACGACGCGATAAGAATGACCTAGAAAGCGGAGATGACTACTACAGAAATATGTATGGTGCCAAACCCAAAAGGTGTATACAAATTATGTAAAATTGATAAAAGTATAGCAAACATCGTTGAACTGGACATTCGATGACATGGCAATATAGCTCAACGATTGTTTTGCTCTTATCATAACCTTCAAAAGAGATTACAAAAGAGAAAATCAGATGATTATAATTTTCATATTTTTGTAGACCAATTCAATTTTATTCATATTATCTTCACAGTTTCGTGCAACATCTCAATCTTGTACTATTCTCTTTTAAAAAAAATGGCTTTCAGGTCATTTACCAGAAAATTTTCCGCCGGTAGGCAATTGCGTGCTATTTTGGATGAACAGTTTACTCCTGATAAACTTAAGGCCTATGAAAAACCAGGTAATTGAATTGTTCAAAAATTTCAATATCACTAACATTGATATTTTAACTTTTTACAATTTTATTGAATTGCAGAAGTCCTTCAAGGTGTAGACTTATGGAAGAAAATAACTTACTTTGTTGCGTTACCTGGTGTTTTACTGGCATCCATTTATATCATTAACGGACATTTGGAACATGAAAAACACACTCACCGACCAGAATTCATTCCATATGAACACTTACGCATCAGAACCCGTGTATGTGTTTGTTTAAATATTTTTTTTTATTTAAAACGAAACAGCTTTCTTACTGAATACTATTCGATTTTATTCTTAACATGTATTTACAAATACCACTTAAAAAAACAATTTGATAATGAAATATCCGCTTCAGCAAATTGTATTATTTGACACTATCTGTTTATGTGTATGATAAACATCTCATTGACCCTTCAATTGTACATTCAGCCATTCCACCAATTTGTCGATAACATCGTTAGATCAATATAAGTTCAATGGAAATAGTGCTATAAGTCAGGCCCTATGTAGCTCAATCGGTAAAGCTATTGCCCAGCAAACTGGAAACTCTGATTCGATTCCTGGGCAAGCCTTCTGATTTTTAACTCTATTTTTCGAACAAAAAATATGATCGCGAATAAAACAAAGTTCTACACACTCTATTGTACATAGTACATTGATCATATTATTAATAGCTTTTACATAATGTAAACCTATCCATATACTAGCCTATGCCTACTTTTTTAGTCACTCAATTATCTTAAATTATGTAAAATCTTATTGGTAAAAGAATTTTTTTTAATAGGATTATACGCTATGTTTTTGTTTTTAATACACACACCATAGAAATGTCTGCACACAATAGACAATTTTCGATGTATTAATTTATCTAGTCTAGTGTAAAGATAAAAATGAATACTATTTATATAACTGGACATAACAGATATAGAATTGCACAAATGTTTCTGTGTATATTTTGAATAATTTTAGTGCAATAAGTTCCAAAACATTATTGTTAGGTATTTAACGATTTCCCCATTAAAAAATTCAGGCCATGTAACACTATTTTGTCCAAGGTCTTGTAATAACTACCACAGTCCCTGCCCACATTTAAATTCTTTCAAATGGTATATCATAACTAATAAACTATAAAGTATTTGTTTGTAAGATAGTGAGAGCAATACTACATATAAATGATTAGGATGTAGTTTTTTCTCTAAATACTAATACTAATTTTATTTTATCATTGTTTTTCATGTTTAATTTAAAAATAATAATAAATTTATATACACAAAAAGATTATTTAAAAAAAAATTTAATATTTTTACCAATGTCATAATTGTTTTAATTAACTATATTTTATTATAATAATTGTACTTAATATAATGCAAGTACCAATTATACAGGATAATTATTTTATCATTGAACATATATTATTTCAAAAATTATTAATTTTTTTTTTTTTTAAAGATTAAAATAAGTTGTTTTAAAATACCATATTACCATTTTTTTGAGGAGTGAAATGACCTACTTTTGATTTTCATATGGCAATCTGTATTCAAAATTTCATAAATAGATGAGTATTAGCTTAAATAATTTTTGGTGTTGCAACTATTACTTCATCTATTTATACATTATTCAATTTAGTTTGCCATAAGAAAATCAATAGTAAGTAGTAAGTAAGTAGTCATTTGAACCCTAAAATAAATAATGATAATGTAACATTTTAAAACTGCTCATTTTTTAAATCGTCAAAATAAATTGTTTTCGTAAAAAGATAATACTTTTTGAAATAAGAATATTCAACAACAAAATAATCCCCTGTATACTTGTATATAAATTGGTATAATTTAGTAGCGTTTGTCTGATTATTCCTTGTTTATTTTGTTTTCAGAGATTCCCTTGGAGAAATGGTGACCAAACTTTGTTCCATAATCCTTTATATAATGCTACCACCTCAGGTTATGAAGTAGAGGAAGAAAAATAATAAAATGTTTTTTCCGTTATCTTGTAGTAATATCAATTAAATGTAAACAAATAAATACTGGTTTTTTTTTAAACAATTAGTCTTCATAAGATTGCAATTTACAATGAATAAATAAGAACTATCTGCAAACTAATAATATTGTTTTTTTTCAATCTAATTATAACTAACCTGATATAAAATAAAATTAGGTATTGGTCTTGTTGATGTCCACCAAGAAAGTATTCTTCGGCCACTTATACTCTCATATTTTTGATGTTCTAATCATTCGTTACAAAATGCAGGTAGCCAAAATAAAAATAAATAAATTAGTCGTAAAGAGTAAAAAAATATAACATTCCGTCCTTTCCAATATTAACCTTGATGGAATGACACGTTCCAAAACTGCTAAATCATTTTCATCTAAACGAAGCTATTGAGGGTGTATGTTGATTTTTTTAATTTAATTTTTGTAAGAGATGTAATTTTCTATTTTGAATTTAACAATAAGTACATAATTGTACATGCATACAATTTCATTATTAAAAACATTCTAGAATTTAATTTATTTTTATTCACTTTTAGAAAATAGAAAATATGTAAATATTTGCGAACATTATGTTAGGTAATGTTTACAATTTATTCCTATAGAATAGCAAGATAAATAATTTGTTGAACATTAGAGCACTATTTATACATTTTATGGTTTGATAAAAGTATTTTTTAAAGCTTTAGGTGTATTACAGTTTTATAATAAAAGTAACTAAATTATGATGTAAAAATGAATGTGTATTACTAATAAAAAACATTTATTTTAACAGAAAAATATAACTTTCATATTTTAACAATATTGAATTTATTTTTGTTTAAATTGTAAAATATTATTTAAGTATCTTGAATAGTTTAATTATTCAAATTTCTGGTAAAAAATATTTTGTTACTGCATTCATAGTTAGGCACCTATTTTAATATAAAATGTTTGAATAAATTAAAATTTTAATTATCTCAGTTTTTCATAAACTACAAAAAATTATTTTAAAATAAATATTGCATCTCATGTTGTATTGTTCATATAACTACCATATGTGTAGCATGAAAAAGCTTTGAAACTATAGACTTCTAAAATGTAATTTCCTTAGACATTATTCTTACACCTGATAGGTAATAAAAATAACCTATCTAGTATATGCATTGCTCATTATTTATAAAATTATTTTAAACACAAATGTGATTTGATAAACATGACAGGGACTTAGATTCCCTTGTAATATTTATTGGTTACTGCGGTATAAGGTTATGGTACGCAACTAAGCACACCATATTTTTAGCATCTCCTCATTATTTTATACATCTTGTATAAAATGTAGTGCTTTAAAATTGTTATAAAATATTCTAATATTTATATTTTAGCAGTAACAAGCAAAACCTTTAAAAATATTCATTGTCAGATAAAATAGTATTTTAAACATTTACACTTCCTAGTTTGTGAAAATATTTCTTCTTTTAATGTATTTATGTCTAGTGTTTACAATTTTTCACATAAAATACAGATCACTGACATACTTAACCTAAAATACCTATTAGCTAGGTAATTTTAATAGGTACTTTAACAATACAATAGATAATACAGAATGTCAAATACAAAAAAGGCCGGCATTAATTCAATTTAATTTATTAATATAATTATTATATTCAACAGCAGTTTGTTCAACAATTTGATGAACTTCTTCATAAAAGCGGGAAAACTCCAGCAATCCGCTTTGTCAAATTATGACGATTTTCTCGTGGATCAAAACCAGCAATTCCTAAATATACATGTGTAAATAAATACATAAAATATAATAATAGTATAAATTATTTTCTCACTCGGTTGTTCTACTTCACATGCACCAACAAGATCAGAAATAGAAATCTCATCACCGGATAAAAATAGTTTATTTTTTAACCAAATATTTTCTATTAAATCAAGATTTTCAATCATTCTTTCTTCTAGAGTTACAATTGTTTTCACACTAGCTGGTTGTCCAGACTTCAATGGTATAAATGCCTAGAGAAAAACAATTAATTAAAATACCAATTTACATAAACAATTAAAATACTCAAAAGTCACCTGTGCCACATTACCTTATGCCAAAAATATTGAGTACAATGAGCTCTCTATTATATTGCCACATTAGACATTCATCAACTCGTGCTTGTTTTTGAACATCTTTAGGATACCAATGGTCTGCTACCTTATATGTACGACATAAATAACGAAGAATAACAACACTAGAAGAAGAAAATTATTTCTTAAATTTAAATACATAAAAATGGATGTCTGTACAAGATTCATAAATATATATGTATATGTTATTAGGGTGGACTAAATACAATTTTTTTTTTAGCAAATATATTATGCTTATATTTAATTTTTACAAGTATGACAATAACATTGAATCTTATTTTGTGAAAAACAAATTCCAGTTTGCGAGTTGCAAGTTTAGGTAAATAACACAATTAATATGTGTAATTAATTCTAAAAATTTATGTGAAAAAAGTATTTTCAAAATTATGATTGGTTGCAATATATCTTTCATTCCTATCATTCATTGAAATTACCTATGAAGACCTTTTCATACTTCCATGCTATTATTTAAGTGAACAAAATTTAGTCTGTTAAATAGCACTAACCCTAACAGCACAAGAAGTCTCAGGGAGCTTCTATGGAGCATTTGAGTTCAAGGAGGCACTTAGGGTAATCCGAATAGCCTATTCTGTGGATCTCCAAATTAGGACTATAGCTTGGGATTCCTCAGGAGGTTCTAAGTACATAATTTTGGAACTCTTCAATAGCTCCAATTGGACCTCTATAGAATTTGATATATTATTAACTTATTAATTTTAGGATACATTAATTAATAGGTATATATTTTTTACCTATTATATAAGTGTTTTAGTGTTATAATATATCTTTCTTTTTTTTTTATGTAATAATCGTTAATTTTTATAATAATAAACATTTAAAATTGTTGTTCTTTTTTTACAGGATTCAAAAATATGTATATATAAACACAAAATTACATATTTTTTATCACCTAGTTAAAATAATATACCTCGTCTCAGATTTAATAGCATTGATTCAAATGGAATATTAGTTTTCATCATGAATATGTACAACGTTCTGCTTGGTTGTAACAAAAGATCGTTGTACAGTTTCGGTTTAATCATATTTGTGGAAAAAAACTAAACAAAGACAAATTGTATTCAATCTACAGATTGACTGTGAGTCATATAACCATTAAACATTAATTACAAAATTAAATAAATAATTAATAATTATTCTGTATTACGTACACGAATTAAGTTATAATAATATATATTATATAGGCATATATAATAAATTACAATCTTAATTGGTGAATAACTGAGCAGTGAGCACCAATGTAATATTATTGATTATAGAATACCTAGTCTATTCTATAATCAATGGTAATATATAATAAATATTTTAGTAATATTTAGCTGTTAACATTTAGCACGATTATAGATATTATCTATCTAGGTTTTGTCTATAACCGTGGCTGTAGCCTAAAAACCCATACACTTAATTTTTGTATAGTACATTGTTAAATATTCTTAATCAATACCTATCTGCCCATATTATAAACATTGCAAACTACGGTCTTAGGTCCCATATACATCATGGACTATAAACGCTGGAAAGAAGGAAATTAGTTAAAATACATTTCGGTACTGAAATTCTTGACTCCTATCAATCCGTAAACGAGACATTTCACTTTTTATGTTTGGGTCGGGGGACTCATATATCATATAGTTAATAGTGTACATAGGCGCGCAACTAGACCGCCTGCGAACTTGGGGGGGGGGGCGCTAAAAGTATAAAATACATCACAGACCCATAGAGGCAATACCCCCACAATACAATTTGCACGATACGTATAATAAGCGACCACACACTTTTTATTAACAACTTTGTATAAAAATGTATCAAAACTTCTTTTAACTGATTTTGCGTGTAGATAGGTAATTGGTATTTTGTTTGGCTTATTAATTATGGAACACACGGACAGAATGCTTAGTCTATAGTATAAAACAACGTATCGGGTATATTTGGGGGTGCTAATTTTAATTCTAAAGACTCCCTAGCAACCCCCCCCCCCTCATAGTTGCGCCTACGGCAGTGCATTATCTAAACGCCGCGCTCCGTCACACAAATGACGCGGGCGCTGTGCCGCTGCAGTGTGTACGTACATAGCCATTACCGGTCAACCCGATATTTCGTATTTTGACCATGAATCGATCGCGATCGTCTGACACCATGAATGCGGTCTTCGTTAACGCGATAAAACTAGTCGCGCAGTGGATTTCCGTCCAGATACAACACCATGACGGCAGTAAGTTGAAATTACAAAATTAAAGATTTTTTTTTTTAAATTTAAAATCATATAAGAATATAATGATTTGAGGGTTGGGATGGAGTTTTTTTTTTTTTTTTTATAGATTACGAGCGAATAGTACAGCATAGTGTTATGCACCTGTTTGATTTTATATTTTGAGCGGAGCGAAGAAGCTTATGGTTTTTCATGTTTATATGTTTATTTTTTTTTTTTTTTTTCATCTGTGGACAACTTTTCTACCCGGTTTTGGTTATTAAGTGTAGCAACTTTTCTGATATGAAATCGGACTGGGGAGGTACTTTAAGGAGGTAATTTTTTGATGAGTTTTAACCATACTAGGAAAAAAATATGGAAAAATCGAGAAAAACGTAGGAAAACGGTTCAGTATTAAACAAATACTATTAAAGATAATATATTTTACGCCTGTTCAATTGTTTTATCATTATATGGCATATATATTATTGACAAAGCATCACTAATTAACTGAACTCCGCTCAGAATCAATTTTTCGTTAACAATGGTTTTTCCTTGCTAACAGATATACATTAAATTCGGCGGATGGGCCATTGTTCTAGATGAGAAGTTGGAAAGGTAGGATACAGACAGAAATTTAATTTATATCTGTAAGCAACGATAAACAATGTTGCTAACGAAAAGACGATTATGAGCGGATTTCAGTCGACAGTGTTGCTTTGTCAACAATATATATGTCATATTATGGTAAAATAATGATTACAACAATGATTGTTTAAAAAGATTATTTTTATTATATTGAATAAAAACTTAATAATAAAAAAAAAATAATTAAAAACGGTTGCCAATGAAAATGTTATTTTTAATCTTTCGATATTTTTTAATCTAAAGAATCAGGTTTTTCTCATTATCTCGAATATAAATGAAAATTTCAAAAAATGACCGCTCTAAAGTACCACCCATAAAACATTTCCTTTCAGACAAGGTGCTATACTTAATAATCGGAGTAAGCTTTCTGGTAGAAAAAGGGTTCACATTAGAAAAAAAAAATAAATAAACAACTTTGTAAAATCAATACATTCTTTGCTTCACTCAGAATCTATAACATGGTCCAAAGGGGGGCGATTGTCATGGCATCCCCCTTGTAACCGCCATGGCACTGCGTCCCATGTATTCCATTTCAAACAAATAGTAGTAAAACGATTACATTTCTGTAATATTAGTTGAGGTCTCCCTGCGCCCCCTCTTAATTCGAGCATTGTTTATATCTGTAAGCAATCATTAATTATTGCTAACGAAAAACGATCCTGAGTAGAGCTCGATCAATAGTATTGCTTTTTCATGACAAGGATTGTTTGAAAAAGAATTTAGAATAGAATAAAAACAATAAAAACCTAATAATAACAAAAAATAAATAAAAATGGTTGCCAATAACAACCTTGTTTTTAATCTTTTTTAACTTAAAGAACTAATTTTTCCTCATTATTTTAATATTGATGAGAATTTCCAAAAATTACCTTTCTGCAATTCCAACATGAACCAAAATGCAACAAAAAAGGTCTCTTATCATGTTTTGATTGGAACAAGATTTACTGGAGAAATTTTTTGTATATATATATAAAATAAAATAAACATCATTGTAAAACCAATATATTACTCGCCTCGCCCAGAATCTAAAACAAAAATTTAAGTAATAATAGTTAAATCATTATATGAATAAGTTTTTTAAATTTTCTCAAACATTATTATATTAACACTATATCAATTTCATTAAATTAACATTAGGTAGATTAAATTGAATAGCATTAGGTATTTTTTATACTTATATTTTTGAATCTATGGCATGACGTTTCTTTGTAAGTTCAAAATTATCTGATTTGTATAGGTAATGAGCCACTGGTTAAGTATTAATCGTTATTTTTCGTCCATTATTCGTCCATTTTTAACATAGCACACCAATTACAATCAATAATAAATGGATCCATGTGTCTCCATATGGCCGAGATTTAAAAATGTCGTGGATCTAAATGACTCAGGACCATATTGTCCTGAGATCTGAATGTCAGAGTTCTAATCTGGTATTAATTCTTATCAGAATATTTACCATTTACGATGATGACGCGGGATCTATTTGTCATGTTACCACACGAGTATATATCTCTTATTTACAAAGACGCATTAAAATAATTTTTATTAACAACACGGGTCAACAAATCCCTGGTTTTTGTGGTCAACAAGTCGATAGTGAATTCTGTTAAAAATTGAGTTAATTGAGATAATTATGTAACAATCAACCAAGCAAATATGTTCACTATAGTTTTTTTTTTATTTACTCTAATTGTCAATTACGAATTAACAACAATTTTTAAAAGCAGATTTTACAAGAATATTAAAAATATCATTATTGTGTTTACTGACACAATCACTGCCAATAGAAAAATATACGATGTGAAACTTTGAAAAATTTGTTACACCTACTGAAAAAAAATTGTATTTGTTATGAATTTTCCACCAAGTATGTACGTAAATTATCAATAAATGCTATTACCATAGATACCTACATAGCACAAGGATTGCACTAAGAAAATTAACAACAATGTTTATTTTTCATCCGTGTTATCAAGGTAACCTATAAATCAACAAAAATAGTTAGGTTTGTACACTAAAAATACCTGAAAATCTAATTTTTGGGAATGGTATTCAATAGGGGGTGGGTTTAATTATCTATAAGCCTTCTCCGGACAACGTGAAATATCTTTCCGAGGTTTCATGGCGATCGGATGAATAGTGTAGTATGCATAAACGACAAACAGACATACATTCATTTATATATTTTTAGATTACCTATTAGATTATTATCTCGAAAATACGAGCCAATTTGACGAAACAACTTACATATTGTAATTCAGCATTCTCAAATTAATCAATATTCAAAAAACCTTGGCAACAAATTTTTTTTAAATTTTTTTTGTTAACCAGTGTAATAATTATTATTTTTATCATTATTAGTTTATTTGTTATCGCTAAAAAAAAAAATTGACTGACAATTCACCTCCATGACCCCAGTCGCCTTAATCTACGACTTCTTATATTTATATTGTTGAAAAAGCAATAAGTACTTTTAGGTATTAACCGAGCTCCGCTCTGAATCGTTTTTCATTATCAATGGTTAACGATTGCGTACAGATATATATTCAATTTTCTCTTTACCCTCCCAACTTATCACCTAAAATAGTGGCATCGATCGTCCCCCCTCCGAGAGAGGTGGGCTTGCATTGGCATAGTCATTGATAGATATAATCAATATATTATTTGACATTATTTACATATTTTCTTATCGATCATTAATATTAAATTTAATTATTTCGAACCCCCCCCCTCCTTAGCCAAGGTCTGGAGACATCCCTAAACAGAGGCCCACCCATGGTGTGAAGTATGTTCGTTTGCTTTTTTTTCTGATTATGAACACATTAAAATAAGTCATTTTTTTTAGATTCTGAGTATACTGAAGAATGTATTGAATGTATTTACCATTGATTTTATAATATGCGTATAATATATGTATATTATAAAATCAATAGTTTCAGTTTTTTTTTTTTATTTACTGTGTAAAAATAATTGAATCATAAATCTCGGTAAGATATATACGCGCGGCACTATTTCTGAAAGGATATGTTTCCCAAATGGTACTTATGGGAGGTCATTTTTTAATTTTCCAAGCGGTTTTCAAAATATCTGGGAAAAACCAGTATAAAACGTACACTTTATGAAAATAATACGTTTATTATTTTTCAATTTTGTTATTTGTTGAAACTCAGTTAAACATATTCGTAAAAACTTGAAATTTGTCCAGAAACCTTATATTTGCCTTTTCTAGACGTGGTAAATTTTTCAAAAAATGTAAACCATTTTTAAGGTATTTATAGACATTTTAACTTTGAGTTTTGTACGTAATATTTATTCTACAGGTACTCTGTGGTGAATTTGTTAAATTTGAACAAAAATGTTTCAAAATTTAACAGGAGGTTCATTAAGAGTCTTACTTTGTAGTAAAAAAAAAAATTGAGTTTATTGTAGTATTTTTTTTATAAAGGAATTTTAATATAAATTTTGGCAAAAAAATTATGTCGAACAAATCTTAATAAATTTCATAATATCTGGGAAAAAATATTGAAAAATTGTTATAATATTAAACAAATATTATTAAAGAAAATATATAATGCCTATTTAATTATTTTACCATAATATAACATATATACTGTTGACTAAGCATCACTATCAACTGAACTGCGCTCAGAATCCTTTTTTTCGTTAGCAATAGTTCATCGTTATACACGATACACGGATATACATTAAATTACCTATATCAGTGGCTGCACCCATCTCCATTAGCCTAGAACGTCTTTCTTTTATTTTTGTTTTTCAGATCCACTTGGTGCATGGAGGCTGTTATCTTTTGATTTCTCTTGTAATTTTCAAAATATCTAATTGGAAATAAAACTGACAAATTTATATTTTAACTTAATAGAGAATACATTAATTTGTCTAAAAGATATTCTAGCAAATTTTAAGTGCAGTATGTTTTCTGAAAGGAAATTTCATGTAGTTTATGTCCATTAAAGTTGTTTTTTTAGTTTTCTTAATAATTGGGAAAAATCCTATGAAAAACTGAAATTTAGAAATATTAATCATTTTTTTTATTGCAATAATTTGGTTAAAAATAATCTTAGACTTGACATTTTCACGAGATACTTACTTTAGTCTTTTATAAACATTATCAAATTTTCAAATTGTATTTATGGGCATTTTACATTTTCGAGTGTAATGTAATAGTTAATTTTTTTACAAACGTTTTAAGTTTAAACTGTAAGAATTACGGCTTTTTAAAAAACAACAGAACTTCCCTCAGAATTGCATTTCGTTAGTAATGATCTTTGGTTGTGTTTATGAAAAAGTTAAATTGTAATAAATAGGTATATACATAGGTATTACCTTTCCAACTTCCTACCCACAAGAGAGGCACTTTTTAATATGCATCAATTTAACACAAGAAAAAAAACATGATGATATAACACAGAAAGAAAGAATTGGTTTATGTAACCAAAAATAACAATTTACAATTCTTTAATATTTTAAAATATTATTTTATTACCTATGTAACAATAGTTTTAACATTTCTTGGCTATTGATTCCTAAATTTTCTAAAAAAAAATACTTTCCATGATGAGTATTATGTTATGTTGATACAAATATATTATAATACTTAAATAGAAATATTTAGTTTTATTTAATTATTTCAATTAGTTACATTATAATATAATGTAATACAATATCTATATAATCTTTTCTATACATTTGTGAAAATATTAACTAATATTAATCACAAATCTGAATTTATAATATTGGATGTAAGCAAAAATAATCATTTATTTTAAATGCTAAATATTAATGATTTTCTTAATATTTATTTTAAAATAATTTTAATATTGTTAGTCACGGTTAAAATTAAATAGTTGTTTCTGAAAAAACTAACTTAATTGATTACAGTACATATTTTGACACTGTTCCTTTACATATTAATATAACTATATAAAATAAACAATTATTAATATTACAAGTCAATGTTTCTAAGAGTTAGTCTCAGAATTTTAATTATTTAGATTTAAAACTAAAAAATAATTTAATGTGTAAACTAAAATTGAGCTGATTATTTGTAAAAACTCATTTGATTAATATCAAATATATATATTTTACAATATACATGATATTAATCTACCCTAAAGTATAATAATTCATTTAAGTTATAACACAAGTGCAAGATCAATAGTTTAACAATAAATAAAAACAATAATAATATTATAGATGTCATAATAGTAGAAAACCAAACTTTTTTCTAACAACAGATGTAGTTGGCATGGACATCATCCACTTCCTGAGACCTATTAGTACAACTGATGAAGTTACCAATACAGCACCTACAATACTGAATATGTTGGGCATTTCATTGAAAAATATTATCTGCCACATGAAAGCAAACACTACATCGACAGTTCTTGCTATAGCTACCAATCCGGCTTCTTCAAGTTGAGCTGCTATGGTCAACAACATCTGCCCAGAAAAACTAAATACACCTAAAGCAACAACCAACAGCCGCTCAGTGCCACATTTTGGCCAGCACATACCCCCAGTAGCCCATGCCATGCCAGAAGTTTGTAATATTGAATATGTAGCAAAACTTGTCATTATAACGCTGAAATGCAGATTCTTTAATGCTCTAAGTAGTATATAAACAATAGCCGCAAAAAATGTTGATAGCAGAGCAGCTAATGGGCCTAAGAAATTGTTATGTTTGGTTGTCTGCCCAAATAATATTGGAGGCCTTGTTATCATTAAGACTCCTAACATGGTCAAGAATAATGCAAAGTAATGAAATAATCCACATGGTTCTTTAAGAAAGATTCGGGCAAATATTGCAACCACTACAGGTACGCTAAACACAATTACTGAAGCATCAGCTAATGGCATATGTCTAAAAGCATAAAAAGTCAGAGACAATGAAGTGGCTCCAGCAAACGAACGCAGCAGTAGCATGAGTCTCTGACCTTTAGGAAACGGATTTTGATTTTTGTAAATCAATATGGGTATGGTAGGTAGAAGTACTCCAATAAAACGTATCGTGGCCAATTCCAATGGGTCCACATCGCTCAGCCATTTGACTATTAATGAACTCAGTGAGAAGAATAAAGATGATAAGGCAGCTAGCAAAATACCAAGAATGTTGACTTGTGTTTTTGGAGAAGTGATCGGTGTGACTGGTGAACTCGTTGATGGTGTATCGGATTCGATTACCAAGTTTCGAAGTTCCAACCGTTCAGCCATTTACATGGTTCAATTATTACTCAAGTTACAAAAATTGACTGTTTGCATATTCTAAATCAGCAGCCCCTAGATTACCCCCGAAGATTTAATTCCGGAACATATTTCTGTGAAAAAAATTTATAATTATTGTAAAAAAATATTTCAAGACATCAAAAACTGATTACCTAGTGCCTTCAAAGGCGTTCAAATGCACCATTTTTATTCTAAAAGAAAAGATAACGATTTTTAGATCTTTAAACTTAAGAACATGGATAATATAAAATAGTAGATGTCTAAGTCTAAACTATAGTAAAAATAGAAACAGTAGAATCACAATCTTGATATTTGATACTTTGATAGTGTAATCACTGCAATTCTAGTCCATGGATCAATTTCGCAAATCGAAAAATACAGTGTTGCAATTATTTGCGTACAGCGTATTCACAGCTCATTGGTTATGACACTTTTTTTCGAACGTACTCTGGAAAAACTAGACCTACAAATTATAACAAATAGTGCATACTTTTGGGCTTTGACACTATACAGTATACACGAATTAAGAGATGTTCACTTCTTTTTTACCAGCAATTTTGCTCCGATTTACAATGATAGCACTTTTTCGAAAAGAAATCTGACTGGGTAGTACTTTAGGGAGGTCATGTTTTGATTTTCCCAGCTATTTTCATAATAAATGGGAAAAAAGGTATAATATTAAACAAATATTTAGAAAAAAAAAAAATATATAAATAATGCATATGCAATTATTTTACCATAATATTACATACTATGTTGTTGACAAAGCAACACTATTAACCGAACTCCGCTCAGAATTTTTTTTCGTTAGCAATGATAAATTGTTAGGTACGTACAGATATACATTAAATTTCTCCTCTTCTACATTCCCAACTAGTCACCTACAACAGTGGCTCATGCACGTGCGAAATATGTCCCTCTTTTTTTTATTGTTAACTATTGATTAGGTAGTCTTTAAACACCTATATACTTAATTAAAAATGTAGTTATGCTATTGAGTAGATACTTAGCTACTTAATCCAATTTGAAATCATCGAGATCTATAATCCCAGAAATAATATTATTATAAAACCATTTATATTTATTTTAATATAATATATTACCTATTTATTGTTTTCTTTAAGATAATACAAAATTAGTTTTTATGTAAGTATCAATAATGTTTTGTAGTTCGTCAATTATAGGTACCTATACAGTTTATTATATAGTATAGTAAAGGTAGAATAGCTTAAAATCAGGCGCGTAGCCTGTAAGCCTGGTGGGCCTACCCAGATTTTCTACGGAAAAAAAAACAGTGATATATAAAATAATATAAGTAGGTATCTACTCGTAGATTGTTGTACTCATATTTACAACAGTATTCGGACAGAGATTAGACGTATTAATAACCGGAGAAAAAAGTGTTTAAACTGAAAAATTATTTAATTTTGCAAAAACTTTTTTATTTTATCATTCCAATGAATTTCTTATTAAAACAAAATATCAATGTGCATTGGGTAAAATATTATTTCCATTTAGTTCTGATCTTTCTGAATTGTTTTACCAAGTATAAAGTTATCAAGTTAGGTTGAAGAATTAAAAAAAGCTATCTTAGGATAATGGGGACGGGTGCAGCCACTGTTATAGGTGGGAAGTTGGGAAGATAAGGTACAGAAGGGAAAATCGAAAATTGGCCTACCTAAAGTACCACCATAAGAAAATTTTCTTTCAGAAAAGGATATACATCAGAGTAAGTTTTCTGGTAGAAAGTGTTCACATAAAAAAAAAAAAAACATCTTTATAAAACCAATACATTCTTCACTCCACTCAAAATCTAAAAAAGTAATTTGTAACTTGTTATTGTTATCCCTGAATCTAGTGCTTCAACGAAAAATTCTAGACTAATGATTTGATGTTACTTTCCATAGAAAGGAAAATAAGTGGATAATTTATGGATAATTCATTGGCTATTATTGACGTGCTTGTTGTAAAGAATAGATGATTGGAACTTTTATTTTGAACATATTTGATAAATAGACAATACCTTATTATAAGTTATGAGTATATAGTAATAATAATAATTTTATTTTATAAAACTCTCTTGTATTCAAATAAATACAAATTGTATCTTTTAAAATAATCTATTTACTTTTTGATTCAATTTGTTTTAATTATTATATAATATTTATTAATATAAATAATCATTGATAACTTTGAAATTATGGGAGGCTAATATAAAAATTGGGATAAGTTTCCATTTCCTTCTATGAGTAAGTGGGTTTATAGTGGGCCAGTGGCGCTGAACTAATTTTTTGTATGTGTGACAATAAGAATTAATTTATACCCACTTACCTCTACACGGTATTAAACTTAAACATAACATCAATTTTTTAAACTATAATATATTATTTCCTAAATTATGTTTTAATAACATTTTTGCATCATTTAATATTTTAATGTATAAATAAATATCTACTTTAATTTTTAATTAGCATTAGTAGAAATTATTCATATGATCATTAGAAACTGATATATTAACATTTGAAATAGATAGGAATATATTGGTTTTACTATGATGTGTGTTTTTGTATAATTATTTATTTTTATTTTCTATAGCTGTGAATAACTTTTCTACCAAAAATCTAGCTCCAAAGTATAAAGTGTTGCACCTTTTCTGCAAGGTAACTTTGTTTAGTTAGTGTATGAAAGACGTCAATTTTTTATTTTCTTAGGTGTTTTCAAAATAATTACATAGATTTGCAGCACGCCACGGTGTTACCGATTTTATTATTTTAAGTTATATACATGATATGAAACCAGAAATAATGCTTCAATCAAAATGACTAGAAACCATATTTGATATTTGTTAAATTCTTAATTTGGTTGATAAGTTAGAAAGTCAGTTTTTGATTTTCCGTGTAGTTTTTTTTTAACAATTGAGCAAAGTGACTTGAATTTAAGACAGAGAACTTATATTTACTTTTTGCAGAAAAAGTAAAATTTTCAAAAAAATTGAGCTATTCATGAGCTATTTTTAAACATTATAATTTTAGGAGTTTTTCCGTAATTTTTATTCAGTAGATACTTTTTAGACAAAATTGTTAGAGCAAACAGATATTCTTGAAAATAGAGTTTCATTATTTAAGTTGTACATATAGTTGCCAACAAGAAAAAGTTGAGTTTAATATAGTATTTTTTTTGTAAGAATTTTAACAAAAAATTTTTGTTTAACAATGATAAATCATTGGGTACAGATATACATCAAATTCCCCTTTTTTTTCTGTCAATAATTAAATTTTCGACTAGAAATCTTAGTCCAATAAAAATAACAAGACCATTTTTGTTGTATTTAATTTTTAATTTTATCCAATTAGTGTTTTAGAGGTCATTATTTTTGATTTTCCAATGGGTTTTTATTATAATTGGAAAAATCAAAAAAAATTATAGGAGAAATAAGAAAATAATTATGACACGGTGTTAATTATTTCATTATCTTAACTTTTAAGATTTTTGTATTCTATCAGAAATCATACTTCATTGGAAAAATCTTAAAAGACCTTTTATGTTGAATTTTATGTTTAGTTTGTTAGTTGGTAATATTTTTTTTTTGATTTTGTTGTAAATCTATTAAAAATTATCATAGAGCTAAAATTTATTCAGAATACTTACATTATCCTTTTTCAGGCGATTTTTGATTCTGAGAGAAGCGACGGATCTTTTAGTTTTAAGAAGTTTTTATTTTTCTGTCAATAATTTTTCTCCTAGAAATCTTGCTCCAATTAAAATATCGTACATATTTTTTTTGTTGAATTTTGGCTTTAGTTGATATTTAAGAAAGATCATTTTTTTAAATTCTTGAGATAATGAGAAAAAACTGCTTCTTTAGGTTAAAAAAAGATTAAAAATAAGGTTGTCATTGGCAACTGTTTATATTTATTTATTTTTATTATTAATTTAATCTTCTTTAAACAATTGTTGTTGGTGTAAAAACGCATATTGTTGAAGAAGCAATACTATCAAACGAGTACCGCTCAGAATCTCGTTTTTGGTAGCAATAATTAATCGTTGCGTATAGATAAAAATTAAATTTCCCTCTATATCATACCTTTTTAACTTTTTACCCACAACAGTGGTACCTATCAGTAGTATGACTTTTTTACACATCTCAATCCATTCCCCCAAGAGCAAAAAAAAAAAAAAAAAAACAGCACTATTTGGTTGGGGCCTAATATAACTACTGCACATCTCTACCACATAATCTGTTGTTGCGGCACTAAATAACACATTAAAAATATTATTTTAGTCTTTATTTTGAAAAAAAAATAAGTAATACTATTATAATATTATAACCCTGTATTTTTTTTAAAATGTTAATGTATACAAAAAAAAAAAAAACTAGGAAATGAATATATGAAACAAGTATTTTTTTTTTTTTTGTGAAAATATATATAATTTTTTCAGTATTTATTTATTAGTTATGTGAGTATGATAATAAAAATATATTAATATTATTTAAAACAGACTCAAATAAATAAAGATAAATATTATATCATAGATTTTAAACTTAATACAAATTTAATGTTTAAAAAGTTGTAGTATAGCGTATTGAAAGTTACATTAGAAACTTTTAAGAAGTTAAACCAATGTTTATTACAAATTATTTTTTGTCTTTGCTTCCAGAATAATGATCCTTATAGTTAATAATATCACTGAGATCATGTTGTTTGAATTTTTCAGAGACCAAGTTAATTAAACAACTATATTGTAAAGCTGAAACGTCCAAATGGTCTTCCTATTAAAAAATAAAATAAATCAAAGTTAAAATTAATAAAGTATGTCAATAAAATTACATACAATTGTTGCACGGGCATTAATGAACATCTGTGTAAGTATGCGCATGTCAGACAATAGAGTTTCACATGGATCACTATCCATACTAACGTACACGGAAAATGTCCAAGATGTTACATCACTAGTAGTTATTATTTTTTTCATAATCCATTGAACAAAGTAGGATATAACAGTAGCACAATGGCTCTAAAAATTTGTACATAAAATATTATTTATGATCACTTCAATTACACGTTAGAAGATTAAAAAAATAAGAATATTTTTTTTATTGTTAATACATGTTTGTAGTAAATCACCTGGAAAAAAAAAGCAGATTTTTCTATATTATGAACAGGATTCACTGGAGACATTGAATTAATTTCTCTCCCAAATAAAAATTTAAACCAAACAGCTGGTGAATTACTTGTGGGCTGAAAATGATTAGGGATTAATATGTTTTTTTTTTCTTAACCATTAAGAAATATTTTATAAATTAACATACTAATAAATCATGAGGATAAATTATACATTTTCGATTTTCCTGAATTTTCATCTTGGAATTATCATACTGTTCAATATATGACATTATTTCAACTTTTGTGGGCAGTATTTTCTTATTTTTTATATTAAGCAATTCAAGTTTTGGCTACAAAATAAATATAATTTTCATACAATATTCATTATTCTTAATAGTTCAATAGTTTAGTAATGACAAAATAATATAAATATTTTATCATTTGTCCAAATTTAAAAATAAATAATGATATATCCAAATAAAATTAAACATTAAGTATAATCACTATACAGATAGATTATTTTATTGTTGAACACTCATTATTTCAATAAGTGGAGAAGAAGATTATAACCATGAAAAGTAAAACAAATTAGAATGGCAAACATATAGGGATTATGGATGTTATATAAGAGGAAGCTTTATAAAAAATCACCTCAAGCAAGTCAGATGAGTGCAGAGACCCTTTCAAGACTGCAGAGATGTTTAAAGTATTATGTAAGAAAATACATTCATGGCATGTGTAAGGAAATTTGAAAATATAGTCTAGAATTTTTAACACGCAATTGAAAATTGGAAATCAAAGGTAGATAGTTATTTACCCACAAAAATAAGCATGATAAAAAGTAATAGAAATGTAAATATAAATGTAGTTGCTTGTTTCTTAAATCGTGGAAACAAATTTTTTTGAAAAAACACCCAGTGTATGATATAGAACATAATGCAAAAACATTTGTATTAAACAATGTATATACTTATATTATATGTACAACTTGTAATTCATATGTTCTTAACTATTATTAATTGTGATTTAGTTTAAGAACACTATTATAATGAAATATAGATGTTTTGTTTTTTTACAATTTAAGACTTATTGAAGTAATTGAAAAATTACTATTACTAACCACTTTATATTCACGGGCACTGTTTTCATACTTGTTTATGTATTGCTGAAGCTCAATATTAGTAGCTGTCATAACAGGTGGTAGATTGCCATCCATTTTTCTATAATACGATAAAATTATTTAAAAATGTAAAAATTAGGTAAAAGCAAAAAATATAATTGATGTTTAAAAGTGTAAGTAACATTAAAGAATCAAGTACTATAATTGTATTAAGTTACTTAGCCATGTAAAGGTATTCATGTCCATTTTGTGGATAATCAATTTGATTAACTTGACGCATTTGATTCCTATCGATTGTTAAACTATATGGTCTACCAGTTAGATTATCACTGAAATTTAAAAATGGTGCATACAATTTAACGTTAGTATTTATAAATAACTTAAGACAAAACATGAAATATTACAGAGATGAGTGACGCTTTAATTTTGATGCTTTTCCACTTTTTCGACCCATGGTTTAAAATAATGATGTTTACTTTTTGAACAAACTATAGTACCTCCTTAGTATGATCATTTGTAAATAATATTTTTAAATTTGAATATATTGAGCATAATTTAAACGAAAATAATATTGTTAATGAAAAACTTCCAACAAATTAATTAAAAAGCAACAGACATGGTTAATATAATTGTATATAATATTAATATATTACATAATAGAATAGTCCTGATAAGTGATCACGGTCTCGGATGATAAGATCAGACAACTCTCCCTTATCAATGTTTCGGTGCTAATATTTTAAAACGTTGATACTGTAAAATTGAGCACTGCCAGGTATACGTTTTCACTGAGATAGATACAAGTATTCAATTTAGAACAAGGTTTTGAACATGGCTATAGATAATATTATCCATAGTTGTGGTTTTTAAGTTAAATGACATTAAAATCACAGACTATTAATATAATTAACTCCACGATCGTATAATAAACTATCTGTATCAATTTTAGATCATATATGATATTTATACACAATATATATAAAACTATTTTATAGTTTATATAATCTAAGATATATCTTATAGGTGTGTGATAATATAATATTATAGTAACAATGGTAACAAAGCAATTATTCTATGTACCAGTGCAACGCTAGTCTATGTACTCTAGTACACGGTTCAAGAAATAAATCGTGGTCTATATGAGTGTATATCAGTTCTCCCAGTATGATAAGAAATATAATCTCAAATGACTGAAAAAGTATTACACATATGAATTGAAATAAACAAGTTCTTAAATTAAGATTATAAAACTATAATTATATAACTATTATAACGATTATATAACTAAATTATATTTTTAAATGTTTTTCGTATCTAAGACTATGCACGAAATAATTATTTATAAAACATTTAATACATCACAATTCACTGACTGATGAATTCTTTATTTAATGGTTATTACGGTATGAAAAAAAAAAAATGTTGAAAAGGTATTGGAAAAAAGCAATATACGTCTGTTCAAGTGTGAATACATTTTGAATAAACTAGTCTTCAGGGGCGTCAATTCATTGGCATTAAATTCACGCGGACATTAATTTCAAATTCTGATAGTTGGTACTTTTTTATGTTGAGGTTATGTTTCTTATGACACCGGGAGAACTGAGTGTATCCTGGTCACGATTAAAGATATCTTTAATCGAGATATGAACAACAGATATAAAATCTGTGGTATGAACTTTACAGAATATTAGCAGTTGTCAGAAAATTGATAAGAGATTCTTTTCTGATTCAGTTTGATGTATTGTCAACATTGAACAACAAAATGTTTGTGTAGATATTTTTATTATCAAAAAAAAAAAAAAGTATCAATAATGTATTTACTTTTTAGAGCATCGATTTTCTTTAAGAAAATAATTTATATATGTATTAATATTATGATAATTTTTGTACAATGGAGCATTTGATTAATCACGATTACATGTTGCCAGGTTACGATTTTTAAAGCCAAAATATTTAGAAATGTTTTTCTTATCTATCCGAGCAATTACAAAGACGATAATTTACGAGTATTTAAGAATAATAAGGAATTTACTTTTTATAGTAAGTAATTGATGGTATTATTGAACGTAATGCTGGCTTTATTGTTCGTAAACTTACAACTAAATTAATTTTGTGATGATTGCACTATAGTTTTAATTCGAACACATTCTGAATCTGGATCAATAATAATCATAAATGACCAAGGTGGATTAATAATTCACTAGTGAGTAGTGAACACATAATTTATTATACAAGGAGTATTAGCATTAAATTATTGCATAGGTAAATTATTTTTTTTTTACATTGGTAACACCCCTAATACAAAAATTATTGTAGCTCTATCCTTATCAATTTTGTGTCAACTACCCTGTACCCGAATTTTACCAGCTCTTAGTTTGACAATCGGTTAGTCGTTATCACATGATTCGGCTATCCAATAACGATTAGAACGAGAACTTGAAAATAACTTTATTGTCGTGACTGTCGATTTTCGGTTTACAAGCAATATTGACGTTATCGTTAACAACATTTTTATTAATATTTCGCTGAGTAAACGTGCACACTATACCCGCTCGCTCGTTTACAGATTATATTTCGTTTTTCACGCACTTTTCGTTACAAACCGCTGCTGTTGTCGCTTCCCGCACGACAGTCTTATGGTTTTGCATGCGAAGTGTGACTTTCAACAGAGAATCACTTGTGTCAGTGGTACGATCGCCTTTCAGCTTGTCTCGTCTACGATGAACCGAAGAAAATTGAAACTGGACATGACGCATTCAGCCTCAGATAGCGGTAAATTCTAATATTTTTCTGAAAATGTTGACGTTCCTACTTTTTATTTTTATTAAATTCACGATTTTTAATAATTTTTTAAATTTCATATCATGTAGGTAGGTACAGTCATTTACCCATAATAACAATAATATTAATTAATATAACAAAGTTTGACATTGACGATTCTTCGCCTCAAATAGTACTCTCAATCATGGTTCGACATAGGTACTTACTACTTAGATATTATCTATTCACCATTCACTGTTACTATTCACTACACATCATACATTAGAATTCTCAGAACCAATTTAGTTTAGTCCCCCTCAAAATTATTTTTTAGAAACCTATGTATTAAAAGTTTTATAAATGATGGTGCCAAAATTTTTTTCGGAAATCATTATTTTTGTAGTTCGGATATTATGTTTATTATGTTAAATAACTATATTGCCAAATATTTCTGTATGCCGATCGTAGTCTACTGGTGATATGTACATGTTGTTATTCTAGTCATTCTAAAGATCCCAAGTTATGTTCCCCAATAACAAATTTTTTTTCCCTACATTATAGATGTTTTAATTGCTGTAATATATAAAAAAAATTCAAAATTTCTTCTGATTTTTTTAGCAGAATCACATGAAATGCACCTGGAGATTTGGCTGGGTCACTCACTCATACAACAAATGGTTGCAACTACATAACTAATGATTTTAAAAAAAAAAATTGTTTTGCGTTTTTATTTTTAAACCGTTAAAATACATAGGTTTCCGGGAAAAAAAATTCAAAATTTCGGAGGGGTGCTAAACTAAATTTATACTGAATTATCATTTTTTCAATGTTTTCCTTTTGTAATTTCTGGAAATGAATCATGAAAGCAATATACGTTCTATCCATTGTGACTTTATAATCCTAAAATCTACTAGATATACTTGTACCTAGTTCTTAAATATTTGCATAGGTATTTAAGTATTTGTATTTGATTTGTTGTCTCCGTCTTACAAATGCACGACCTAGTATTGATTTCAATATTAAATTTACTGTGCCATCCATGTGTACTGTCTTCTCAAATTGATCAAATTTTAATATTTCTTATATTTACTATTTTAATTGTAGTTTTATTTTATGAAATAAATATGTAGCTAATAATAAAATAGACATTTTTATAACCCTTAGACCACCATATTACGGTCGTGAAGGTTTTGTTTTTTTTAAAAAACATTTATCTACTTTTTTCAGACCAGTTGCACACGGTTAAAGGTTAAATAATTTTTTTTTTAAATATTTTTTTAGTGTTCTCTTGGTATATATAAGAAAGTTATAAGGTTACAAGTAAGTTGAAAAAACAATGAAAAAATCTTTTTGGTGTGTAAAAGATAAAGAGTTATATATTATAAAATACATTTTATGCAAGTATCTGCCAATATTTTACAACATTCTTAGTTTGTATTGGGAAATAATTATTATATGAACAAAACAAAATCAGTTAAATTCTTGAATATATCAGCTGTTTAACATATTTGTATTAATGTACTTCAATAACCATATTTAAATCTTTACAAGGTCAGTATTAAAATGACTAAAAAAAGTATTCAAATTATATTTATTTTAAAAAGCAAGAATTATTTGCTTATGGATAGTATGGGGGATAATAAATATGTATATTTACTCTTTATATTGTAAATGTTTACAATTATAAATGTTGCATCAAATATATTGACTGTATATAATTCAACACAAAAATAAAATATACATGTAACTACGTATTATGTACTTAAGTGTTTACATTATTTTGGGGGTCTTAAGAAATTAAAATCTAATTTATAAATGTTAATAGTTAATACCTATTATCCATGGGCACCCGCAGAAAATATATCAGGGAGAGGCAAAATAAATAAAATCAAATACCAAAAAAGTACATAAAATAAAATAATATTAATTAATTAGGTTTTAAAATTATATTTGAAATTTTGAGTCCAGGGAGGGGCAGGTGACTTGTCTACCCCCTCTTCTTCAGGTGCCCATGCTATTATCCATTATGTTTTGAAAATAATACATACATTTTTTTTAGATAGGTATTCATTAACTTTGATTAGAAGTATTTATTACTGAAATAATTTCTATGAATTAATTTTTGTGTACAGAATCAAAAGAAGTTGAAAACTATGTCAATACTGTTAAAGAACAAATAATGAATACAACTCAACAAAAAGATTCTGAATATGGTTAGTATAAGTGATTTAAATATTTTAAACACTTACCTAGAATCCAAATCCTATGCGACAATAGAATACAATAGTATACTTGTATACAGTACATATAAATATGAAATATATTTTTCATATTTATATGTATTTGTTTTTGTAACTTAACCAAGTTTAGAAATAAAAAAATATTTAAGAAATAATTCTGTTGTAGACAAATATAAATGTAGGAAAAATATTTAATTTTTATTTCTATAGAATTGTCTGTATATTAAATATTGACTAGGTATAAAACCAACAATATATAATATAATCTAATTATAATTTGTATTTATTTTTTAGTGTGGCAAGAGTGTCATGACGAATCATCGGGATATATATACTATTGGAATGTACAAACAAATATAGTTACTTGGGAAAAACCCGAATTTTATGAAGCTAATAGTGTGGAAAATCTAGGTATATTTCTTATTTAATTGAAAAATATGTTTTTACATATTGCCAAATATGGCAACACTATATTCATATTCTATGAAAGAATAAGTTATATAATTTTTGTTCCTGAAATCATGTTTCAGATGTCTCAAATAAGACCAAAACATCCAGAAAACGATTGTCAAGTGATTCGTTACCTACTCTTAATTTGAATTCATGTAATGGGTCAAAAAAATCAAAATTAGAATCTAAAGCTATTAGTGCATTAGTTGCTTATGGAAGTGATTCTAGTGAGGATGAAAGTGAAGATAATGATGATAAAAAATCTACCATTCTTCAACGATTACAACAAAAAGCTGAATTGTTCAAACAAAAAGAACTTGATAAAATAACTAGTATTCAATCATCTTGTTTACATGAAACTAATGGCCAACCAGATATTTTAGATATTATTGGTAAAGAAGTACCTCCAGACTATGTGATAGAAAAACCCATAGAAAAAAAACCCTCTGGTGATATTTTTGATATTTTAAAAAGTGAAGTACCGCCTGATTATATAGATGATACAACAAATAACAATACAGAAAAAATACATAAATTAGCTGTACCATCAGATTCAAATGTTGAAATGGATTTTAAAATTATATCTCATTTAAATAATGATGAAATAACGAATAATTCATCTATAAATTCTTCAAAAGAAAGTTCTTTGAAATCATTTAATTTAATTGCTAATTATGGTGAAGATGATCTGGAAGATTCTGGTAATAAAATTTATATTCTATTCATTTAAATTTTAAAGCTTATACTATAGCACTATTTTTAAAATAACTGTACTTATCCTTATTTTCCTACCCTATGTAAATATTACAATAATACTTGATTTTAAAATTGTTTACTCTATTTCTTAATAATGCATTTATTAGATACTGGATTAATAGCTTATTAATTATAATTATTTAAAGTTTAAAAAATAAGAATTGGATATTTAATAACATAAAAAAAAATATACATCCATGTCTATAAATGAACTAATTTAATATACTCTTGTCCATTTTTACTATTATTGAAAATGAAACATTTTTTTAATAAATCAACTATTTGATACAAAATATGTATGCATTAATATCAAGATATCAAGGCAAATATTTACTATTTAAATTTGAAATAAAATTATAACTTATTTTGTTATTTAAAAATAAATGCTTGTAGAACCCTAAAATTATAATATTAAATAATAATAACATTTACTTAAAATCTTTATAATAGAATTAAATATATTGGAATTATTTTTTTTATAACCTACAGATGAAAAAGCTTCTGATTTAAATGAAACACCATTTTCATATGTACAAGATCCATGCGCTAATACAAAAACTGGATTTGGTTATTCTGTGTCAACTAAACATAGAAATGGAAGTTCTATAAATTTTGTTAAAGGTGAAACAATAAATGTACAAAATAATCAGAATCTCGATACAAATAATGTTATAACTAAACAAAAGGATACTATCAAAAACTGTGATACAAATAAAGGTAATATAAAATGTAAACAATTATTTTAAATTCTTGGTAAACTTGGTTTTTATTTTATTTATTTTTTTAGCTAAAAGTTGTATTGACGATTTATCCCTGTTGATCTCATCAAAACTTCATTTTTTGTCAGATTGTGAAAATAATGATAAATTGTCTTCGGTTCAAGTTATGACAATTAAAATTGATGTAAGTATCTGTTTATACTGTAATTTTAAATTAATATTAAAATCAGTTCATTATTATTGCTGGAATAATTTTTATCAGTTGTATAAACAGATAATAATGTTTTATATAATCATTCACTGATTTGTTTTCCTTTTTATGAAAATTTAAATATTTACTGAATACATGGTATTATGGTAAAACATGGTATATTAGTAATATACATTTATTGGTGACATTGTATGTTCAGTGAACATTGTTCACATTACTTTTAATAAATGTCAAATATACTTTTGTGTACACATACCTATTTTATAATAATATTGTGTAACCTATAAGGTATAAACTATAAGTGGTATAATATACTGGATGATTCATTTATTGTTGAACCCTCATTATTTAAAAAGTATTGACTTTTTTAAATTTTTTTTTTTTTTTTTTTTTTGACAATTTATTAAAAAATCAGCTCTTAAATGTTACTACATTTCCATTATTTTTGCCACCTTTATTTGTTGGGGAAAATAATTACCTATTTTCGATTTTAAAATCACATTTATGTTAAAATTCCATAATTAGATGGAGTATTAGTTTAAATAAATTTTAGTGTTAACATTTTTAATTTCCGCCAATCCTTTAGAGAAATATTCTACTTTTAAATTTGCGTAGGAAAGAGTAGAGACTACCTAAACTTTTCACATGTTTAAACAAATCCAAAATTTAGAAAAGTCAATACTTTTAAAAAAAAAGTTTTCATCAATAGAAGAATCACCTTATATATATATATATATATATACCTCTTAAATATCTTCAGAGATAAAGATAATCAAATTTTGTTTTTATATTACTCACAGAGATAAGGACTATAAATATTTATATTTGAACTAAATTATTATTAATGAGTAATTTATATATCAATAAACGTCCTAGGATAATGGGGTCGGGTGCAGCCACTGTTATAAATAATTTAATGTAAGCAACAATAAACCATTGCTAACAAAAAACAATTCTGAGTGCAGTTCAGTTGATAGTGATGCTTTGTCAACAATTTATGTCATAATATGGTAAAAAAATTAAATAGGTATTATCTTTTTTCTTTAATTATATTTGTTTCATATTGTACCGATTTTCCCATTTTTCCTGGTTTCATATTTGCTGGGAAAACTCTTGGGAAAATTAAAAAATTACCTCTTTAAAGTACCTCCCCAATCAGATTTCCTTTTAGAAAAAGTGATTTCATTGTAAATCAGAACAAATTTGCTGGTAGAAAAGTTGTCTACAGAAAAAAAATTGTAATATATTATTAGCGTATTTTGTCTATTTTCCCGTTTTTCATAATTTATCTTATTGGGAAAACTGGAAAAATCAAAAAATGACCTCCTTAAGTTACTATGAAGATAGAATTTCCTTTTAAGAAATAATCTACACTTGGTACAACGAAGCAAGATTTTTGGTAGAAAAGTGCACAACAAATCGAGGGGTATTTTGTAATTAAAATAATCCGAGTGAGTGATGGCTTCAGTCTCTTGGTACACCCATAGTACATTTGTTTTTTCCTTGTTTGGGTAAAATGGGAAAAAATGTAAAAAATTTGTTTTCGAAACACAAATTCAAACTTGCAAACCCTATGATGAAAATAGGTATGTATAATCATTCAAATACGACAAACATTCTTTGAAGGAAGCAATATTTAGTTATTTAACATGACATATGATATCCACATAATATCAGAATTTTAAAAAGCTATATTTTTGAAACTTAATCCGCTCAATTATGACTTCACCATCGTTCTGAAAAAAAAAAAATTGAAAAATTAAATTTGTCCCACGTAATTTTTTACTCGATGATTTTCATAAAAATTTGATATTAAAATTTTCTTATTAAAAAAAATACCATTCAAATTATCTTATTTTAACCATAAAGTAAATCTCTTAATGTACCTCCTGTTAAATTTTCAAGGATTTCTATTAAGTATAACAATTTTACCACAAAGTACTTATCGAATATAAATTATGTACAAAACTCATAGAATTAAATAGTCTATAAATAGCTCAAAAATGGCTTAAATTTTTTTGAAAATTCTATTACGTCTAGGAAAGGCAAATAAAACTTTTCTATCCAAATTTCAAGCCTACAAATATTTTTAACTAAATTACTACAAATAACAAAATTGAAAAATAATAAAAGCATTAATAGTTTCATAAATTTCCATTTTTCTTACATTTTATTCTGGTTTTTCCCAAATATTATGAAAACCGGTTGGAAAATAAAAAAAAATAACCTCCCGAAAGTATCATCTGGACAACTTTCCATTTCATAAATGGTGCCACTGTTAATTCTATATTTATGTACACAAAATATATTTTATTGTAATACAATTTAAATAATACAATATTTTAAAATTATTCATGAAATTAATAAAAAAATTGTTTTTAGACTTTAATGGAAGCATGGAAAGATAATTGTTTGAATGATGAATATTTCTCAAAGTGGTTGGATGAAATGGCTATCGAGTTATGCACATTGGAAAAGTCAGTTGCACCAGAAGGCTGGATGTGCCAATGGGACAAGTATGTGACATGCAATTTGTTAAAATTATGGACTAACAAATTTTTTGATTACCACATAATCAAAAATCATATTGTATTTTATTTAATAATTCATTTAGGAGGGGGTGCATTCTTTTTGAGGGTTATTAAACAAATATTAAAAGTGTACAGTGTACTGTACTATTGATATTTGATAGTAGCATTATTTGGTATAAAGGCTAAAGCAGTATGTTAACCTATTCATCTGAAAACAAGTAGGTATGGTGAATCAATGCATCTAGACACGTGATCGACTTCAACGCTGATCAAACAAAGGAAAACACATCAGATTGACCTGCATTGTTCAAAATAATTAATCATTACTGTAATAATATTATATTTTTACTACTTTATATTTAATAGTATTCAATTGTATGGTTTGCATTTGAGCTGTGTTAAGTGCAGGTGGAATAATATGGCGGAATTAATATCTCCAAGACAGGTTTGTCTCCAACAGGCTCTACGACAACATTTTTTCATAGTTAAAATGGTTTTTGAGTCGAACATAAGTATTATTATTAAATAAAGTTATTATATTCTAAATCATTATTTAAAAAAAAAAAAACTTTTATTATATATATTTATATGTTTAGTTAATATTTAAGCATAATTTTTTTTTTAATTTTATTTTAAATGTGTCTTCATTCATGTGTATCATTTGTTTCCTAATGTCTTTCTATGGATATTATTTTAGAATAAACACGAGGTATTACTATCAGAACATTGTTGATGGCCACACACAATGGCAATACCCAACTGAAGATCCTCACTGTACCCCTCCATCACCTGTGATAGCTAAAAAAAGTACTCCTCCTCCTCCAAATATTTCTGAACAAAATACTAGTCACCCTGAACCAGAGGACATGGATATCGAAGAAGATAACCACAAAGAAGACACAGAAATTATTGTTGTGCGTATATAATTATAATTAATGATTATATAATCACTAAAGACATTTGTAATTTTCAATTTTTAGCCACCTGTTCCTGGAGATGAGCTGTCATATGAATTAAATTCATTTTATGCAGACCTAGCACAGTTTGAAACAAAGCAGTCTGGTCAAATTGAAACAATGATTGCAGTTCCAACATCTGAAGTTGAAATCACACCAAATTCAAGAAACACTATCGATACAACCAAAAATACCTTAGAAGAAGAAAAAGAAACTGTAAAACCAAAGAAAAAGAAAAAGGTAATTATTATATTTATTCAAATTGTAAACGTAATAAATAATTTTCAGTAGATTCGGTAGAATATTGTTAATTATTAGTTATGTCATTAATGCAACAGTGAGTACAATGGGTATTTATTATTTGTTTTTTGTTCACCAACTCCCAAATAATTAATTATTATATTATTAAATATATTTACAATTATAATACTATGTATCACAAACATTTCTATCAAAATGCATTGTTATGCAAATTTTTGCAACTAAACCTCAGGTCATTATTTTCTAAATAAAGAAAAGTTAATAATTTTGTTTTAATGAAGTGTAAAATATTGCTGTCAAATAAACACCACAGAATTAAAATTTTTTATTTGTATTATGTTTTATTTACAGGTATCAAAATTAGATGTAGGCCTTGGATTAAAACAAAAATATGTGTCTTCACTTGTACAGAAATGGCAACAAATTCAAAATGAAATCAAATGACAGCTGTTTTTACATTTTATTTTATTTTAAATATTTTGACTTATTCAAATGTTAACTATTTGCTTGTATATATTGTAATTAATGATTATACCCAAATATTTATTTTTAATATACTATTTGAACATTATAATTAATTATTATTACAAAATTTACTATGTTGGAGAATATTGTTTGTTGATTGAAATATTGGACTTCTTGGCACCTTCCCTTCATAACTAACCATTATTGTGTTCACCACTAATTGTATTCTGGTGTATATTTTATTTTAACACAATTTAACTAGAATTTTATCTAGAAAAACTAATGAATATGTTTAATTAATAGTGGTACTGTAGTTCCATTATGGCAACGGAACAATATTACAAAAAAAAAATCAATGTATACTTTGGAAGGAAGGTACAAACTGTATATGTGACATGATCCTTAATTAGAGAAACAAAGAGGTTTAATAAAAACTCTAAAATAATCTCTGGAATAATCATGTGGAAGATCAAATCAAACATATGATATACATATCAGGCTTGTATAATGGATACAATTGCAGAATATTTTCCATACAATATGACAATATGATAAGTTTCAAAATAACTCCTTAATATGCAAAACAATAGTAATAATTTTTAATAATGAAGCTAAACTAAAGGCTTAAAAAGAATTTTGGGATTTGGTGTAATGGTGTTTGTACTGTTTTCAAACACATTTTATGGATTAACAGATCCATTTAATCTTAGTGTAATAGACTGTCATAAAAATAAATTTATATTTAGGGGTAAACTTTGTGCCAAATTCATTTTTTGTCAAGTTTTATTTACTTAAATAGATTTTGAAAATAATTCTACTTTGTTTTCATCCCAACTATTGGGGGTTGGCTATCTTCGTCCTAAACTTCTACATGATCCGATCTCCCATCTCACATACACCGGCTGTCCTCAATCACGTCCAGCACCCTCTTTCAGTCTTTATTCCACTTACCTCCTACATTTATTTTCTTTACAATTATTACTGCTTCTGATTCCTTTCTCCTCATGATATGCATACTTCAGTCTTATTTTGTTTACTATTGAAGTCACGTATAAGCTATCTATTATGTACTTATTCCTTATCCTAAGGATTTCGTAACCATAGGATTCATCCACCTAAGCATTCTCATTTATACTATACTAATTTTCTGTTAATTTTTTTTTTTCTGTCTGCCATCCAATGCTTCAAAGCATTTAACATAGTCTCACTACACTTTTGAAAAACTTACTTTTAACTTTCATTGGAATTTTCTAGTCACACAAAACATCTGACTTTCTCCACTTCATCCCACCACATTTAATCCTATGTTTCACATCCTCATTAAAGGGTCATCCTTAATACCTACTTTCAACGTAGCCTATTATGTCACTGCCTGTTTCTATTAGTTATTTTGTACCGTTTTTCCAAATGCATATTTTTATAAACTGTTTTACTTTTATTTATCCTTAATCCTTTTTCTTCAAGTGCTATTCTCCATTTTTCAAGCCTGTCGATAAATTCTTCCAGATTTCTCCTTTCAAAGTTAAACTATATCATTTACAAACACCATGTACCATGGTGCCTCCTATTATTTATAGGTACTGCGCACATCCGACATGAGACAACCTAAGGTCTTGTTCAGAACCACGATTTAAGATACATCTTCAGCCGTGTTCAGAACTGCTCATACCTTTTGTCAGAATTTCACTCCGGCTATCGACCTGATGCGCAACCACATTTGTGAACTCATACGACAGGTATAAGTACCTACCGTGAGAAACAATTATTGAGATGCATACATAATATAATAAATGAATAGCGTAAAGTGGAAAATTAAAACAATTTTGATAAGTGATTAGTAATGTATCTAGTTTAATTAGGTAGGTGTAGGTATCATGATTAAAGATTTACTGAATGTATCATATATACCGTTGATGATATTATATCATCGCAAACAAAAGAATCATTCTGCGTAGAGCGCTCAGTTGAATATTATATTTCTATGTTTGTCTTGTATTAATTTTATCGAACATTTTGAATTTCAAACGGTAATAGAAAATACGCCAAACTTGTTTATCTTTTATACCTGGGTACCTACCTATCAATAAGAACAATAATAATCTAACCTTACGTTGTGTCAAATTTTTTAGCGTTTCAGACGCGAAACAATTTTATCAAGCATTATGTATAACATGTAGAACATTTTCGTGATTGTGAATTCGAAAAATGCACAGTTTGGGCACCTACCTAATATGTTTTAGCATTTCGTTGGACCTTAAGCGAACACGACGCGAGCTAAATTGTTTTGTTTAAGACGAATACGTCCGTTACACAAATGTAAATGAGGTACCGTTGTCCGTTCCTACATGCAGGTATTTACGTATATAGGTTTGGATAAAAATTAAAGTTCGTTAAAACACGAATATTGTAATTTATTTTGTAGTTACATATTAATAGGTTTGTCACAGTTATCAATTTAGATCGTTCAAAATAACGTCCAACCGAACACTACTCGGAACCGTTCGTTTGCAATGGTTTATCGTTTTGTACAGTACGTTGGGTAGGCGTGTAAACTAAACAGACACTTGGGTTTACCTCCACAGCCGGGGGCAGAGTTTACATACCGTCGTTCTGTTTGGCCGATATTGTCCAAATTGTTGTTACCTATGTCGATAAAATGCCTACGATAAAAACGCGTTGACGCGCGACCGTTCACGTAGGCGCTTGTCGCAGATAAAACCCCAGAGACGGATAGGTCGGCGCTTTTTTTTTTTCTTTTTCGTTTATTTTTTATTATCTGGAATCCGCTGCCCGGACACACAAACACTCGAACAATGTCGGCACGGTACAGCCTAACCTGCTGCAATCGTTACCAATCGTTTTTCGGCCGCGTACCGAACGAAAGCGCGCGGAGTTTCCCGGTGATCGCGTTGGGAGCGGACCGGAGGCGTCACCGCCACACCGCGCGACACGCAACGACGATAACATTGTCGTTTCCGCGCGGCGGAAGTGGCGCGAATTCCATTTTTCGTCGGAGATTTCGCGAAACGTTCGCGCGTTTTTCGTAAAGCGGAAATACCGAAACGCGGCGAAAAAACGTTCGTATTTTACCCGCTCGCGAACGATAAAACACGTACAGAACGCTACGGGCACGGCACGCCCGGTCGGCCCAGCGCGCGACACGCGACGTCGTTGTTCTTCACGTTTCAATGCTCGGGTGGTGTGCGCCGTTTAAACTCGACGACAATGCAGCGCGCTCTTCAAGTGTTTTGCGCGTGTTTGGCCGCTGCTATTACCGTTTTCGTAAGTTTGTTGTTTTTAGCCCATTATTCGTGTAACCTGTGGACGAACCGTTCAAACGAATAACAATAACTTGTCACAACCGTGGATTTTAATTCATACTTGCCACTGTTTGTTGCGGCGTTCATTGTTCAGCGTCGTCTACCCGTATAGACATTTCGTTTAACATGACCGCTCGTAACAATTTAATTTGTTTTTCAATCGGGCAGGTACCGTCAGGTGGTAATATTAATGTGAAACGCATGAGAACGCGGCTCAGTGGAGTACCTTCTGAAAATTAAACGTCTATCATTTACCTACTTTAGCATGTGTGTTGTATTGTTGTTTTTGTTTCATGTGTACAAAGGCGACTCGAGTTACGGGGCTCGAAAAATTGAACGATATTATCGCCTCTCAACGCGGAAACGATGATTATGAAGACGTTATCTCAAAATGCAGAACTGAAACAGAGTCGTCCGCGGGTAATGTTATTTTACAATAATGACCAATAACTAATTATGCAAAAAATCAATTTATTTTACACGTAATGTACATCCGTACCTATTAGTAATCTGGGTCCGCTAATAGTTGACATTTTTGATGTAGTCCTAACATTTTTTTTAGGGAACTTGGGTTAGTTACCTACTCCTACCCCCCTCCCGCCCCCTACCATTAGGGAATACACTTTTACTTGATTACGAATGTTTATCTGTTTAGAGTGCATATTTATATATATTTTTTAATCAATGGCATGCATGTAGCTCAAACTAACAAAATGGTACGTTAGGAATTCGCGAGTACAATTGTATTTTAACAAGGCATAATAGAAATCTGCAGTGCGTGTTATAGACAGAGTGGCTAAATGCAGGCGATCGAAAATGTAACTTAAGGTATACTTTAAGTAACAAGAATTGTCGACTATGCAATTTTGCGGAAGCGTGCTTAAATGTTTTAACGGCACTTTAAATTCGTTTAAAATAATCACTAACGAAAATCTAGTGTTTTTTTTTACCTCGTGATTTTTAAATAATTTGACCAATTTAAATTTGGGGAAATTTTTAGAGCAATACGTCACGTTGTAAATTGCCTGTCAAAGCGACGCATAATATACGGGAGTTACCCATTACATACGTCGCATAGAGTAGGTATATAATACATTACCTACCTGAATGTTTATTTGAATAATACAGTACTTACCTGCAAAACTATAAAATATAATGTACTTATATTTAAGTATTAATAATATTTATGTTTAGCCACATATTATAATAAACCGTCCGGAGAAACAACATTACTGATAACACGTAAAGACCAAGTAAGTTAAAGGCGTATTTAAAACGAATTTAAACAAAAAATAATATATCTATAATTTATTTATTCGTATTTCAATTCTTTTTTTACTCCTTTGCGTTCATCCCAACTATTTGGGGTCAGCCACCCCTGTTCTAAATTTCAATTTGACTAGAATCTCCCACTTTGCATACACCAGCAGTCTTTCTCAGGCTTCATCTCTACCTCTTTCCTTTTGCGTTTATTTTCATTGCGATTCTTGCTGCTTTAAATTTTTCTCTTCCCATGACATGCTCAAACCATCGCAGTCTATTTTCTCTCATTTATCTACTATTGAAGCCATGTACGCCTAAGCTGCCTCTTATGTATTCATTCCTTATCACATCTTTTCTCATCACTCCACTCATTCATCTAAGCATTCTCATTTCTGCTGCACTCATTATGGACGTAAATAGGAGGGATTAGTCCTCCCTGAGTCATTGTGAGCCCTCCCTAAGATATTTTAGTATATATTTAATCTTTATTATAATAAATTGTATAATTTATAATGATAATAGTTATAAATATAATAATAGTAATAATATGTATTGGTAGGTTTTAATTGAATTTGTGTTTTGACGTTTCAATTATTGATGGGCGGAACCTACTAGTTTTGACTTGGATTGTCAATTGATAGTTTCCAAAAACAACGGAGAGATTTATCGACTGAATTGATATTTTTATTCGTCGATTGCTTTGAAAACTATCGAATGAATTGGTCGATAGTTATCATTCAGTAGTAATTAGTTCAACAGTCGATTCTAGAAACAATCCAGTAAATTGATAATTTAAAAAAATCGAGTAGTTCGATAGTTTTCACTTGGTAGTGGTCATCACCAATTCCTATGTTTCATTTAACTATGATCTATGGCCCATTATAACGGCCTGCCGCCCAAATGTATCGTTGTGCAGCCATGTGGTTGTCGGTGGTCTTTTTGGGCTCAAGCCCTATGTATTTGAGTACCCTATTTACGTCCATGACACTCATTCTCTGTTCTATTTTTCTGTCTACCCAACACTCCGAATTATACTACATAGTTAGTCTCACCGCACTTTTTTATAGGACTAAACTTTAAATTTCATTGGAATTCTCTTATTAAATAAAAGACCTGACGCTTCTCTTCACTTTATCCAACTATACTTAATCTTATGCTTCACATCCTTAAAAACCACTATTATTTTGTACAAAGATCCTAGGTGCTCAAAACTATCGATCTCGCCGATAACTGTTTATTGTCGTTAGTTGCCTTGTCCTATTCGGTGTTTTGTTTTACTTATACTTATCTTTAGTCTCTTTCCTTCAAGTACTATACTCCATTCCTCAAACCTATTGCTAACTTATTCCAGATTTTATTCTATCAAAGCTGTATTATCTGCAAACTTTATGCACCTACCATGGTAGATACCCTCTTCTCACCTGTTGTTCCCACGTACATCTAATGTGGGATAAATGCCAAATTCCTATTTAGAACTAACTCCTCATATTGTTTGACATAATTTTACTCCGGTTGTTCACCTGATGCAACCTCATTTATCACCTTTATAACAGGTAGAGGTACCGTGGAAGTATTCTTATCCCCTCCCACGGGGAGAATATTATTGTAAACCATAAAGTGGATTCCTCCATCCTACAGAACCAATACCATGTATTCACCTAGGTTTTCCTCCAATAGGACTTCGGGCTCCCGGGTTTGCTAAATATTTGAAAAAAATGTATTCGTATTTTAATATAACTAGTGTTTTTTTTTTCTTTTAGTGTTTGCTGGCTTGTTTGATGAGAAAATACAAAATAGTAAGTACCTATACTTAGTATACTTATATATATTATAACGAAATATCTGTGTTGAAATTGGAACATAAAAAATAACATTACGATTGGTTGTGTATTTGTATATATGCAGATCGTTACGGGGAGACTTCAGAAGGAAGAGTTGATTAGAGTAGTACAGGCATATTATCAAAATAATTTGAGAAAAAAGCAATTTGTAAATTACGTTATCGAAACATGTGCGAAAAAAGGTAACAGTATATAATAATAATAGTTATAGTGTTAGTACTTATATTAAATGTAAGAATATTTTTATTTCGAGTAATAATCATTTCACTCTGATGTAGGTTTTTTGACATAAACATTTGAAAACAATTTTTACGACCCAGGGAAATATTTTAATATTTTGAAATTTTTGAACAAAATTTTGCATTTCAGATTCTAAGTGTATTTTTACTAAGATGTGTTTTTTTGTTCTTGGAAACACTTATTCGGTTAATAAAAATAATTTTTTCGCACTATACCTTAAAAGATACGGATTTCTCACCTGATGGAACTATTCGAACAAGTTGTCGAACTTCCCAATTTTAAAGTATTAAAATAATGTAAACATTACATTAAAACGTTGGATCGGATACCTGGTCAACTTGTTGAGTGTTTTTAATTTATTAAATTGAATAAACCACTAGTTATTTAATTTGTTATCGGTACTACACTGTTTTAAGATGTTCAAAATATTGTATCATAAAAACTATTTAACGCCCACTATGACCTATATTTACAGAATATTTTGAACATTTTCTAGATTAATTACCTATATGTGTATTATATAGAAGACTAAATAGTGGACAACTGCAATAGCGATAACGCCGTTGTCATTGTTATGCATGTTTAATACACATATTATTATACACCTAGGTACTTATTTTTTCAATATTTATTATATAGATACTTTTTTAATTGACAAATACCGTGCAATTTTTTGAACTCGAGATACTTCTCGATTTATGTTAATTTTAGGTGTAGAAAGACCTTTCGGAGTATAATTAAACACACGTTCAACTCGCATCATACTGATAAATATTCAATGGGCAATAATCAAAACTCTATTTACCGATATGTATATAGTTTTCGTTTTACTTTTTTCGTGCAAAAATTAAATATTCTGTACCGATACCTATATTAATTTATAATGTTAATTATTATACAAGTATAATTTACGTATATATTTTTTAAATTTCGTCCAACTTTTTCAGTTCAATGGTTCACAGATGAATGCACATTGGCCGGTGCTCTAACTATTTGTGTGACTGACGAATCTAAAAAATATTATAATATGTTGTCCAGATACGAGCGTCCATGAGACATCACTTCGGAGCAATTCCCTTATCACATAAGTACATAACCGCTCTTGATCACAGTTATAATGTTTAATAACTATTAAACGTGAAAATATATTTAATAAAAAGACAATTTTCTTGTATGCTATTACCTTCTTTTCCTTGATAAATTTGCAATATGATTAGCAATAATCGCTTACTACCGTAATTAATAATGACGACATTTGGGAGGAGTGCATTTGTTCTAATTTGTTTCTAATTCTTAACCTTGTCTGAAGTTAGCCTTTTTTTTTCGGCAAATAATTCCTTTACTTATCAGTTTAAAGATTCGATAAATTAATTTGCTCTATACCAAATATTGCAATGATGCCCTAAGGATATTAACCCACATTCCGATCGGTAAAAACGTAGAACGTATGTGTATATACAAATATACATTTAAACTAACTTATAATCTAATTTCATTGTTAACGACAATCGAAAATTATTATTATTGGGTAAGTACTGTTCACTTTAGTCCCTAAGTAATATTTTAGATTCTAAACGAGAATTAGAGTTACTATGATCAATGATTGAATGACCCGTGATCTCTTAAACTATTTATAATCGTGCAGTCTTGTCACTCATTTGATTATAATAAATAATAATTATATATTTATTGTATTAAAATATGTAAAATATTTCACCTCGAGTAAATATTAATATTTTACGAATCACGACTATGCACGAGTATAATACGTATTTAACTTTTTATTCAGTGGCGGATTTAGGGACAGGCTAAATAATAGGCTATAGCCTAGGGTGGCTGTTTTTTTTGTGAGGCGGATTTTTTTGTTTTAAAAATTAAGAGTTATTAGGTAAATTTATTTCGTTATATTTTTTTATATTTATAATATTAACACAAATACAAATAATTTTAAAAAGTTACGATAATATGTACGATGTACCTAGTAAGAATATTACAATTATTATTAAAATTGTAAAATACTTCACGTGTAATATAATCACTGTTAATAATATCATGGATCAAATAATACTATTATTATTTAATTTATTGTACTATTAGTCTGCACCACGAATTAAATCCATCTTACATATTAGGAACATCCGAATATGGGTATTTTCTAAAAATATAACAGTTATTTGTTATTTTCGGAAAAGATATTAATAATACTGTTCCATAATTATACCACTACCCGCGTGTCCGCATCTGGTTCACCTTAACACTGTCTACGACCGACGACTTCGCGCGGTCATCGTTTTCAATTACTGATAATATTATGTCCAAAAATAACAATGAAATAAACCTTTAATTTCTCACATTTAAATTTATTTGAATGTTGGTACTTGACGAGTGACGGCACTAGTAGCCTGCAGTTTATTCATCTGGACTGGACGGCAGTTCAAAAGGTAATAATGCCGGGTTTACACGATGCGTAGTACTTGTCATTAGTACTTATTACTCGCACTCGCATATTGCGTGTAAACAGTAAAAATAGTGGTCAGAATTAGTAAAACCGGGAGTGCGAGTGAATAGAATCATCCGGTTCTATTTACTAATGACAAGTAGTTACCCACTCCACGACTCTGCTCTACTCGCGGTTGCACTCGCAACGTGTGACCGTCCGATGTTAGTGCTTAGCAACAATTATAGGTAGGATCACGTGTGTATTTTGTTGACTTTTCGATTTATCTATTACCTGTAGCTAAAAAAGAACATGTTAATTCCCGTTTTATCCTCGCAGGGGTTGCAGTTAATCGCATAATTGTATTTTCTCTTTGAATTAGACGTGATATTTTTTGTAACAGAAATTCAAATTGGTCAGGTGTTATCCTCATGAAACTTCTATGCTCAAGTTGATCTTCAGTATCAAGTTCTCTTAAAATCCCAACTGAATTACCAAGGGTATCCCGTCGCAGCAACCATTTTCTTGTCCATAATCGTTTTTTTTTCCGATTCGTTTTCAAGTTCTTGAATAAATGATGATATTATAACGTTGACATAATGTTTAAAAGTTTTCTTTAAAAAATGCGGCGGTTCATCGTGACGTTTGGTTCGCTACTACTTGCTTGCTAGTAAGTATGGCAATCACGTGTGAACAATAGTTAGATAGTAGGAGAACGAGTAGTAGTGCGAGTGACTAATACTAATGACAAGTACTACGCAGCATGTAAACTCGGCATAAAGTACTTTAATTGCTCTAATGAACAAGTAGGTAAGTATGTACTTTTCATTATTTTATTTAACCTTCCAGCGGGCACGCTTTTGAAAATAGTACAACAATTTTGTACTTGTGGATCTTTTTGTCTGACTTTATTTCTTTCCTTCTTTAGTTGAAATTTTAACTTTGATTTCATCACATACATTGTACAAGTCTAGTGGTGCAGTATTGTAGATAGTCACTAACTGCAACGCGCATCGTTCTTTATGTAGGTACCTACCTAATTTATTATTCTACAAATAAACAGTAATTCGTTGTGACTATAATAATGTAAAACATATAAGTATTATTCTGGATAAAAAAAAGTGAATGCAATTTGAAGTGAAGAGTTCAGACCAAATATTCTTGGTTTCTTAGAAGTGTGAATAGGTGGGTGGGGGCGCCAGAGCGATTAAGCCTATGGGTGCCAAAACGCTAAATCCGCCACTGTTCATAAAATCGTTTTTTAATCTGGTATGTTTCAAATTGTTGTTGATATTCATTTCTAATCGTATAGTATTACGTATCTAGGTATTATTTTAGCTTAGTAAATTTTAACAAACGATATAATTAATAAGCAATAAGTTTGATAACGCCGTTAAGAATTCCATTGAATGTTATAATAATATGTAGACACGAGATACATTTTGTTCCAGACTACAATAGTAATTCGATAAAAGTATTAGGTGGTCTAAACAGTATTATATTCCTTATCACACTTTATGATACCTTTGTATAGAATTACTACAATATGTGTTTGTATAATATTGTAGACTGTCTTTTTTGTGAATTTTGCAATTGAAAGTTCATCATTTGTAGTGGTTTTTTTTTTAGACTTAGCAGTTCTACGAATATATATATATATATATGTATATGTCTACTATTGTAGGTATGGGAAATCCGGAGAGTAGTATAAAGATAATATAGGCACAAGTATTTAGATTTCAGGTTTTAATCACCGAAATATATCAATTATTTTGTAATAACTAGGTATTTAAAAAAAAAATGCACTGTATTTTGTAGTTTAAATAAAATGTTTATTTTTAGCCACATAAGCAAACATTTTTGCATACATTTTTTGTTGATAAATTATTAATATTAAAGTTAGAGCCCAAATATTCAGGGAAATAGGTAATGTTAATATTAATTAGTAATAAAATAATTTAAAATAAATAACACTAATAATAATAAAAAAGAGAACCATTTACTGTTTCGCAATTTTGATAAAACTTAATTTTTGATAACGTTAACCGGTCCAATAGTTATGCCAAGCTGTAATAAAACGATATTATAAATAATATTTGATAATCAACCCTTTTTTTATAAGAGTTAAAATTAATTCACGCCGAATATGACCTTAAGTATTAAATAAAACTATCAAAACGATTTTGTTTCATTGTTAAATGAACCAAACCTTATTATAACGGGTAATACGACCCAAATTAGAGTAAGCTGTAAGAAATTTTAAACGTGCAGATGGTTGTCTGTTTTTTTAGACATTAGTACACAAATACCGTGTTTGAAAATTAAAAAATTAGTTATACTATTTAGTTCTGTAGTAATATTATTTTAGAAATCCTGCACTTCTTGTTAGTTGTTAGTGTTTTTTGTTTTAGAATTTTTGAAATCTGAGAAGTTTTATGCTATTTTTTTAGAGAGAGGTCTTTAGATTTTGGACAGTAGGGAGAAATCCCTAGAATAAACCCTAAAATATAAATATTATAATATATTAGAAATAATATACTATTATCGAAAAATAACTTAAATTCGTAAACTTTTGATAAAGGTTATCGAACTTCTACTACTTTTAAAAACAATCTAATTATAGCCATCTATTAGAAATGTATTTTTGTACACTTGAAATTCACGAAAAGGCGCTTGAAAAAGTTTCGGAAAAAGCAATTATAAATATTTAAAAAACCAAAACTGTTAACCGTTTGAAATTCTTTCTCTCTTATAAAATACTAATTAAATATAATCGTCTAACACCTATACAAATATTACTAACACAAAGTAATTTGTTTTCAATGAAGGTTTATGTATTATTAAAAAAAATTACTTGTGTTAATCATTTTTGTAATACTAGAAAATTATATTTTATAAATTAGAGGAGTGAGAATCGAGAGGGCATTTTTAAAACCTTTCTACTCTTTGCCATTTTTAAGTGCATTTTCAGGGATTTTTTGACGCTTTTAAGAACAATTTTATGAATTTTAAGTACCTATGTATAATTCCGTTCTCTAGTCATCTATTATACATTAATACCTATATTTTACTTTCAACGAAAATAAATTAAATAAATAAGATTATCTTAGAGTTGAGTCTATATCTTACTTTGCTAGCTTCTTTTGCAACACAAGAACCAACAATACCAGCTAATGAACATTCATCGGTTGCCTCTGATTCGCCTATGAATTAAATATATTTATATTAAAAAAAACTACAGTTAATATTTTAAATATTTTTTATAATAATCTTAAAGTATAGTTATTTATACCCAGAGCCGTGTCTAGGGGGATGTGAGAAGTGCATAAGCACCGGGTGCTATAACCTGCAGGGTGCGTTAAACTGACACCAGAGAGGCACCAATGAAAATGTTAAAAATTTTGTAATTGATTATTTTTACAATACATGTATGAGTGAACGTCGACAGACAGGTTTAGTATAAAAGATTATGATGACTTTTTTTTTTTTTTGATACATTTTTTAAGCACCGGGCGCTGGTTTTGCTAGACATGGAACAGTTTATACCTATTTCAGGTAAAATGGAATCAACAATATATTTGAATTAATGTTATTTAGAATAAATGTAAAAATATATTATCTATTTCAAATTCAATATTATTTATATAACCATGTTTATTATTTGGCAATATTTGAGGTGATGTTTAGAGTAGGTATTTGTATTTATTTTATGTCAATATAAAAAAAAACCCTTTCTTACCTTGCTTCGCACAGTATTCTATAAAGGTATTCGCCTTAGAAATAATTTCCTCGTTGGTTCCGAAGTACGTGTATAACAATTTTTTATATCCAGTTTCGGTAAACTTTAAATTATTAATCTGCAAAAAACATTCGATACCATCCAGGTTATTATTGTTATTTGACAAATTTATGACATCCATACAGGGTACAACAGGACCATTTGGCATTTTTACATTGTAGTTACATAGGTAAAAATTTTAGATAGTCCAGTTACACTCTGCATATCATTGTATCACCGTATATACTCACCATGTTTAATATTCTTAACATACAACCCGTCATGCACTGAAAAAAAAAAAAATAATATTAGTATCTATATGGGCACCTTTAGTGGTATAGAAATTGATTATGAATATTAAGTATTATTTATAATCAATGGTATAATATTGTACAAACTTTTTCTGCTTGTGTTTCTGGTACACCTTTTGCGACCAATACTTTGAATTCATCTATAAAAAAATTATTCAAACATAATGATTATTATTAAATAGTTACGGCATATAGATATATCATTGATTATCATTATACTGATGTAGTATAATTAATTCATAAACTGTTGTCCATTAATGGTAAACTTACAGGATTTTTGAGATAAAGATTTTTAAGTTTTTTAGTAAAATCGATATTGGTGTTTTGTTCTCATCATAGAATCATTTAATATTTTAAACATATCATAATCTTATTCCGTATACATATTAACTTTTGAATTTCAAGTAGCAATTGTCCCTATTTTCTAAACGAATTAGTAAATAGCATATTTTTTTAAAAAATAAAACTGTCGATTGTATAACGATATACGGCTACAATAATATTGAATTTACTAGAGAATGAAAATCTAAAGTCAACACTTTTTTAAGTTATAATGAGTAGAGGTAATTAAAAAAATTATTTGGTATACATAGTAAAATAAAATACCTAGTGTTAAAGCTTAAACAATTCTTTACCACGGTGATTGAAAACAAATCCAGGAATAATATTTAGATAATATTAAAATATTTTGAGAAATTAGCTGGTTCATACAAATCCAAAATCATCCTGTATAGTAAATAACTAAAAGAATATTATATTGTTAAATATTAAATATCTATGAAAAATATTACTTAAAAAAAAAAATCATAACGAAATAATTATTAATAAGTAGATAGGTAACTAGAAATATAATCACCATAAGAAAAATTTGTTTCTTGTAAGCAACTTTTTATTTTTGCATCCGAATTATTATTATCAGCTGATTTCAAAGAACTTGCGCTCTAAAATCGTATAAATAAAAGTACATTAGTCAAAATCAATAGTTTTTTAAATTATTTATAATATTTATTATTTTTCTAAACATTATAAAATATTTTATGTTTTTGACTAAAATTTTTTGTTGAGTAACATTTTAGATTGCGAATTGGACAAAGATTGTATTTTATAGAAAATTGATCCGTGCGTAAAGATCAAACAGCCGTTTTTAAACTAAAAAATATACATCTACTATTTATTTACTTAAGAACCAATAGTATAAATGTATAAAACTAACACGTAACAATTAATTACTTTTAGTAAAAATGTAAAGCCACTAAGACACTAACTCATAAATAGGTATAAATAGGTTAAGCTACCAAAATAAGAAAATGTATGACTAGGTATTAGAAAAATACCGATTTAATGACAATAATTTTGGACCAATGTTAATTGGTTTAAAATTGTGTTAAAACTGTTTTTAAAATCGTTTGAACTATAAAATATAGCATGTTAAGATGTATATTTGTTTTTTAACAATTCTACATTAATGCGATATTACAAATTACTAGGTACGTGAAGTAGTCCAAGTTAATATTTTTAAAATAAAAAAAATACAAAATATAAAATACAAAAATAAAAATGTAAATAATATATTAACTTTACCAAAACGACAGAAACTGACAGACACAGGCACATCATTACACGAAGGAAGTACATTTTTTTTTTGCGTTTATTCGATTTTATTTAACTTACAATAATAATACGATTTTTTTTCTTGTATACGCGTAGTGTGCAGAATAATTCTTTTTCTTCCGTTATATTTATATACTAAAAAACACATACACACACACACACACACACAAATGTTGCTATAAGGAATGGGTGGGGTAGGTACTGGTTTTGCCAGAAGGTTATATTCTCCTGAATAATGAGAGAAACGATAAACATAATATATCGTTTTTGAAAAACGATTCTGTGCTAAATTACATTTATACATATATATATATATATATATATATAAATTAGCACGGATGTGTTATAGATTTAAATACTGTATTTTAAATAAGTATTACATTTTTAAAAAAATGAGAACGGTATAGTTTTTGTCAGCTTTTACAGTATTTAATTAGGTATATAAATACATAAATTAAAATACCACCCGATGGTATTTTATTTAAAAAAAGTTTTTTTGATTGACAACAGGTTTTTTGTTTTGCATTTTCAACAAATGACGATACTTTTTGGGGGTTAATCTTCATTGTAAGGAAATAATATGACTTATTCTGTAACTTTATTAGTTTACCGAGCTTCCTAGTCATTACCCCGTCAAACTATGAATAAAACATGACTTCGAAGTTCAACGAACCGAAACAGCAAAACGTATTATTATTATAATATATTTATTGCCGGAAGCATTAATATATATTTATATTATACATAAATATATAATAACGATATCCAACAAACCAGTTTATTTGTTTAAACATAATATACAGTGTGTAAAAATCTTTTTTTTTTAGTTCTAAAAATAAAAATTTTAAACGGTTAGGGTTTAACCGTTAGACTAACGGTTCTTTAACTGTACCTAGATGAAGAAAACATTTGGAATCATTCTAGATTTTCATATTATTTGATACACGGGTACCTACTAATTACCTATAGCTATTTTGTGGTAAAACGTATATACTTATACTCAGTAATTGAAAACATTTTTGTTTGCATCTAAATTTTTTTGTTGAGATGTTCTGTCCCCAGTACTTTTCATTCTTGCGCTGAAGAGGGTAATAACTAAAACAAATATTAAAGGAAGACGAAAGTACATTATCAATCAATCAGATTAAGATACGCTTTTTTGGTTTCACTGACGATTTAAACGTAATAGGGGAATCGCTTGCAAACATAGCCGCATTGGCTGGGGTTTTAGAAGAAGCAGTAAAGAAAATAGGTCTTGATATTAATGTTGAGAAAACAAAGATAATGGAACTCGTTGAGAATGGAGAGGACCAACTGATTTCTCGTACTTAACTTACTTTAAGTACTAGAAATAACTGATCAAAGGAAATAAGTTACCGAATAAATAAAGCCGAACAAGTTTTGTATGCAATCGAGAAAATCGATAGTAAGATTATATGTGGTTATTATAAGACCAACTCTTACGTATGGTTGTGAAGTGTGGACGACAACCAAGCAGACGGAGAGAAAAATGAAAAATGTTGTGAACAAAGTATGGAGAAAAATATGTGGCGAACAAATATAAATTAAACAACCTTATGTATCCTACCTTCCCAACTTCTCACCTACAACAGCGGCCCTTTCATCATGCGAAGTGTGTCCGTCTTTCTTTTTACTCTGTGAAATGTTCATAAATGAAGGATACAGAAAAAAAACCGGAAAAGTCATTTATTTAAAACTGAGGGAAACGTGTTTTTAATTTAAAAATGTAACAATTTTTTTTTTACAAAGTACTAAGTTCGGATCGCAATATTGCATTATAAATATTGGCGTCAGATAAAATCGGGAAAAGTTGAATTAAAAGTCCAGAGAAGGCTGTAATAAAGTTTCTACAGCCATCCACATCGTTCTTTTGTTATAACGCCTAAACTAAAAGCATGCAAATTGAGACGATAGGCATGTAAATTCATGCTAACTGCATGCTAAATATTGGTGCAAAAAAAATTTGAAATTTTTGAATGGGTGGGCTGGTGAAATGTACCCACGTATATTATTAACCAAGGCTATAGCCGTATATTAAAAAAATAACCTATAACTTACCTGTTTATAAATTTGACTATCGGTTTTTTTTCCTATAGGCCTTAATTTTCACATTCATTTCTTTCGAATAATCTGGTTTATTTTTCGTTTCGATCGCATAAAATATACGGCACGTCAATACATATTATTTAATACCGATATCGCCATTTTGGAAAAAAGTGACTTCTAGTTTTTTCCCTGTGCCCTTCAAATTTAATATAAAGTTCGTTAAATTTTTATAATAAACATTTGAAAATCAAAGATCTTTGATTTGGTATAATGTTGTAAATTGTGATAACATTTTTATGTCTAGTTATGAATTATACTTAAGAATTAAAATTTTTTTTCATACATTAAACTTTTTGAAAAAAATGTATATAGACAATGAAAATATAAATTAAGATTAAATATAGATTAATATGGAATAGACTATTTGTACATTTAATGGTTAAATTGAATTTTTTCCCCGGAAGTTGCGTAAATCTGGTAAAAATTGTGTTTTGTGAAAATCATTTACACGTTTCGTCGGACTTTTGTTGTTACTTTCGATGTAGAACGGCTACCCGGTACTGTTGGTAATCCAGCCTGTAAAAAAAGGTTAATGTTAAATTCGTTTTCAACAAATACTTGGTAGCCAACCTATATTACTAAAATATTATATTCGTTTGTATTTTTATTAAGCTGTATTATGCTGCATTCAGCTTGAAAATCAGTTAGAATATACAATATATAATAAAATATATTCTATGCGTATTTTATGCATAACATATTATAATTTAACATTAAACGAAGTTTTGACTTTTTTGTTAATTTGCCCAGCATTGGGCACAGGTATCCAAGTATATTATAGGTATTGTATATTCAGTTTTTTCAAAATAATTGTATCAATATTAAATAGTAAATATGTAGAGACGTTTGCGAACAATTATACTAAAAGACATTCAATTATACTTATAAAAATGTGTAATTTACTTTTTGAGCTTCTTCCACAACACAAGTGGTAACAACACCAGCTAATGTACATTCGTCAGTTCCTGCCGATTGAGCTGAAAATTTTAAGTATACAAGAAATGTATTTAATTTAATGAATTTTTTTTGTAGTATTTTACTAAAATTATTTGGCTTTGTTATTAAAAAGTTAGGTTAAATGTCATGTTTGCTGTGTTTGAAAAAAAAAAAAAAATTAAACTATAGATTACTGAAATTTGGTTTTGTATGTCTGTAACAGTAACGGAATTCTAACTGAATAATATTGCCTAGGTATTAATTATTTATGCAGAGATTTTAAATTCTATCGATATATATCTATCTATATAATATAAATGTATAATATTATGCTATTTTTAGGTAGGCCGCATCTAGAAGTAAGCCGCCCCGTGCAAACAAATTTTATGCCTTTCCCCCTTTAATTTTATATATTAATTTTTTTTGTTTTAAAGCAACGTTTACATACAAAATAAGTAAGATACGTTTAGAAGCAAGTATTTAATAATTTAAATAAGAAAAACCTATAATATTATATGATTTTTTAAATTAGTATTTATAAAATATCATATTTTAAAAGTACGCCAGAGACGTACGGTTTGTATTGAGCATATGTGATAATTAAGAGTACCTAATAAACGATATTCGAGTATGCGGAGTATGATAACAAAACTTATATCGTGCATTAAAATACGATTATGAGGGATGATTCCAGGACCACTAAACCCCCCTAAATGTGACCCTGTTTATAGGTTATGTTAGATTAATACCACAGCTATAGATAGAATGGTTCAGAGTTGGTCTGGTACACCAAGGGCCCCTGGAACATTTTGTTTTTAAGAGCCCCAGATCAAAAATTCAAAGGCTTTAAAAATAAATGCGATACTGGGAAGAAAGTCGGTTTTATTGGTCGATAATATTCTAAAAAAAAAAACAATAGATTTCGCGGATTCCTATTTATATATTATGTTATATTTAGTGATTTTCAGAGAAATTTCAGTTTTCAGTAATTGGTCTATTCATATAATCACTCACTCATAATAATTAATTATTATTTTACTGCAGGCAATACTGCGCTGCAGCCTACAATAGTCAACTTAAAGTCTAAACAATACTATGTATATTTAATCTCTGTTCAAAAAATAGTCAGTAGTTAAATGATGATGTTTTATAAATTTTGTTCTTTGAGGTGCCCTCAGATATAAATACGACTTGGGACCCAGGTCATGTTCACGGCCTATTGGCTAGGCTAACACTGGAATGGTTACGCAACGAGTAGTGATAAAGTGTCTGATGAATGTTATCCATAAAAACTTCTTTTATGACAACGTAATCTAGTAAGTAGTATTTTATAGTTAAAAAAAAAACAACACGATTTTAGAAAATTGTATCTATAGTTGTGATCGTTTTGAATATTGGTTACTTGAAAGCACTACAATGAAAGAAGAAAGAATACAATAGGGAAATGCGTCGAGCGAGTAGCTTGCTGTCGCTCACAACCGCTGAAGAGTATAATGGTTCTGTGACCATATTATCTTAAACCGTGGCCAATAATCAATACACGTGTGTGTTGTTTTAATCATTCAAACCAAACCAGTATAAAGTTAAATAACTATTCAATCAAATTTACCTCTATTTGCACAGACTTGCACTAGACTCTTTGCTTGAGTGACGATCGTTTGATTGGTCCCGAAATATTCGTGTGCTATTTGACTTAGTCCTTTTTCTGAAAATGTTCCGTTACTAATCTATACACAAAAGTTGTCAAATAGGTTTTATTTTCATAATGGAATAAGGAATTCCGACTTGATAAATTTATTGACTAATAAAATTGTATATTTAATGACAAAAACCTGTTTTGAGAATTTTGTTAAAACAGTTTGTGGAAACGTATTTTTTTCAAAACAATCGAGAACAATTACCATTTAAGTTTTTAAACTAAGATTTTTGATTCTGTTTTCAATTGAAAAAAAATATTTTATATTGTCCTACAGAATACTCACGAAATGATATAAAACATCAAAATGCTTGAAAATATTTTTTCGTTTGAATAATTCTATATAATTTATATATATATCATAGACGTTATACTTACTACATTTTTTTTTCTCATTAAACAACCCACCATGCACTAAAAAAAAAAAAAAACCGTAAAAACTTATTATTTATCCGTAACATTATGTTATTTATCATTATTTGTACGTTTATGGTTAGTATTTTATAATCGAACGTACTTTTTCAGGTTGTGTTTGTGGTACACCCTTTGCGCGTAACGTTTTCAGTGCATCTTAAAGAAAATATTCTATTAATATAATTGTGTATTGATTAAAAAATTAAAAAAATATGCTTTCTTATTATGAAAGTGTAACAACAAACAACACAATATGATACATAGGTTACATAACCTACATATCGGTCCAATATGGTTTTTTTTGTGTAAATTTTTGTTTTATTGTGTATAGATTAATATACATCAAAATATTTAAATCGTTTACGTATACATATACGTATTTATACATAATTACTGGACTATGTGTACGCATTACTTACAATTTACCTACTTACAAAATAATTTTTAAATGTAATAAAAATGTTAATATTGCATGTACCTTCAGACAATTTTGTTTCGGCAACGCAACTTTTTAACACTTCATTGGAACGACTTTTTGAGCTGCCTGAAGAGTTATCGCCCTAAAATAATTGTAACATTATAAGTGTGACATTTTAGATTTTGAGTGTAGCGAAGAATGTATTGTTTTAACTAAGATGTTTAATTTTTTTTTTCTTTTTCATTTTTTATCCTGTGTACAAAAAATTCTACCAGAAATCTTGTTCAGATATATACGCGCAGTAACATTTCTGAAAGGGAATGTTGTCCAGATGGTACTTTTGAAAGGTCAATTTTAGATTTTCTTAGCGGTTTTCATAATGTCTGAGAAAAAGTGGGATAAAATTTCGGAAAAACGGAAAATGTACGAAATGTAGATATTAGTAAAAAAATATGGTCTTTTCTTAGTGTGTACAACTTTTAAACCAGCAATTTCGCTCTGATTTAAAATGATAGCACTTTTTCTGAAAGGAAATCTGATTGGGAAGGTACCTTAGGTCATTTTTGGATTTTCCATGAGTTTTCTCAGCAAATGTTAAAATTCAGATAAAAACATAAGAAAACTGAGAAAATCGATACAATATTAAAAAAATATTAAAGAAAATATATAATGCCTATTTAATTATTTTACCATAATATGACATATATATTGTTGACAAAGCATCACTATCCAATAAACTGCGCTCAGAACCGTTCTTTTCGTTAGTAATAGTTTATCGTTACTCACAGATGTATATTAAATTAGCTATAACGGTGGCTGCACCCGTTTCCATTATCCTAGGACGTGTTTTTTTATTTTAATTTTAATCATAGGTAATAATAATTGGTACCTATATTATAATTTATTGCAAATCACGTAATGTATAGATAAATACTATATTTTAAATATTAGAAATTATTTTTTTTTTATATTGCCTTCAATTATAATATGATGATAAAATAATACTTGATTATATTATTCAATATAATATTATGTATAATGTATGTATAGTATATTATTATGTACCTATATTCGTATGGTTCGCAAGTCTTACAAAAATTGTAAATATGTAAATGATGTAAATTAATATGAAACTTAAAATATAAAGTAAAATATGTGATAAATAAGTCATTTAAACCTATAATAAAGATTAAAAACTTAATCAACTTGATATTAATATTTTTGAATACGTTTTTCTAATTTTTAAAATACAAATTTTAAACGTGCTGTTTAACGGTGTTTACTATGTAAATAAAATAATATATTATTAGAAGGTACAGCCATTCGCAATAAATACTTAATTTGCATAATATTATTTTTGATTTTTACGCTATTTTATAACGCGTATAGATAACTATTTATGTTAAATAAATTACTTACTCAAATCGTATTCGTATGATCGATTTCAATATACTATTTCAGTGTATTAAAATTAAAATATATTAAAAATGTGATTTTAACGAGTAGTAGTTAGAAATACCTACGAGTTTATTACGTGTACCTACTCGTATATAGTTAAATAAAAAAAAAATAAAGAATCAATTCGTCATTCATTATAGTATATCTATAGGTTATAATTGTTATTGTAATGGTAAAAATGCAATTTCAATAAATTACATCAAGTCAACTTACGAAAACAACGACAGCAGCCAGGCACAGGCACATTGCTCTAAGAACGTACATTTTTACAATGAATTTGTTTGGAATCGTACAATATTTAATTCACAACATATGAGCACGCAGTTCAAATGCAGAATAATACGTTTTAATCTGTATACGAGCAATAAGTCATAATATATTAACTTGTACAAATAATTATTCTCATATAGAAACAACAACACAAGTACGTAATAATTAAGACGCGTCGTATTCGTGAAATCTACGAGTATTATCAGTTTATTCGAGTTCGGTTCACGTATAAATGAAGCGAACAAAGTCCATCGTACAATTGTTTATATTATTTAAAGCAACTTATATTCCATAATTTAAATTTAGTATAAACATAATATGCCTGTATTGTGGTGTTGTTAAAAAAAAAGTATTTTTAATTTATTTATTTATTTTTTGATATATTGATATTGTAATCATATTTTCATAGATTATGAAAAAAATGAAATAAACATGTAGGTGCGTAGGTTAATTACATTAATGAAATTTAAAAATCGCTAAATGTCTACAGTATAAGATAATATATACAAAGTATATAAAGTAAATTTGTTTACTTTCAGTAAAAATTCTACATTTGAAACTCGGAACAGGATTTCTGGTATAAAAACAAATTTAAAATAATGAAATCACAATGCGCCTATTATATACGTTGGACTGAGCATGTAAATTAATACTGTACTAATAAAGTCAGGATCTAAACATTGATTTATTTGAAATTCATATGAAAAATCTTAGATTGGAGAAAACTCCGTGCAGTTTATAAAGCTATTATTGAACCCATCCGATATGATGTATCGTATGGCATTAATTGATTGGGGTGGAGCTTTAGAGCACATTTTAAAGACAATAAAAACAAATCAAAATTCTCTTTAAGGAATTGACTTAAATGATGATCTCTCAACTCATATAGTCGAATTATTCAATAATTTCTACATACTAACAATTCAATAATTTTTTTTACTAAGTCGCCGTAACTTATCTTAGGAAAAATAAATATAACAAGATTTGCAAAAAATATATTTTATAAGTGATGACAACTACAGAACGACTTCTGGAATGTAATTAAGTTATTGTACATACTGCATAAACTAGATTCCTAGGTCCCCATACAAGAGATTCGAGAATGTCGTCGTTTTTTTTCCAAATTAATAAAGCTTATTTAATTAGTAAAGCTTATTATTATGAAAACTGCTTAGGAAATCTTTCTGTTTTTCCTGTGAACAACTTTTCTACCAAATATGTTGCTTCGATTTTTAAGTACTTTTTTAAGTATATTTTTATGTAGCACCTTTTCTATTTCCGTAGTTTTTCGGAAAAATATTCTGCAGAGCACGCATTTTGTTGGAAATTTACTTTTTCGGCATCGTATTTTTCCGGGAAAATAATTAGTCAGAAAAGTATTTTGTTAACAACATTTTTTGAGAACCCCTGAACTAAACTATTATCTATATTTTATATTACTATTATTATATATTTATATAAGCAAGCATTTATGGTTCTTGTTAATGAAGAAATTGTTTTGACTTAGAAGGGAACGTACTTGTATTTGAAATGTAATTGTTCAATAAATATTGTGAATACGCTAGAACGCGATTATCAGATAGACACTGTGGCATAAAATCTTCCATAAAACAACTCATTACTTCACTGGAATTTAAAAACAATAAACCAAAGGTGTGCCTTAATCACATACCAATATTACACTAACTTTTAAACTCGGTAACTAGACCTATAGATTGAATTTGTAGATACCATGCTTGAGTCAAGTGAAATCAACAACTACATTCATCACAGGCCAAACGAAAACCCCCGTCTATCTTTCTATAACTCGGCGAATAAACTTGGCATCAAATTGATTGCCTAATCACATCAACTACGGCGCAAAGTCGATCTGGTCCTCCCTCATTCTAAAAAACCACATTACCTTTCTTTTGTTCATATAAATACCTTCCTAAATGTTCACATACAACAGTGGTCTATCTATCTTGCAAAGTATGTCCATATTTTAGATCCTGAGTGAAGTCAGGCATGTATTCTGAACTGATTATCACATCAAAATTTGTGTACGTTGTGAAAACCAGATATTAAAAAGACGTCCTAGGATAATGGGGACGGGTGCAGCCCCAGTAATAGGTAATTTAATGTATATCTGTAAGCAATGATAAACCATTACAAACGAAAAAACGATTCTGGGTGCAGTTCAGTTAATAGTGATGCTTGGTCAACAATATATATGTCATATTATGGTAAAATAATTAAATATAATAATATATTTTCTTTAACAATATTTGTTTAGTATTGTACCGATTTTACTAGTTTTTCACATTTGCTGGGAAAATCGAAAAATGACCTCCCCAAAGTACCTTTCCAGTTAGATTTACCTTTAGAATAAGTGCTGTAATTGTAAAGCAAAGCAAAATTGCTGGTAGAAAATTGAAATGAAGGCCGAAATATTTTTCAACTAATGTCTACGCATTTCGTACATTTTCCGTTTTTCTGATTTTTCCCAGATATTATGAAAACCATTGGAAAAAAATGGATAAAATGTCGGGCAAGATAACAACAAATCTGGTCACTTATGGTCCGGTGAAGAAATATTAGACAACAAATAGTACTATATAATTCCCCTGCTTATGTTGCCGGATATTTTTGTATAAAGATTTTCCAGATCATTACGTTTTACCGAATATTTTTTTAAACAGAATATTTTTTCCCTTGAAACCAATTGACTCTAATGACATTATTTACCGGATCATATGACGTAGAACCTATAGTGATTATGATTGTGATGGTGGTATTTTAATATTATTAGGTATTTTATATATAAATTATTAATTTACTAAGTATTATCATATAAAATGCATAAATATATGTATTTAAAGGATCTGTATACAATAGATTGTAGGATGGGGAAACACGGAAAAGAACATTTCAAGTCCTGTATTATTAGAAGCATCATTAGAATTCACTGACCGATTTACATGTCGGTTAGACATAACGGTTACATAACGCGTTTTACAAATATATAACTAAGGATAAACTTTGTGCTCGTTCTACATCAGGTAATATAAATCAAAATTTATTGCTATTAAATTTTGAATTTTCGTATTCTGTATTAGTAAATTATAATTACTAAAATATGTACACAATGTTGTAAAAAAAAAGGCGACACCTGCTAATGGGTGTGCCATTGTTGTACTTGAAATGTTGGAATGACATATGATATCGTACATTATTTCATTATAGGTACGTGAATAGTACCTATATTCAGCGTACATCATAATTAAAATGCGGATTTGTATGTATTTACACATTTGTCGTGAATGATTAAAAAACTTGAAATAGACGACGTTTCAGTAGAAAATGTCAACAATTTAATTAAAAGTAATTTATTGAGAACTAATTTAGTGTAAATTTCTTGCATTTCGAAACTTGAATCTCAAAACTTGTCTTAGGTTAATCTGGGTATTATCAGTTATGATACCATGAACAAATTGTAAGATCCCATGGGGAGATCAACAAAACGTCAAGAAAAGAGAACGGACATACTTCGCACGTGGGTGTAGCCATTGTGGTAGGTACGAAGTTGGAAAGGTAGGATATAGACTGATATTTAATTTATATCTGTAAACAACGATAAACCTAATGAACGAACTATAATCATAACTAACGAAAAAACCATTCTATGTGGAGTTCAGTTAATATTGTTGCTTTGTCAACTATATATATAAATGTCATATTATGATAAAATGATTACATCAATGAAGTGAATTTGTTGGTAGCTTTTACTAACGTTAGATCTCACATTAAATGGATTAATACAATTTACAATGATTATTATAAAATTACTTTAACATAATGTTAATCCAGATACAATATATTATGATTTCCTGGTGATTAATAAGTAAGTACGTAAATTTATCTGAATTTCTGATTGAATAAGGTGTTTTTTCATATAATTAATTGTACTTATAGTTAATTTAAAATTTGTTTACTAACTATCAAATTCAAAATAAAATGTTATTTTAATTTTAATTTTTTTATTTTTGTAAAATATCTCATTAGAAATATTGTATTCAATGTTATATTCAAACAAATAATCAGTCTGGGAATCGAAAAATATTACATCAAATATATATATACGAATTTATTTTTAACGTGTACACTATATTATTACAATGTTAATCTACTTATATTTAGTATTAATAAGTCATTAAAATGTTTTCCTTTTTTGCCAAGTCATTTTCCAGGTGTAGCACCTGTAGTAGTATAGTAGTATTGACTGAACTTAAATGATAAATGACCAATATATTGCTGACTGACCAGCTTTCGAGTATAGCCTTCTATTTGCTACATAACTGTAGCTTAATCTCTACAACTAAAATCTAAATAATAATTAACTCGTTATTCAAGATAGTTTGATTGTAAAGAACGGTTATTATTTTGGTAAAAAAAAAAAAATAGTTTTATTATTAAAGTATAGCGTGGGCACGTCAAAAAATTATTATTACCTATCATGACGTTATTTACCTATATATTATATTAATATAAATTTTTTACGTGGATTTATATCAGACATATAAATTCAGGTACTTTTAAACTAACAAATTTTATACGGATACCAAAACCGGGTAATTTTTAGGTTCTAAGTGGAATGAAGAAGCTTATGGTTGTTCAATAATGATGTTTATTTTTTAATTTTTTTTGCATGTGAATAACTTTTCTACTAGAAATTTAGTTCCAAATTACAATGATAGCACATTTACCTCCCTTTACATCAGATTTCCGATTGGGTACTTTAACGAGGTCATTTTTCGATTTTTCTAGGAATTTTCCCAATAAATGGGAAAAACTATGGGGAAAAACGTAAGAAAAAGGAGAAAATTGGTAGAATATTAAGCAATTAATTATATATTTACCATAATATGATATTTATATTGTTGACAAATCAACACTATCAACCGAACTCTGCTCAGAATCGATTTTTCGTCAGCAATGGTTAATCGTTGCGTATAGAATCTATACTAAAGATATACATTAAATTTCCCCTCAAATATCTTTCATAATTCTGACATAGTGGTCCACCCACGTACTAAGTATGTCCGTATATTTTGTTGTGGTTCTGTTAAAAATATTTGTAGAGACTTGACATTTGAACAGAAAACTTATATTTTTCTTTTCTATACATGGTAAAATTTTTAAAACAATTTTTTATCATTATTAACAGATATAAATTAAGTAACTTAATGTATCTTAACTTCCCAAGTTCACACCTACAAACAGTGGCATACGCATCAGCAGTATCAGCTTTTTTTTTTATTTTGATTGTTCATACCTAATTATTTGAATGCGCAGTTTCGTTCACGGGATCGAATCGTATAGTGTGTAATAAGTTAAATTTTTTGTACCGGTATTTTCAATAACAAAACGATTGTTATTATATCATTTATAGACATGGAAAATCTCATGTAAAAATTAATTAATACAATATTTAATGGCAAGGTTTTTCTCTTGAATTTCCCGGAATAGCTTTTAATAGTCAATAAAATGAGTAATAATTACTACTTTTTAGTCGGAGTAGCGAGCATTAATTTACATGAGGATAACTAAGTGTCTAAGTGAATTCAATGGTAGTTACGTTAGTAATCACATTAAATGGATTAATACAATTTACAATGATTATTATAATTTTACTTATTATAACATAATCTTAATCAGGATGTGAAATATGATGATTTTCAGGTGGTTAATAAGTAAGTACTTACCTATTTGAATTTCTTATTGAATAAGATATTTGATTTTCGTTTTATTAATCTGCATTTATGCCACTTATGGTTACTTTAAAATTTGTTGAGTAATAATCTTAATGTAGAATAAATGTGTAATTTCAATTTTATTTTATATTCTATTGGAAAATGATGTATTCAGTATTATATTATTATATTACGTAATCAATTTAATAATCGAAAAATATTGTATCAAGTATATTTATTAGAATTTATTTTGTTGATTTGTACATGTGTACAGTGTACTACATTGCTATTCTACATTTTTTTTTTGAAATTAAGTCATTAAAATATTGTACCTACCTATTTTGTTGTTATTTTTTCCTGTTGCAGCATCTATTATAGTAGTAATGACTAAACTTAAATAACCTACCTACATAGATTGTTAACTGTTTTTGAGTATAACTTGATATTTATTATATATCAGAAACCTAATGGCCAAACTCACAATTTTTTTTATTTTTTAAGTATTTTTATAATAATTTTAATTTTCCGAGTTTTTTACGTAATTTTTTTCGGTACCTAGGTAATTTGTAGATAAAATTGTTTGACAAAACTGAAATGATTGAAAATTTTATAGGAAATTTATTATAAGTAGTACTTTGTGTTTTAAAAAAAAAAAAATAGAAAAATAAAGCATAATGTACATTTTTTTTTATAAGAATTTTAATATCAAATTTTGACAAAAATCGTAAGTATTGCGGTTTTTCAAACTTCGCTCAGAATCGTTTTTCGTTAGCAATAATTATATCGTTGTATACAAATATATGTAAAATCCTCTTCCATATCCTACCTTCCTAACTTATCACCAATCGTGTGAATTATGTCCGTCTTTTTTTTGTTATTTTGAGGCGAAATAATAATACGTTTAATTTGAACCTGTTTGTATATTATGAACTTGTTTTCAAGACTTTTAACCTTGAATAAAAATTGAACGCACTGCTTGTAAGATACTAGTATTTCAAACACTTTAGTCCATCAGTGAGTGCAATCTAGTGTTGAAAACTTAAGTGTTAGGTCAACGTAGTCTGGTTTCGGTTTTAAAAACATAGTTTTTATACATGTAATATAAGTTATTGCGGTTTACCTACTCGTAGTAATTTAAGTCTCAAAATTATAATAATATTTATCCATAGACATCAACTGACGCACTGCCAACACACATGGTAATGAATTATTTTATATTTATTTATTTTATTGTTATATTTTTAGTATCTAAACCATTATTGTATATGTTTTTTTAATATTTATTGTGACGAATTTTTACCGTATTATTCAATACGATTATAAGTGTAGGCATGCCTATAGCCAGTGCTATATCCTTTGCAAGTCAGTACTGTCAGTGACGGTGTGAACGTATGGAAATATTAAACTAAGTATTAAACAATTATCCGAAACGATACTGTCCTCTTACATATTTCGAGATTTAAGCGACTGTATAGGGAAACTATATTTACAACGCTACTGAAGTGTCTACCATCATTAACAACGTAAATAGTATTGGCTCCAAGCGGTATTGAAATAATTATTTTTAATCGCCAATAATTTTTAGACGTGTTGTACATTACAATAAAAGTAACAGTTTACGAAGCCAGACGTTTAATTTTTGATGAACCAATAACACCTAGTTTTTTGCACGTATATAATATTATGTTTTGCCCACGTGTAAATTGGAAATAATTGGAACATTTTGGATGCGGAGCGTAGCAGGATCTATTGGTTTTACTATAATATGTGTTTTTTTTTTTTGTCTGTAAAAGTAAAGTAAGTACAACTTCCTATTCGAAAAGAAAACTTGCTTTAATACAACAAGTGTAGCATCATTTCTAAAAGGAAATTTTATCTAGTTGGCGGATTCGGTCGTTTTTTTTTTTGATTTTCCAAGGGGTTTTCAAAATAATTGAAAAAACCTGAAATAAAATTGTAGGTAAAATGGTAAATATTTACAGTGTGGCGTGGTGTTCCTTATTTCATTGTTTTTAATTTTTACAAATTATGTTTTCTATAAGAAATATTGCTTAAATCAAAAAATTATTATATTATTATATTATTTGTCTATTTGGTAGAGGAGTTAATCTTGTATGGTTGTATTTGAAATCGGTTTCAAGCACATGGTGTGGCATTAATTGATCTAGTTTCAGCAGTCGTAACATAATAAATCTATCATACATCATAATAAAACAAGTAATTTAACCAACGTTTGCCATTTTTTCTTTTTATTTTATAACTTCGCGAGTTTAACATTTATCAACTTTAAATTATTATTGAATCAGCAACAGATCAGTTAAATTAAGTTAATGACATTTTTTGTTTTTTTTTTAATAAATTTAGTTTATAATTAACATTTTAAACATGCATTATATGACACAAAGTTAGCATTTATCGTTATTTTATGAAAATGGCGTAAAATTTAAGTTCACTTTCGAATCTTTCTGAACTTAATTTCCTGCAAAATATAATAGTCAATATCAGGGCTTTGCACCCAAATCATTAATTGGGATTCCGGGTGTAAAAAAAAAATACACCTTGTGTATTATTAACCATGCGAATTTGATATAGTGATCAGTTTGTATATGTAAGAAAACTACAAGCAAACTAAAAAATTGCATCTCAATGCACTCAACAAAATATTCTACTATGAGACTATGATTGGGTTAAGATTTCTGGTCAAAAAGATATTTACGTTTGGGGGAAAAAATGGGGAGACAAAATATAATACTGGTGTTTTGAAACGTTTCGTGTCATCGACCCCGCTGTGCGGTGGTGTAATAACCGGATTCCCATAAATTATAAAATTATTTATATTTTAATTGTTTTAAACGATTCCGTGTGTTACACAGAACAAAACCGAAAACTGTGTGTTGGTGATCGGACATTTGTAGTTTATTGGAGGACCGTTGTAGCATAACAAATAACCAGAAATGCACAACATATTTACCATAGGCCGTTTACGAAAGGCGCTGTGCGTTTTGCTCGCATTTCTGCAAATTTCGTCGGCTCTGTTCGGTGACGACCAATATTGGACAACGAAGAAACAGATCGATTGCACGCAGGAGAGTGTGCCGGCGAATAACGAGTGTGATGGGACAGCGCAGTGTGCCGACGAAAGCGACGAAGAGCAATGCGCCAAGTGCCGGACACGGGACGCGTTTCACTGCGATAACAAGAGGTGCGTACTACAACAGTTTTATACCTATGGGAAAATATCGCGACCGAGTCGACCGATCAGAAATAACATCGTGTCGCAGTGTTGTCGAACGTTATCATAGTATAATTGTTAGAAAAAACCGGAGGAAAAAATACCGATTCTAGTGGTGGGAAAAATCCAGATTTGCCGAAGTTCGACAAACTGAAATAGAAGATTTTATTTAAAATCCGGATTTTGCATATTGAAACTTTGACGTTCAATGATAAATTTTAGGCATTATTTAAAAACACGTTTTTTGTTATTATAGAAAACAACAAAAATATATAATATATAAGATTTAAAAAAAAAAAAATCAAAAACTCCAATTTTTAAAACAAAAATTTAAATGTTCCCGAATTTGAAGTATTTTGTTGTTTAAAATCTGGATTTTCGGATAATTTGAATCTATTTTACATTACTTCTCAAATCAGTAGTTACTGCTGCGCATTTACAATTTTTTCGGAATACCGTTCATTTTGTATTGGGGTGTTGGCTACTCGTTAATGACTTGGCAGACGTGTGAATATTATTATATAAGTAATATCTCGGATTATCTAAGTAAGTTCATATATGTATCATACTTTTCAAAACCGAACTGATTTAAAAATTGTATGTGTATTTTTTCAGGTGCGTGCCGGTCTATTTACGCTGCGACGGGTACGACGACTGCTGGGACGGTTCGGACGAACGGAAACGCGACTGCAACAACTGGATATCACCGTACTCCAAAGCATTCGATATACCTGTGAAAATCGAATATTTCGACGCGGAACATTTTAAGACGATAAACTATACTAGCGAAATAGCCGCTAAAAACGATGTCAAATTGAAAATAATCGCTTACAAGACCGGGCGTTTCGACAAACCGCTGGACGCGTACTCGGTGAATTTCCAGCACATGAAGAAAGTCGTTTTTTACATTCCCGGGTTTATGACTGAAGATCTGAACGACGGGATAACTATGAAAAACGCTCTTGTCACGAGCACCGATGATATCGACTGCATCATACTGTTCGATTGGAGAAAAGGATCATATTACGGTCGGTATAGATTTTAATAAAAATATATGATTTATTAGAGAGTTCAGCATTTATAGCGGCGGCATGGCCGTATGAGATATTATACCTGCCACGATCTATGGGCGAAATCTCAAACCTTGTATATAATTACTTAACCTACCAATTGCATAATACTACAATAACAACTGTTTTTTTATCCATCAATTCAGATCACGGATGGCAACGGGGAGGATTTCCATGGCAAAAGCCTGAGGAATACAGCAACGTAGTTTACTATAACTTGCCACACGCGTCCAATATATTAGCCGATTTTGTGTTGAAAAAAATACCCGAACACGTCAAAGTGCACCTGATAGGATTTAGCCTCGGTGGTCAGTTGGCGGGTATCGCATCTAGAATAATGAAAAATCACAAACTGAAAACCATTGATCGGATATCCGGTATGTTGTTAATAACACCGTTCAATGCATCAATTTACTTTACATATGTATGTGTATAATGAGAAACCAAAAACATGACATGTTTTTTAACTAGGGTTTTTTTTTTTTTTGAAATATCTTTTTACAGCGATCGATCCGGCGGGTCCTTTATTCGAATACACGCTAAACCTGTTCACCATTGACTCAACTCATACTCTACGCAAAACTGACGCAGTGTTTGTTGACGTCGTTCATGCGTGTCTTCTTCTCGGAATGCAGAAGGAAGCCGGCCACTTGGATGTATTCATCAAAGACGTTGATTGCAAACATCCGTACTGTTTGCACCAAAGATCATTCGATGCTTTCATTGCGTCCTTGACCACATGTTCGCAAATAACATGTCCTCATAGTAATATCAATAGTGACCTAGATTGCAATGTACCGGACCGAACGCACCTATCCAGTATCGGGTATTTGGCAGACCTGTACAGCGGCCGGGGAAAACATGTAATTTACTTGTATAGAAAGGAAAACGGTCAAAAAGTTTCGACAGGTAACTGTACCGAATACTTAAAAGTCAATTTGCCCGTTAAGCACAGAATTTGTCTGGATACAAACGATTGTGGAAAAAAACCGTATTTATCGGAATGTCATATGCCGTGTACCGGCGAAAAAAAATCGACATCGATTTGCGGAATAAACGAAACGAATCGCGCGGGCTCTTCTTCGAACCAAAACAAAAATACCAAAATTAGCCCAAGGGTCTCATGGAGTGAAGTAACGGACCGCCAAAAATGTGGTAAGGCTTTATCGTGTACAATTGAAAAATCCGTCCCCGTACAATACTACGTGGCCTATAAAAAGCCGAATACCTTGGAGTATTTTTATATTTCTCGATCGGAGGACGGGAGTTCGGTTACCGAGCAACCTGGGTTGCATAAATTTTCCTATCCAGAATCAGTATTAGGCCAGACTTTGGCTCCCATTTACGAACACGGAAATTCCATAACATATACTATATGGAATGACGACGTTCCGTACGATTATATACTGAACGATACAAGGTCAAACAGTTACGGCATACCCGTCGACGTTACGTCTTTCGGTCATTCCAAAGGAGTTTTAGCGTACTCCAAGCACGGCGGGTTTTTAATGTCCCATTCTATACCTCAATATCCTCCAAATCCAAATGATAAACCGTATCAATACCCTTTAAGTGAAAAGAAATACGCACAAATGGCTTTATGTGTGACGAGTAATCAATACAGTAGTAATGTCGTTGATGAAATTGAAGCCCTATTGGATTTGATAATAAATTTTAAACCCTATGTTTACGCCTCGCACGTACAACTGAACGATTGGCCGATTAGGATAAGAAATAAGTTTGAGACGTTAGTTCACCCCAAAGATAACAAATTGCAGCATTCGCCAGTTATTAATAATAAACATTACGGACGAAATTTTATTGAAATTCACTCGTTTGGTCGATCGAGTGATGCGTATTTTCAAGACAGTATTGAAAAATTAGCCGAATATTACAGTACGTCAATGCTCACCAAGAGTCGGTTGGGTAATACGTTACCGTCTAATTGCAACCATTTATTTACAATAGAAAATATCAAGGTTATCCGTCTTCTTAATAGTAATAATACGGAACATTGGAGTAAAACTGCGGACCACACTAATTGGATTGTCTCGAAGACGTTCGAAAAAAACCTAATGTGCGTGGGTGACTTGTACAGAGACAAATATATTATAGCAAGGGGCGGAATGTTCGTTTGTATTCAAGATATTGATTTATATATTGCATATTTAAAAGCCGTACACTTCGATTTTCAAGCTTGTCAACATTAATTAACATTAATTGTACGAGTTTTACGAAATTATAAAGAACTTATTTTAAATCCAATTGATTCATTTGTATATAAGTATACAAAATATACGAATAAGCTATTATATTTAATCTGGGTGCTATTATTGTAACATTAATAACTAATAAATTATAATTTAATATTTTCTTCGTGTAATATTCGTACGTTTTGAGTACATATATATATATATTTTTAATTATTTAGTTGTTTTTTCACTATTTTTTATAGTATGTGATTATTATATTCACATAATGTGTCAATAAGGTTTGTGCTCTTCGGATATAATAATATAAGTACAGATTTATTGGACGATTTCAAGTACACTTTCGATATTTTTAGTTGCACCTGTTGTTAAATTTGCAAGTATCGGTGGCTTTTTGGTCAAAACCGGTCATTAAAATACATTTTGTTATTATATTAAAGGGATCGGACACAGATATTTTATATCTTTGTCTAACACACACTCAGCATAGCAATTTACACCTCATTTCGGATATCAGACCGAACAATTTTGTGATAATAATTCTGAAAACAGATTTGAATTCAGCGTGAAGTGTGTCTACACGAGATCAGTTTGATCAATATTTTCAATTTGATTCTTATTTTAAATTCAGACCGTGGCGTGAATGTATTGTTTTTACTAAGTATTATGATGTGCTCGTTTTTTAAGATTAAATATTGACGAAAATCGTAAAAGTTACGACATTTAAATAAGTACATAAGTACAACAGAATTGTTTTTCGTTAACAATGGTTTCTTTTTTCTTGCTCTAATCAAAAATTTACAAGAGACCACACCTTAACTGAACTTCTCACGTATTTAATTAGCACCGATTTATCGTTACGTACACATATTATATATATTATATTAATACACATTTAAATATGTACATTGTATACCTATGTATTTGAAAATTAAGGACTACAAAAATTTCAAATGGCTGTTAATAAATCAAAATTCGCCAGTATGATTTAAAACAGTATTCTGTAAAAACTTCAGATCTCTACGATTTATTTTCAATAAATAGAAAAAAAAAGAATGCTATTAGGAAGGAAGTTTGAAGAAAGCGTACATTTTGATGAATCCTCGATTAGATACTCATTATCTTGGAAAATATTTACTTATTTCGAAATTTTTTTTCAGATAACTAATAAAACAATAAAATATGCAGGTGATTCAAACTTAACCATTATTTTATATCACTCTTATTTTTGGGGAGAAACCACTACTCACTTTTGATATTCAAATATCAACCAGCTATACTGAAAATTCTACAAATAAATGACGTTTTAGTTAACATACATCATGTTATAAACATTTTTAATTTCGAACAACTCATTGACGAGATATTCAACTTTTATATTTGGATAGAGGGAGCATAGTGAACCATCATTGCGTGGCGTGCGGTATTTGAATAGTGGGTTGTAAGTAAAAATGTCTGGAGGTAAAAATGCCCGGAAGTAAAAATGTCCGGCTTGTACACTGTAATACTGTATAAGTTGTTAGTTATTTAACTAATACGAAACTAAAGGATGAAATCTTAGGTTTTCTAAATTATTTTCACATTCCCACCAAGCCATTGTTTGAAAATATGCAGTTGGAGTTAGGGGTTGACCAGTGCAAGATAGGTCAAAGGAAAAACACCAAACCACAAAAAAAATTATGAAAACTTTTTGAAATGCATATCCTTAGATTTAATTAATTAATTTAAAATATATAATAGAGTAGAATAATATATTAGTCAGTTTGATCATAATCATTTCAAACGAAATAGTAGAATTTAAAACGGCTGTTACTGATAAACTACTCATCGCATATAAATGTGTGATACATTCAAATTTTCAGAAAAATAAACTCTACATAATGGCTGTGTTAAAATAGAGCGACAAAAATAAAATAAAGTTATTTTTTAATTTTTTTTTTTTAATAAAAACAAAAAAGTTTAATTCATTTATAAATATTTGTAGTTCTCGTCACTATTAGTATAATATATTGAAAAAAAACAGAATTTGATTATCTTTATTATCTTCGGAGATATTCAAGGGTTATATCTTTGTGGAACAACATGTTTATAAACAATGGTAATATAGAGAATATAGGTATAGAGAAAGAACTACCGCAGTTCGAGGTGGAATGTTTATATGTATTCATGATACTGGTTTGTATGGTAGACAGTAGTTATTTAAATAAAATACATTTTGATTTTCAATCCTGTTGAAATCGATTTTAGTTTGTTTTATTAATAGACGTGACGTGTGTATAAAAACGTAAACACGAAACAGACTATCAACGAAAATATTTTTAAAACTTTGTAATACCTCTCTCTGTGTAAATCATATTTCGACCTGTTTATTGTATAAATATATACAATAATATACTTATTTTGAAATTATTTACAAACAATAATACGCATTTTTTTTTAAAAAAAAAAAAAAATTAGAAAACATCAGTTTACAGTATGAAAAACAAACCATGTAAACAACTAACATGCACAATTATTTTTTTTTAATATTAAATTTGTATTTTTTTTTTAATTTGGCAAAACCTGTATTCAACTTGAACCTAATCTGGGTGGTACCTAGATTTATTTTACAAAATATAATCTAATGTTTATTTAATAAATAACCAATACAAAATATGCAGATAAATAATTGTTGAAAACAATCAGATAAAAAAATAATTGCACGTACGTCGTACCTACACGGAAAATAATAATTTTCGATTACAACGTTGATTATATGTAACTAATGGCCTCCCGGGTCACGATTCTCATTTTAAGACGGCGTTTCAAATGAAAAGTAATTTCCGTGTAGGATTACTACCACGAGTGGTCCGTACCTACGGCAATGCCTGGGGATGTATGGTGGTGATGTAGACGAATATGAGTACTCCTTGTCTCCTTCCATTTTCTACCGATATGTTTTAAGAAAACAAAAATAATAGCTATGTTAGGTATTATAGTACCAAACCGTATTATAATAAATCAGAAGCACCGCTGCTCGGTGTTATAATCGGTCAGGTTTCTCCCACACGTCACAGTTCAAGTTACCTTTTTCCACCATTCGTTCTCGACTGTATATCTATACAATATGACGGATAAATATGTGACGGTGTAGATCAGTGTTTTCCAAAGTGGGCGATATCGCCATCTTGGGGGCGCTAGAGCTATCCAGTGGGGCAATGGAAGTTAAAATCTTAATCGGGGGTATTGGATTACAAAAAGAGTCGGTGACTATTTCAATTTTTTTTAACAACATTATATGTAGTAGTTACAAATTATTGTATATGTATTTTGTATTTTTAGAATAATCGTTGTCGTCAATCGAATCCAGTTGTTATCACGATAACATTTATAATATTTTGGAGTGATCTATATTATATGAATTCTATTTGTGTTTAGCGTACTCGCGGATGCTTATCGTATTCTCGCTGTTCATCGGTTTTATAATAATAGTTGTATTTTTCGTATTCAAGTTTATTTACGTGTTATATAAACGATATATAATGATATATATGTTATGATGTCATGACTGAAACGAAGAAAAGATAATATAGGCAGTAAAATATTGAATATTCAAAGTACGGTATCATTTAATTGCCTACAAATATTACATTACCGATGTGTGCCTCATTTGCCAATTTAGAATCTGAGTGGAGTGAAGAACGGTTTTACAAAGATATTTATTTATTTATTTTTTCGGTGTGTGGACAACTTTTCTATCAGCAATTTTGCTCCAATTTATAATAATAGTAATGTTTCTAAAATGTAATCCGATGAGGAGGTAATTTAGAGAAGTTATTTTTCGATTTTCTCAGGAGTTTTCCTAAAAAATGCGAAAAACCGAGAAAAAAAATGGGAAATAAGGAAAAACTTAGGAAAATCGGTACAACATTAAACAAATATTATTAAAAAAAATATATAAAGTCTATTTAATTGTTTTATTATAAAATATATATTGTTAAAAAAACATCACTATCAACTAAACTCCGCTTAGAATCGTTTTTTTTGTAAGCAATAGTTTATCGTTGCTTACAGGTATACACGAAATTACCTTTAACAGTGGCTGCACCCGTCCTCATTATCCTAGGATGTCTTTTTACAAATGAAGTCTGATTTCGTCCTGGATGGATGGTATCTTGAGATCACGATGTATGACGTCATTCCTGTCGAACCGGTATGCTGCGACAATGGTCCGAAGGGCAATATTTTGACAACGTTGAATGATTTGAATGTTAGATTTGCTGGCACAACCCCACAGTTGTATGCCATAGGTCCAGATCGGTTTGATGATGGCTNTACAATTTACGCATTTTTTCTTTGATTTGCAATTGTTTTTGGCGGACATGGTGTTTCAAATTCAACCGGGAGTCGAGATGCATACCCAGGTATTTAGCTGAATCTTTTTGTGGAATTATGATGTGGTCCAACAATACAGGGATATTTACAGATTTACGTAAAGTATAATTTACGTGTACTGACTTGTCACTGTTGATCTTGATTTTCCAACGTCTTGTCCAATTATAAATATCATTGATTGAGATCTGCAAGTTGTCTGTCGCAGCCCGTTGGTCCTTACTTGTTGTTAAAATTGCTGTATCGTCAGCAAACAGCTGTTGTTGAGTCGGTGTTAGTTGAGATATCGGCTGTGTAGAGTAAGTAAAGAATAGGTCCTAGGACGCTACTTTGTGGTACTCCAGCTGATATATTTTTCCAATTTGTTATTGCTTCTTCGTGTATGAGTCAAAATTGCCGGTCCGTCAGATAAGATTCTAATAGCGCACACCAAGTGTGTGGCAGCTGTTGAGTAATCGGTTTTATCTGTTGCAGATAAGCCACTCAGATACGATTTAAATGTTATATTTTTTACTTCCTTGATCTTATCACGCAGTAACTTACTGATACGGTTCCATTCGGTTTTATCCGTTGGGTGTCTCATTCTATGCCAGGTTCTTCTTGCTTTGCGCTTTTGTTGAACTAGATCTTTAATTTCCATAGGGTAGGTTATCTCACGATTACTAACTTTAGAACAATGTACAATGTCATTACTGAGTTTTTGTACTGCCATTTCGATTTCAGATGATGTTTTTAAACTTACCGAAAGAATTGTTGTTTTTTCAAGAGCGCTCCTAAAGAGTTCCCAATCTGTTTTTTTGTTTGTGAGAAAGATTTTACGTTCTTTCATTATAACATTTGAGCTTAACGTAAGTAAAATAGGGATGTGGTCAGATGTTAACTCTATTAGTCCTTCAGTTTCAATATAATTAGAAGAAGTCTAGTAGATCAGGGATTTTATTCGGATCGTTTGGCTTCCTGGTAGAAATTATTTCAGCATTAATGGTGTTAGCTGCTTTTAATAAAGCATGTTCTTTCGGAGTGATAAGTCTTGATCCCCAGTGAGAGTACTTAGCGTTATAATCTCCACCGACAATGAATCGGTCTCCTAGTTTTTGGAAAAACGTAATGAATTTAATTTCATACACCACCTTGAGGTGGGCAATATATGGCCGTAACTGTGAGATCATTGTTCCCATCATTAACATGAACACTAGTAGCTTGTATATGTAATTCCGACTATTTCTCAATCTCAAAGTGCTTTATAGTGTCTTTTATAATTAAAGCCGTACCTCCTCGTGCTTTACCACTTGGGTGTAGAGTGGTGTAAATGCTATAAATTTTTATTTTTAGAACAGTCCACGATGTGAAGTGTTTTTCTGTATGATATTTTCGGTATTTAAGAAGTTATCTAGTTCTTCTTTACGCTGTACTAGCCCGCTGGCGTTCCATGCTATAATCCGCAGTGAATGGATCATTTTTTTTTTTTTTTGGCTTTTGTTATTAGACTTAGATTGATTACCTTCTAATCTATCTAGTCTAGATGTGACATTAACTAACGATTTGGTTATGTTAGTTAAGGCAAATAAGATTTCCGTTAACGTACAGTCATTTTCACTAGTTCGTTGTTGCTACTTCGACGTTTTGGGTGTTGCGTTATTTAAGGCAAAACCAGTCATCTGTGCATATGAGGTAGATGCAGTAACAGTTTTTGCTGGTTTCTGTTGAATACACTGTACTGCAAATACCTTTTTAGGATGTGGTCTTTCTTCTGCCTTTTGGTAGGCAGAACAACCCTTCCAGTTTGTAGTATGCGATTCATCACAATTCGCACATTTGGCTTTTGAATTTTTAGGCTTTTGACAGTCTTCTGTTCTGTGTTTTTCACCGCATTTCACATATACAGACATTTTATTATAATAATTCTGAGTATGCCCAAACGGGGCAAATTGCTACCATTATAAGTTGGAGCAAAATTGCTGGTAGAAAAACATTGTATGAACTAACAGACACCAGCAATAATCGTGACTTAGTTGAACTATCTAAAGTTCTTTAAGGTAGAGGGGGACGATAATGAAATAATAGAAACACAAAATGGAAACTAAAAATACATGTTACAGAATCAAAACTGAAAAGTAATATTAAAAAATGGCATTAGTTTAATAAACATTTTAAACTACTAACGACAAGCATCAACATTTAATAAATGCAATAAGAATTCAAATTCAATAAAGTCAACGTACAATACAAATAATCCACGAGACAATCAATAGTCGCCTTAACATACAATTTAATTTACAATATTCAGTACTCTTTAGTATCATCAATCTCTTCAGGGCCGACTTCTTCATCATCAAATTCAACTTCTTCAGCTGTTGCTTCCTGTAAACATAAATTCAATAGTTATAGTAAATTATTTGGACTTAAGATAAATGCTAACAATAATCAATATAAGTTTCTCACTTTGAGGAGAAAAATATGATAACAATGGCAGAGTAACACATTTACTTACATTAAGTTATAATATATATAATTCAAGGCTTATTATAAAAATTATGATTAATGATACCTGGTACTGTTGGTATTCTGATACTAAATCATTCATATTGGATTCAGCTTCAGTGAATTCCATTTCATCCATACCCTCACCAGTATACCAATGCAAGAAAGCTTTCCGCCGGAACATAGCTGTGAATTGTTCGGAAATTCGTTTGAATATCTCTTGGATAGCAGTGGTATTTCCAATAAATGTTGCTGACATCTTAAGACCTCTGGGAGGTATATCACACACTGCAACTTTTACATTGTTTGGGATCCACTCAACAAAATATCTAAACAATATAATAAATTTATAATAGTTATTATACATATATACTAGTCGTTTCACGTCGATGTTGCCCATACCAATTTTTATTATTATTATTTTACCCATATTAATTTTTGATTTTAACCGTGCCAGAATTTAATGAAAACAAATAGTTGGAAAGTGGGTAGTCTACCTTCGACAGACTAAATGTGTTGTATTGTAAAATTTTATTAGTCCAAATAATAGTAATAATAATTATAATAGTTTTATTACCAAGGTAACCCTTGAACAAACAAAATAAATAATTAAGCAATTTGATATCTGCATCAAATATACCTAAAAACCCCTATTTTTCCCCTTTAGAGATTGAATTTTCAAAAATATTTTCTTATTGCACAGTGAAAGTATTAGAGGAACCACTATTCCAAATTTTAAGTCTGTACGATGAGTAGTTTTTGAGATACAGAAATCAGTGAGTTAGTGGTATTTGGATTTTATAAATATATATTTTTTTAAATAAACAAGGTTTTAATTGTAAATACCCTGAATTCTTGTTCTGAATGTTTAACATTTGATCATCCACTTCTTTCATGGACATTATTCCTCTGAATATGGCAGCTACTGTCAAATAACGACCATGCCTAGGATCACAAGCCGTCATCATGTTCTTGGCATCAAACATCTATTAAACACACATATAAAGGAAACAAATTGATAACATATTTTATGATATTATTTTTTGGTTATGTACTTGTTGTGTAAGTTCAGGTACTGATAAAGCTCTGTAAGACTGACTACCCCTAGCCGTAAGAGGAGCAAATCCGGGCATAAAGAAATGTAATCTCGGGAAGGGTACCATATTGACAGCCAGTTTTCTCAAGTCAGCATTCAACTGACCAGGGAATCGAAGGCATGTTGTTACTCCTGACATGGTCACCTACAGCAAAAATATCAATAACATTATAGAATTGGTCAAAAATCTAAACTTTATCTATTTTAATAAAGCACTCACCGAAACCAAATGGTTAAGATCACCATATGTTGGAGAGGTCAATTTCAACGTTCTGAAGCAAATGTCATATAGAGCTTCATTGTCAATACAAAATGTTTCGTCTGTGTTTTCGACTAACTGGTGGACAGACAATGTGGCATTGTACGGTTCCACTACAGTGTCTGAGACCTTTGGGGACGGCACTACACTGAATGTGTTCATTATGCGGTCGGGGTATTCTTCTCGGATTTTTGAGATCAACAGGGTACCCATACCGGAGCCTGTACCGCCGCCTAAAGAATGAGCCAGTTGAAATCCCTGTAGACAATCGCAGTTTTCAGCTTCACGTCGCACCACGTCCATAACGGAATCCACTAACTCAGCTCCTTCTGTGTAATGACCTTTAGCCCAATTGTTGCCTAAAAACAAAAATTGTTTGGGTATAATACGATAATTTTGAACACGAATAATTATGGCAAGGCTGAATAGGTACCTGCTCCACTCTGGCCGAAAACATAGTTATCGGGTCTGAATAATTGTCCAAACGGTCCGGAACGCACAGAATCCATGGTACCGGGTTCCAGATCAACCAGAATAGCTCTGGGCACGTACTTGCCTTCTTAAAAAAATACAAACGCACACACAACACTCGTTAGTTACTCGTCTTACAGTGGGGGTATGGATTTTTTGCTCACTTGTGCCGGCTTCGTTATAGTAAACATTAATTCTTTCCAGTTGTAAATCATTGTCACCGTGATACGTTCCAGATGGATCGATACCGTGTTCGTCGGAAATGATCTCCCAAAACTGTAAAATTAATTTTTTTTCAAAAATGGTTTTATTACATTATAAATATGTATGTACGCTATACGAGCAGTGTAACATTATGGTAATGATTTTATAAAGGTATGTAACATATTTGCGATGATGATTTTGATATAGTCAAGTTAGCATAAAATATACAAGTATGTACTTGAAATGACAAACCTATATTTATGGTAGATATATTATTATATGATAAACATAGATATCTATTACAACGCATAATATACACATTGTACGTTTGGTTTAAACACAATTATTGCAGAACTAATAATAATGGAACATTATTATTTCTATACAAAAATCTAAGTTTTCATTGATTATAAAATGTCCCTAGATTTTCCCGTTTTACTAAAGCAAAAGAAATCTTAAAGACTATATGAATACTCAGAATAGTTTAACTATTTGGTCAGGGAAAAAAATATTCGATAGTTCGTCCAAACTATCGATACCATAAAGACTATTCGGAAGTGTCTAGTAAAAGGCATGTTTCGTTTAACCTGTAGCAGTAAAATATAAAAAACAACAAACGATGAAACAATATATTTGGTTAAAATATTCGTATCTTTTTTCAGAACGTTTTATACAATATTGTTAATAATACAGATTTCTAAAATATATAATATTAAGAATTCACTTAGTAAGTATTTGTGTAAACGTCTTTCACTCGTAACTTTCATTATATATTATATTTTATAACGGCACAACTCGTAAAAAAAAAATTTCCTTTGACATTGGGGCCAATAATAATACGAGTATATAGTTCAATGCGTATTAATTACATAAATGATTATGCTTAGTCAAATTATTGAAATTTAGTACCGAATATAATATACCACATTATGCTGTCGTGTTTCGTAACGTTATGGAAATATTATAAATAATTATACAGGTATAAGTACACTCATGAACCTCCGAGGTTATTGTTAATTAAAAATTGAACATTAATCATACATTTTATAATATCCGATAAACTACCAGGCACTTAAAATCATTTGTGACGTCAATTTTATTATAGAGTCGATTCAGATTCGTTTGACGATACGAATTTGACGAGACTTCGATCTTAAATCATCATCAAAGTATACTACTATGCAATTTTAGAAGCCCCACGGCCAAAATGTCAAACGAGGACCCTGCGCAAAAGGAATATCTAATAAAAAAAAAGTGTAAACAATTATTACTGTTTTTACAAAGAAAAACAATAAATAATATACAGTGATAATTGATCTCTATTCAAAAACCACAAGTTTAGTATTATTAAATAAATATGTTTGTATAAAAAAAATTATACTAGTAAGTAGTAATCACTGCAATTAATAGATACCGAACAAATATTCTAAATAATAAAATATCAAAACACATAAGTAAATGATCAAATATACAGAAAAAGAACTCGCAGCTAAAGCACCCTTGGAGTCTTGTACTGTTGTGGTCTTAATTATTCTTAAGTATAGTTAGATTGATAACAAACGTCTACCCAATGTAATTGTTTTTTTTTTTATTGGCTGTCATCCGATTACAAAAATAACTTTTAATGACGGTCGTTTTTATCTGTAATAGGATTGCCAATCCCGTCTAAGTTTCACGTGGACAATTTATATTTTCTGGTGTCTGTCCAGTATATATTATAAAGTTATACGGCTAAACTGAACGTAGTCAAATGCCACATTAATTTATTTTCGCTGTCCCACCAACAAGTAATAATGCATTCCCGTATTTTTGCCGTCTTCATTGAAAGGTTTCTCTATCGAATTATTTTAAATCAGCGTTGTTTGTTATTTGATATTTTTATGTACACATAATATTTCCCGGGATATTTGAGAATCCAATTAATGCGTACCTACTTTTTCTTCTCGATACATACTATAAATATCCCTATAAGTACTTACATACCTAACTTACTACTTATTTGATTAGTAATAAACGCGTGTACAGAGTTATCAATAAAACTTGAGACAATCATTATTTCAGAAAGTATTTGCCGCACCGTCAATGGTGTTCCACTATAATACCCACGAACTTATAAAAGTGGAACAACTCAACGACGGATTGATGGAAATTAAAAATGTATTAAAACTAAAACCTGAAAATCGAAATGTGAGAAACACAAGAGTGGCAAAAATAAGAGTAATGAAACGGTTTGTTTCTTATATTTTCAAAAAAAAAAAAAAAAAATTAAATTGAAACCGAGATAATGAATGTTTTACGTTATAATATATTGATCGCCCTGTATAACATAGAACCAAATGGGGTCATCGGTAATTGCAGTTATAGTTTGAAAGTTTAAACCCAGATTACACCTAATCTAGACGACGAGGTATAAAGTATAATATAGAAGACCTCTTGTACTGTACCTATATATTAATATATTTTATGATTTCACAGTTCACACGAATCGAATACGAAAAAAACAAACCGGAAAACGAACATAATATATTCGGAACATTGCATGTGGGGCAACGCGAGATAAATAAAAACATTTAAATTAAACCCGCCGGAACTCCGATCACCGCTGGCGCCGTTCAAACGTGCAACGAGTGTGTCGTCGTTACACGCATCTGCGCAATATCATAATATTAGGGGTGGGCCGATGTATAAGCCGATACTCGATATCGGCGGTATCAGTATTTTTTTTTTTTCTAACCGATATTTTTGGAAAAAAATTGTCTAATGTCTTTGGATAACGAAAAAAGCGTTAATAAATTTGATCTCCCGAGCAATACATAGGTTAATTTCGACATTAGCTCATGGTTTTCGAATTGAAACATCGGATATCGGAATAGCGGCCCGTCCCTAAATGTACAATACTCAGTACAGTGTTTTGACCATCCGAAACCCGCAATCCGGAATGGCGGAAATAAAAAAAAAACGAGTAGACGCATACGGAACGGAGCCCTCGCTCCTCCACTTGGGGTCAGCGGGCCGCAGCGTGTTGTTATTTTTTACCGACGTCTGAAACGCGCCAGACGTCGGCAAAGACTTTCGAAACGAGCCGAATTGCAATTATTTCTAATATTGAGATATTTCCCATCATTATGGTACGGATGTATAATCTGAAAACAATATTGTATCGTCAATAACGCACGCGTACGGGACGAAACGGGAGTCGGGAAACCACCGGAACAACGGCTTTTGAAAGAAGCCTTTGAAGAACCCGTTCGGACGATGCGTCCCCCCACCCCCTCCACGATAACCGACCGCCGACCCGGATACCTAACCGATTCGGACACGAAACACGAAAAAAATAATTAATAACAAACGCGATTGACGGCCGCGTAACGTTCGTGTTATTCCGCGTGCGCTACACCCCCCACCCCCCCCTCTACAGTGTACCGGCAACGGCAACAGTTACGACCGCGCGCGTCCCGCACGTTAAAACAACCGATAAGCCTACGCGACGAATTCCAATGGCGCGGCGGCGCGTGTGTGTAAACATTAAAATAACGTTCCGTACGGAAAACAAACGCCGAATAATTTTGTTTGTGAACGCGACGCACGGTGTTGCGCAATCGGCGACGGCGGAGGCACGGCAACGCGGTCGCGCCGTTTTTTTTTTCGAGTAACCGCGCGCCGCCGTACGAGGAGTTCCTCGTGGGGAAAAAAAAAAAAAAATGTTAAACGGTACGAGGTTAGGTTTCGCACTGCTGGTACACGGCGTACGCGCGCGTACGGTTACTTACAGCGATAGATTACCCGCACGGTCGGAACGAGTCGCTTTTCGTAAAACATTGGTTCGCGCGCGTATTGTTTGCAAGGCGGTAAAAGCCGCGCCGGGGCGAATCGAAAAACAACGAATATCCTACGAAATCACCGATCGCCGAGGCCTCGCAAACGCGAATCGTCAACATCACTACGGTGCGCCCCGTGATGCACGCGCGGTACAGCAGTCGTTTTTCGAGAATGAACAAAAACGAGCGTTTCAAACACGGTTAACGATTTGACGTTTTACATTTTATAACGTTTTTTATTAGTCCGGGAAAAAATTTGATTTTTGTTCTGAATCGATGGCGGCAACGGTCTGGGGGCGTTTCGTTCCGTTACGTTTTCTAAAACACGCTCACCGGTAACCGACTTCAATACATTTAGCACGGGTTTAGACGGCCGTTAATCGTGTATAAAATACGTTTTTTCTTTTTTTTTTTTTTTTGCAGAGCGCATCACCAATAACCGTATTCTAATAAGTATGTTTTTAACAATCCGCACGGCGAGGACCAAGGCAAGAGACTTAATCGATTAAAAGTGAAAAGTGGTAAACTTCAAATTTAACCTCTAATGTTTTTCGTCGGTTATAAACACTCGGGACACCTTGGAACAGTATTATCGGGTTCGGGTAATCGGTTTGGTTTTATAAATCTTCTAAAACCGACATAATATCACGGTTAATGTTTCGCGCGGCTCTGACCGAACTCGGACGGGATCTGTACAAATGCACGCGCGATCGGACCCATCGAGCGTAAACGACCGTCGTTGGTCGTGTGCCGCGATTAATCTCAGTTTAAGATTTGTTTTCTTTTTACCTTTTTTTTTTTTTTTTCTTTTTTTCGTACAGTAGAAAAGATCGTCTCCAAAATACCGAAACGTATCGCGAACGAGAGAAAAAGTGCGGGACGAACAGAAAAAAAAAAAAAAAAACTAGTCTGGAATCGGACGCGGCGTGTTTCACGCGTTTCGAGTTTGTCGAACTCGTGGCCGGGCGCCAGGGCGGCGCACTCGGACGGGACACCGCCGCCGCCGCCGCGAAAATGGCCAGGGGCCGCCGCGTCGGAAATAATATTAACAATAATAATAACACGGCCGGCTAACGAACGCTAACGGCCGACGTGTCATCGGGTCCATATACGACCGAATTCGGATTGTCGTGCAAGACGATATCCGACGCGACTCTAAAAATACACGCGGGAGAGAGAGAGAGAGAGAAAAAGGAGCTTTTGGAACGGTACCAACCGACGACGACGGCGGGAGAAGAAACCGCGTGACGACCATTTTTCCGTCGGAAACTTGCGGCCGGCCGGAGAAACATTCTCCTTTAGCGCGACCGGCCACACTCGCCGAATATTATGATATTATACCCTCCTATCACATTTACGAACATCGCGAATCGCCTCCCGTAAATACTTTCGAAATAAAAATAACAGTAAAATATGGTCACAATATCCGAATCACGGACTTTTAATAAACTATAATAATTATAAGAGCTTCCACCAATACAGATGTCAGCTTCAAAGCCGCCGTTACAATAATCATAATTATTGGGTACATGGATTATTATTATGACTGGGGCTAGGATTTACATGCGATAAAAAAAAAAAAAACCTGTGAAATATGCAAAACAGATTTAATTTTTTTATTTCTACTAAAAATATAAATTAACGTGCTAACGATAAACAACCAATGCAGTGGTCGATGTCCGATATTTTTATCGTTTGTTAGTACTAATTTGTACTGTCTCACAATATGCGTCGTCCAATAATGTGTAGGTAATCCAAGACAAGGCTGATATTGGACAATATTTATGACAACTCGACAAATAAAACAATTACTATACAGACATTCATTAAATAAATACCATTTAAAATTCTTAAGATTCTCGAAAATCTAAACATGCAATTATAGGTATATGCATTATGTTTCAAATATACAAACAAAAATTGTTCTATTTAACCAGAAATAAGCTAAATCGTGGGCATATCTGACAACCATTCAATTTAGACTAATGGAAAAAAGTATGCAGAAGCATGGAAATCCTAGCCCTAATTATAACACATCCACAAAGTTAGAAATGTTTGGATGCGGCGTATAAAAAAAAAATGATAATTAAACGTCGAGCGAAAAGATCTACACGAATCGGAGGGGGTGGGGGGGATGTTCGAGATATAATATATTTTGAGAACCGCTTTTTGAAAAATATTGTGTTACTACGAGCGAATTCAATAATTAAAAGGCACGGTGCCAGGGCGTTTTTTGGCTCATAAAAACTTGTCGTATACGATGATGGTCTTATTTCGGCGATCGTTTTTCTTTTGGAAAGAGGAAGACTTTTTACAATGCGTATAAAACGTCGTTTTTAAATATTATGTTAATCTTAAACTTTATACACGTAATTCAAAATGTTCAATCTTTAATTATTTTTTACTATTATCCATATGAAATCGAATGAAAAATCGGAGTTCGACATAGTCTGTATAGAAAATGTAGTTGTTCATTGATTGAACGAAAAAAAGAACGGAAGGAAAATATGTTGATAATAAGTTATCTCTATTACCGCCAAGTAATTATATAAAATATTAACTTTCGTAAATTTTCTCATTTTTCCTATTAATCATGAAAATCGATAGGTAAATCAATAAATGACCTTTCAGAAAAACTGCTACACTTAAAAATCGGAGCAAAATTGCTGGTAAAAAGTTGAACACAGAAAAAAATATAATAAAAAAAAAATTATTATAAAATCAATGCATTCCCTAGCTCCACTCAGAATCTAAAACTGATACCTCAGTAGTGATAATTTACGTTTTTTTTTTTGTTTTTGTTTTTACGATACCTCTTATTTCAAATGATTATTTAAAGTACCCGGTCCCAAAATCTGGGACTATATCGGGCTGCACTCTGTATATTGTAGTGAAAATGTAAAATCGCTGAAAAGCTATTAAACACGGTCGTTTTTTTGGCGGCCTTTTGGACAACACGATTCATCATCACGGACCCGGAGGACCTCGTCTCCTTCCCGTCGGGGATTTTTTCCCTCCCGATATACCTAAACCCCCATCCTCTTCATCCACGTTTTCTCGTCGACCAGATCTGAAGGCCTCACACTTAGGCTTATGTCACCGGGTTTCGCGGAGCCGTATCGAGTTCGGCCCAACGGATACGGTCTACGGGGCACGCGGTGGCCATTTTCTTTCGGTGCGTTAAAATTACACGGCAACGTCGGCGCCCATTTTCGTACCCAATCGCGTCGTACATCGACGCTTGTCCGGGGATTCTTGTTGTTTGACCGCTGAGAGCGTGCTCAACAAACGTGTTTCGAAAAATATGACGCGATGTGCGCGGTCGTGTCGCGTGGCTGCCGTAAAATATTTGGCGTTTTGGCTGCGTCCGAATCCGGGTCCCGGGCCCTAGTGGTTTCGATTGGTATGGTACAGCGGTCGGGTCGCAATCAATGCATTGTTGGCGTTTTATTATAATCGGGTCCGAACGTTCAAAGACAAAACGCAAAACAAACAATCCCCTTGATAATTTTACCGACCCGGGACTGATTTCGACGGGGATTTTTTTTTTTTTTTTCCCCCGTCCATACGTTTTTATTTTTGTAAAATGTAGCCCCTTCGGATTTTCCGTTTTAACGCAAGACGTAATCTGTACTTCGGGCACTTTATTAAAACGTCTATAGACTGGCAGGTAGACATTTGGTGTTGGGATATGGTGTTCTACGTTTCGTTAAACGCCTGCACTGCTATGATTATTATTAATATTACGGTACGCCTTTCGTCGAACTCCGGCATCATTAGACACAGACATGTATACGTATGCCTAATTACGACGGTAACGATGACGTTAATATTATAATGAGCCGATTTCGTTTTCTCGCCGGTGATTTTATTCAAATCGTATCGCACGTGTGCATCGCGGACGATAATAATAATTGTGAATTAACGACGTCGAGGGTACATTGACCCCGACGGACACATTTTCGGATGATATTCACACGATACGAATTAAAACGACAAAGATAAAACGCGACGCAAGTACAACACCCAGCACCAACAACACGCGCGCGCTTGCGATGATGACAAAACGACGGCACGGAATCAGTGGCGCCCAAACTACGGTCGAAGTGCAACAGTCGCTGCACGATTTGAACGAGAATTCGCACCGCGTTGTGGTTGTCGCATCGAAACACGGCGTTATTATGGACCAGCGCCCTAGCAGTGGCGCGTCCAGGAATTTCCAACCGATTTCGTGTCGAGCAGGTACGTCTACTCGTACAAATACGGACGTGGAATATGAAATATTCAAAAAAAAAAAAAAAAGAAAAACGATGGGCGACGAGGTTTGCAGCGTGTTACGCCGGCGGCGAGGCGAACATTTTCAAAAATAACGATGGGAGTGGGGGTCGTTAATATTGTGCGGGGCGATCAACACAGCGCGGGCGGTAAGCCGCACATTATTATTCCGGAAAGCGTCGGCTTTATTCGGCGTCTGTTTTCAGAGAATCTACGAAACGGGCCGTTTTTAAAAATGTTACCTGCGCACTGGCGTCACTTGTTGCCACCACGATGGAACTATACGGGTCGCGTGCTTTTGACAATACACAAATAGCAAACCGTACAGGGTATTGACGATTCCACAAAACGGATGGACGTCTTGGGGAATTCGGTGAAGGTCCGCGGTGAAATTATCGGTTTCCGTCGGCGGGGCGGACGAGTTTTTCGTTTCGCGCGTAAAAAAGTAGCGCAACGCGATTTTGGTACGGCGTGACAATTCGCCGCGAATGAAACACGACGTATGCGCGCGGGAAACAACAATAACGTCATTACAATATCGTTCGGCCGCGTGCATGGGGAATCGGTTTTTTACCTGCTACACACGACCGTTTTGTATGTTTTCAATTTTCACGGGTACCCTGCCTGCCTAACCGTATGAACCACGTCCTCTGAAAACTCATGTTACAATAATTATTATAATTGTTATCACGCCGCCAGAAACTGCGGCACGCGTGCGTTTTGTACGTTCGTGACGTTACAACGGGCTCCGAGTAAATACGATGTCTATAATGAACGTACCTGCGGAACGCGTTTTACTAACCATTGACGGTCGTCGGAAAGAGAGAGAGAGAGAGAGAGAGAGAGAAAAAAAAAATAACAAACGCGTCACCGTTTGGTGATATAGCTGCCGAATAAACGCGCGGACCACGTTATTGTAATAATGCCCCAGAATTTCGTCGTCGGCCAACGGAGACGAATTTAAATGACGGGCTGCCGTGCAGGAGTATAATAATCGAATGGGTATTGTCAAGATCGAAACCTCGTGTTCCGACTATTGCGGTTGTTGTCGTCGAGATTCCGTGAGGCCGCGGAAAACCCGACGACACCACCGCGGCCGACGGCGGAACGTGAAGGCGGACGGACGGACCGGGAGGGTGTATGTGGTGGTGTGTGTGAGTGTGTATGTGTGGGGGGGGTGGTGGTGTTTGAGGCCTCGCGCGAAAAACGACCGGAATACCTTATCCGCGTCGGACACACACACGCGCGCGCGGCCACCACGTATCGAACGCGGCTTTTCCGGGAAAAACAGATGGAAACCTTTCCCGCGGGATTGCCGGTCCAGACGTGACGTCGTCACGCGCGCCGGACCAACGGAAAACGCGACGGCGGCGGCGGACGTTGGTTTCCCGGTCCGAATTCCGCGCGCGCATAAAATTACGTTTCGTTGTTTACCTTGGCTCCGATCTGATTGCCGCACTGGCCCGCCTGCAAATGTAAAATTTCCCTCATAATGTTCGCTGTCGATGCTGTGGCGGAAAAAAAAAACGGGATAAACGGTCGGTCCACGGGCGGCGATCGGGAGCGGAGTGCGCGTACGACGGGGTATGCGACGGTAATGCGCGCGGTTGGCGCAACGCGAGTATGCGACCCGTCCGCTAACGCCCGGTGTACCGTACGCAGCCGCCGTCGCGCCGCGCCGCCCGGAGTCCGCGGGGAGGGGATAAATCACGAGCGCGCGCCAGGACCGTCGTCGTGGTCGCGGTCATGCGGACCGCCGCACGTCCGCTCCGGTGTTTCGGATTTTTTTTCCCTCTATTATTATTCCACGCATTCCGGTTAACGTATTTTTATTTATTTTTTTTTTCAGCTCTCCCGCCGAGCGTACGGACTGAACAATACGGCAGGAGAAAAAAAAAATGGTAACAATAATAATGAAACCGATTTCCAAATAATAATGAACGAAACGAATATAATAATAATAACAATCCGTACGTTCGGCGACCGGACGCTGCTGTCAACCAACGGACACGATGATGTTATATAACATTATCGTGTCCGAACCGCGCGACGTCAGTATTTGATCTGGCGCGGAAAAAAAAACAATCCCCGATTTAAAACGAAATGCCCGGCGAGCGCGACGTTTTGGGGGGAGGCCGTGGTTCACCAACCACTCCCCCTACACACCGAACTACCTGTAAACAACGATTTCTTTCGAAAAGCTGCACAGGAGTTCAGAGTGTTCATAAATTATAATTAAGGCCTCTGCGGACATAGTTGTGTACCGTCACTTTAAGCGGTCAGGGGTCACATTGACTGCCGGCCGTCTGATCGTGTTAGTTGAAAGTTTAATTTTCGGACCAAAAGAGGATGTAACCTCACCCCTATAAGACGAACCGAATCCGCCACTAATGCCCTGCAAGGGTAGAATTCGATAACATTTTCTTCGCATTGACGGACTGCATAGTTTTCGGCATACTATTTCATGTATAGAAAATAATCTGCCCCGAAAATGTCGAACTTGAATCAATTGAATTTCTTCATTTGATTTAGGCAGGTACCAATTTTTTTTTCAGGCATTTTGTTCGGACACCTGAGAGCTATGGCTTTGGATCCAGTCAACGAACCGTCAAAATGTTGCGATATTATAATAATTAACCATTAATCATTAACCATTAAAAAATTCACAATTTCTTTTTGCTATCCAAGAGAAATTTAAAATTAGAAATATTTGAAATTGATTTGTTCAACTTAACAGATGGTGCTAGTACCTCGTGTGTATTTATAATGGCTTATAAAAAAAGTACACAGCCTCCCCCATAAAAAGTAAAAATATACTGTGCTACTGTTCTACGGCCCAATGGACTAGTCACCGAATTATTTTGAAATTTAATTTTTGATATACTTAGGCGGTTATTATAATTGTTTTATGCCCTATTATAGACCTATTATTTGTATAACATTATCAGTGAAAATTTAACCACGTTTATTTACCGCCACGAATTCATTAAACAATAATTAGGTATCATAGGAACATTAGATTCCTAGTTCCTAACAAATGCCTCGAAGACGATCCGTACGGATATGGCTCATATTGGTGTTAAAATCGATTTTCGCAAGACAAGATACGTTCGGCGGGAACCCGTGCGATCAGACAAAACTAGCTATTCAAGCGAAATTTTGCCCCTTCTCTTAAAAAAATAAAAAGATTGCTCAAGGACTCCGGTCATGATTATGCACGGTGTCAACGAGCTCGTGTTACAAACATATAAACTTACGTATAATATACATAAAATACGGACATTTTATTCTGTAAAGTCTTCAAAAAAAGATTTTAGAAAAAAAAAACATTGATATATTTTAACCGTTAATTCATATTGACATTTAAATGCTAAATAATAATAGACACTGCTGATGAGTGTACCGCCACTTTTATAGGTAGATAGGTAGTTGGGAAGTTACGAAAGTAGGTATATCTGTAGGCAAAATTAATTATTGCCAACGAATAAACGATTGAGAGGTGTTCGGTTACACGTGTTTTGAACAGACATAATATTTACGATTTTTGTCAAAATTTAATTTTAAAATTTTAAAAAATAATTTTAATTTGCACTTATTTCTTGACCACATATTACCTACGACTTATAATGGACCTTTTGTTAAATTTCCAAGCATTTTTGTTTGGTCTGACAATTTTATCCACAGACTACATTGTACCTACCAAATACAAATTACGTAAAAAAACTCGCAAAATTAAAATGTCTAAAAACAACTACAATGTTCTGAACATTTTACTATGTCTAAAATAAACGATACATACAGTTATTTAATTTATAATTGTACACAACGATAAATCAATGTAAACGAAATACGATTTTAAATTAAGTACGTTTTAATATATTTTAAATATATATTTTGATTTTCATCAAAACTAAAACACTTATAAAGAAATACTACCTACATTAAGCTCGACTTTTTGTTTTGACAAAATTAGAAATTATGAAACTCGTGTTAAATTGTAAATCATTTGTGTTGGGCTTCAACAATTTTATCCACAATTTATAAAACATCAAATATGAATAAAACCACGAAAATATTAAATGATGTAGCTTAAAAACCGGCCAGATTTTTTTTAAAATATCGGGTCTCTACGATTATTTCTAACCAAATTACCAAAAAAAAAAAAAAACAAAATTGAAAATAATGAAAACTTTTCCGTCGAGTACTGGTAGGTAACTTGACTAACGAGTTACATTGTAATTGAAAAAAAAATGTTACAAGTTACTGCTTATCATTTTGTCACCGATATCTCGCAAATCAACATTTTTAAATTGTCATTAAATTGAATACAGCATTCCCGTCCAACGCCAATGTTGAACGATTATTTAATGCTGGGGGTTTATTGTTTGATGATCGAGGAGGATCCATAACTGATTCAACGTTTGAAAAATCATTATAATTAAAATTCAATAAATATTTTCAATAAAATAAAAATGTAGTCACTATAATTCATACATTTTCGACGAAACATTATTATAACTATTAGTAGGTAATTAAAAAAAAAACCAATTTAAAAAATAACTTTTACTTGTACATTTTTGATTAGCTGTTACTTACTCAGTTACTTAAGTTGAGTGACTTGCCCAACTTTGACTTATACAAATAACTGCAGCTATTTTTCTCAATTGGTATCAATATAATTTTTTTTGGTATTCAATTATAGGTACTGAAAATATTTTGTTAATTATCAATATTTTTTCGGGAGGTTGTTCTAATAAATATGAAATTTTTTACAATGGTCATTGAATGAAAGTTTAAAAAATATGGTTAAAATGTGGTGTACAGACACTTAAAACACCTTTTTCGTGGTAATGCAGTATAGACTTTAAAAAAACAAATTTGTATGAATAACATTCCTTTGTTTTCAATGACAAAAAACAATTTAATAAACATCAGTTAAAAACATCTAAAATATTAACATTAAAATAAATATATCTAAATAATGTACGGCTAATACTATTCATACCTACTGTAAATTCGGTATGAATAATATAATTCTTTGAAATTCAATTGAAGGCAAATAATTTGACGTTTATTTGTGTTATATTGAGTAATAGTTTTTTTTTTCTATTACAAATGGGTTATGATCGATAACCTAACCAATAAAGTGGTAATTCCAATTTTTTTTTATTTTTTATTTATCATTTGGCCTATCCTAGTGAAATTTTCTTATTTTGCTAATTATTTATGTAAGTAAGTATTCATCTTTGTTCAGTTAACAATGTGTTTTTTAAAAAATTAAATAAAAGAAATGTGAAGGTATAGAATAATTTTAATGAAAAATAATGTTAGTCACTAAAAATTATTTGACTATTTTTATATTGAGCACAGACAACTTTTAAGATATTCACCTCCAAATGACTTGTCAAATAATTTGTCTGATCTCTACTATATGTAGTAAATGTTCTGGTTACAAGATGACCTACCTAGGATTTCAATCAATAATATTTGAACCCTCACTTTGCAATCTAGAAATGTATCCCCATTGAGATGGTAGTATGGGATGATATTACATTTTTTTTAAACCAGATTATAGTTATGCTGCTCATAGAATATTTCCTTACATTAAGTTTTCATTTAAAAACCTTAATTTTCAATATCAAGAGACATACAAATTGATTCATAACACTATATAATAACTATAAATTCGTTGAAAGTCACCAGTCACAAATTAATAGTAAACATTTTTGTGTAGTTAAAATTCAAAGTAACCAGTGAGGTGGTGATAACGGTGAAGATATTCATTTAACTTACATCATTTACAATTGACTTTATCTCTCCTATTGTTGCCGAATAATATAAGAAATAATAATAAGAAAATCATTTTGTACAATAGACAGTAATACAATAACCATAGATTATTGGATTAAAATAAAAGACAATATTCTAACTTTCTCAAAATACACATCATCTTACAAAATATCCTAGAACTCTCAAGGTTTTGGCTATAGCTTTCGAAAGATTTAAAATATAATTAAACTTGAATCCTCTTTTAACTTATATGCTGTATGTAAATAATGAAATTAATGTATTTATAAAAATTTACTGAAAATACTAAGTCAATAAACTACAAGCATAAAAACTATAAAAGACAACAAATTAAAAAATAGGTCTCACAATGACTTGTAAAATATTTATTTTTCATAACATATATTAAACTGATAATTTCATTATAACAGGTTCCTCGTGAAAATTACATATTTTAAAAATATACAATAAATAAAGCCATAAACTAAGTAATTTATTTACCTTTTTTTTTATGCCTACTTTCTTTAACATTCTTTAAAACTGCATGGTTTGAATCTTTAATATGTTGGTGTAGTTTGTTTTTTGATGAGAACACCGATGAACATATACCACAGACATGATTTGACTTTTTTATTTTTGGATTCTCCATTATTTTTTGTTTTTTTTTGTTTTTAGGTGACTTTTCTATAGTTGCTTCTTTCTGTGGTTGATTTTCTTTTGGCACTTCTTCAGTATCTACTTCAGTCACTGGATGAGTTTCAGTACTTTCACAAACATGCCTATGGTCATCATCATTAGAATGTTTAGCACTCAACAGTACAACTTTATCATTATGCTTTTTAGATGTCTTATGGTTAGATAAAGCTTTTTCGGTTTTAAATGACTGATCACATGACAAACAATACAATACATTAACTTCATCAGTAGATAGTGACTTTTTCTTTTTCTTTGGTTTCTTTCGTATATTCTTGGTTTCTTCTTCACTACTCAAATCAGCTTCTAATATATCATCTGAATGAATATCACTTTGTAAATTTAACCTATTAGTATTTTTTGATTTATTTGTATTAAATTCTATTTCATCAGTTTCATTACTTGAACTATTGGAAGATTCTTTATTGCTATCGGAGCCATCAAAATTGATTTCATCTATAGAGCTTTCAGCATCAGAGTGGTTTTCATCATCATCCTTGAAAGCATTATCATCAACAGCGCTTTCAGCATCAGAATGATTTTGACAATTATCCTCAGAAACATTATTATTTTCAACAGATTCTATATTATTAAGAAGGTCTTCGTCATCTAACATCTCGACTTTGATTAACTCAATATTATCTTTGTGTTTTTTAGATTTTTCATGATTTTGAAAAGCTTTTTCAGTTTTAAATACTTTATTACAGGCTACACAATATAAACAGTTTGCTGTTTCATCACCTGACTCGAGTTCATCACTACTTCCATACTCAGCAATAAGGCTATCTTCAATTACTTTTAATTCTTCTTCTACATTAGAAAATTTAGACCAATCAGATTCTTTATAATTAGCCATTTCTTTTTGTTTTTCTTTTAATCTCCTTTGTCTAGCTTCTTCCATTCGTTTATTATTTTCAGCTGATTTTAATTTAAGATATTCTGAATACGCTTTTACTCGTTTATCACGTTTCCTTACATACTCAATTAATGCTTGTATTTCATCATTACGCTCCTTCTTGGCTTTATCACGAATCTTCTTATTTTCTTTTTCCATTAACTTAGCAACACGTCTATTGGGAGCTTGCCTAATGTCATACTCATCTAACCATGCAAATGTTTTATATGTATTAAAACCACACCAAAAGTTATAGAACGGTCGTACAATTTCGACAAAGTCACTGTCTGATCGGCCAAATGTTGGAATCACATCAGAATCCCCATGATAATAAACGCTTTCTTCAATGAATATATTACTAAATACCTCACGATACACAGTGTAGAACCCTTTTTCATCATCGCCAAATCCTTTATAACAAGAAGGAGAAAAATACTTAAATAGGTTGAGTTCATCAACTGGTGTATCACCACTATTAATAATATGCTCGCGATGATTATCGTACCATTGACGTTCACGTGGATCACTCAAGACCTCATATGCTTGTTGAATTAACTGAAACTGTTCTTTAGATTCTTCAACATTGTCTGGATTTTTGTCAGGATGCCACTTCAGCGCCAATTTCTTGTACGATTTTTTTAAATCATCAAAAGACGCATCACAAGGCACTTCCAATACTTGATAGAAACATTTCATTGTGTCTTTGATCAGATAATGCCTATAAATTCAATTAAAAGTGTGTACAAATGTTTAAATAATACAATATCAATAATCATATCCATCTAAAATATAAACAGAATGACTTACCTATTACTAATGATATATTGTTATTTTCGATGTTTTTTCAATGGGAATTACAAATGTTCAATACCTAGTTAATTTTTTTTTTTTAATTTAAAATATGTTTAGAACTAGAAATCTAAACTTTATATCAATAACAAAAATTGTATCAAAATGACAAAAATATCCCTTGATAACAATAAAATGTCGGACACACTGTTTGAAATTTATTGATATGAATATTCGATAAAACGTGATAACTTTATGCCGTGAACATGTCTGTGTGATTAAATGTTGAAATTGAATTCAATAATTTTAAAATATAATTAAAAGTATTTAAAAGGTGTTATTTTAGTTTGTATCAAGTAGTAACTAGTAACTTTGTAAAATTAAATATGAGATTAACCGATGTGCTTTGGAAAAAATTGCCCAAAGGTCATATTTTCAAAGGGTAAGTAAAATTGTTTTAAGTACCTAGATAAGTAGGTACTTTATTAACAAACGACTAAATAAATGCTATTCAAATCTATAATGTACAATGTATTTAGATTTATTTAGTGGTGCATAATAAATCGTTCATTAAGGCTTTAAAAGTCAACTCTTTATATTGATGGCAATTGTTTACAAATCCATTATTTACAATTCTACTTTTCTCTGATGTCTATGAATAATTAATTTCTGAATGAACAACTAGTATTTATACAATTTAAATGATTAAAAAACATAGCATGTTCAACAAGAATTATTGATATTATTTTATTTTTACTCTGAATCACGTCATATAGGTCCAAATATTTAATTGTGTCTATACATACTATGTATTCAATTAATTAATTTTTTTTACTTAAGGAAACATCGCCTGGTAAAACCAGTGACTGGACTAGACTATGTCCAGAAAATCAGAGATTTTAAACAACAAGAACAAAATTTATTTTATCTACGGCATCCTTATTTAACAGTGGTAAGTAATAATATCTGACAAACACATACACAAAATTACGTGTTAAAATATAATCTTTATTTAAAAGCGGTCGTCTGTTTATAACACTTTTTTGATTTATCATGACAACCAAATATAAAATCCACTATAAGCTGTTGTTTGATGAACATAGGTAATAATAATTTAATCGTAATATTATAGGAAGAGTCTTTTGGTCATTCTAAAGAACAAGGTCGCTTTGAGAAATGGATGAGAAAATGGAAAGTAATGCAAGCTGAAAAATTTGGAAAACATAAATCAATTGAAAAACATTTAATGCATCTTAGATCATCAGATGGCTGGGAAAGTTACTAAATAATTTGATAGCAGACAATATTTTATTATTAGAATATTATATCGTAATTGTAAATGTTTACTTAAATGTCTGCTAATGTACAAAGGAAAATAAATTAATGTGATTACAAAAAAAAAAAATATATAATATATGTGACACGTATTTAGTTAACTAGTTAACAAATTAACAATTTAAAGAAAAATTTTAAATTAAGGTAATAATTTTAATTCAGTGCACAGTTTATCATAGTCTGGTGCATACAACTGTATCTTCTTCTTCTGTTAACCATTTATTATCAATAGCTTGATCTTTGGTTAATGTTCTGCCACTTATTAATAGTTCAGCAAATTGAGCAGCGACCGGATCACTTCCAACTGTAGCTATTGCCACTACATTATTTCCTTTGCAATAATATAAAATTACTTTCAAGTTTTCCAGATCTCCATTAACCAAAACATCAGTGTAACCGTGGCTAAATCCTACAAAACATACTTGTAAATACGTTTTTATTAATGATAAACTAAATAAAAAACACAAACAAACCAGCAAATCGTATACTAATGCCAAATAATGCTGTCCAGAAAAATGGCACAGATTTAATGGGTGTTTTTTTTTGAAGCATTTGTAATGCAGCAATCTTTCCATGGTAAGTAGCCAACTGCCAATGGCCCAAAGATGCTTTTGTGTTATAATGATAAATGGGAGCGTTTGCGACATCACCACCAGCAAAAATACCTTTTACATTTGTTTCTAAATTCTTTAAAATATTAAAATATATTTGTCAAAAAATGTCAATTACACAGAGAATATTAAACCAAATTACAAACCTCATCAACTTCAATTGTACCATTAGAATTAATAACAATAGAAGAACCAGCTAAAAATTCAATATTAGTTTTTGATCCAGTTGCCATAAGACAAACGTCTGTTTTTAATTTTTGGCCATCAGATAGTTCTACTTCAGAAAGTCGATTATTGTAGCTAATGTAATTTTTCACACTTGCTTTCATATGAAATACTACGCCTTTGGATTCAAACAATTCTTGTACCCGTTCACCCATTTCTTTTCCTAAACTTTCTTTAAAAGGTACTTCACTACGTCCGATTACGTGAACTGATTTTACTTTAGAAATAGCTGATGCCGCTACTTCCATGCCTAAAAATAATATTATTAATGTAATAATTGTTTTTATCACAATAATGGGAATAATATAAATTAGTTTTAATTGTATACCTATGAATGATGATCCAATAACCACTAGATGACAATCGGATGACAAACTTTGAGAAATTTTGTTAGCGTCATCTACTGTACGTAGTGTAAAAACATTTTCATATTTGGAAACTTCTGGCGTAGTACGAGGTCTAAATATAAACATTCATTTAATCATTTTTAACTCTACACCATAAACCAAAAAAATAGTTAATACTTACGCCATTCCACTGGCAATAAACATAGCATCAAATGATAATTGTTCATTGTTTGATAGATTTATAATTTTTTTATTCGTATCAATACATTCTACACTAGTTTTAGTCAGAACTTCAATATCTCCAGACTAAAAACAAATTAATCATGTTATATGTCATTATGTTTAATAAATGTTGAAACAAAATGTTTAAACTTAATGTTTACGATAAGAAATATAATGTATAATACTATATTTTATATTTAATACATAAATCATAATAAATTTTAGATAAATACTACTGAAATCTGTCAATAAAATCAATTAGTTGAAACATATAACTAGTTAACCAAGCTAGAACACGCTTTTATAAATCATTGTTTTTTTTTTTTACGAAATATTTCAGTAATAACTAAACTTATTTTATTTATATCCAGATTTTACATTAAACGTCTCAAAAACTACTTATTTAAATGTATCATTGTAACTGTTATTTTATAAAGTAATTAAGAAATTTATTTTTTCAAACAATTTTATAAATATGAAATAAGTAATATAGTAAAACTTCGTTAACGGTCACTTTTAAAAGACTGTAATTTTTTTTGGTCTTGTTAAGTGTTATGCCTTTATAAGACATCTATAAATAGCGGTAATTATTTCCGGTCCCTTTGGTGACCATTATATGGAAGTTTTACTGTACTATTTATTACAAAAGTTGAATAAATTGAGGTCATTTTGAAATGTAAATAATAAATTTTTAATTACTGGCGTTAAACAAATCATCTTTTGATAAAATAATAGTATACTGAAATTTATTTAAAAACACTTTTTATTGAATTATTTAACTCAAAAATGGCTTACAAAAATACATTTAATCTAATATTTGATATAATATTGTACATTTTTTAAATAAATTCAGAGTTAATCTAAATTATATTGCATCATAAATTAATAATTATGTAATGTTTTAATATAATGGCATCAGAATATATAGTAAAACCTGAAAACGTTTTTAAGAACATACACACATCTAGTTTTCCCAGCAGATTCTATTTTGATTGTTTTAGAGTATTAAAAGTGAATTCTATTTTTAAGTGCTTGAGAAAATTATGACTAATATGAACATTTCAAATCAATACATCGTTATAATATGTTAGATCATAAATATATAATATGAAAGTTATTGCATATTGTGCAATTTTATTTTATAATAAGCAGAAAAACAAATCCTTAAAATGTTTATAGTCTCTTTCCCAAAGTATTAATTAGTTTACTTATTTTAAAATGAAACTAGGTAATATTAAAATAATTCAATACTAAGAAATTATCCTAATAAATGATTAAAAAAAAATATTTAAGAAGTTTTAAAAGAAATAATTTGTAATAATCTTATTTTAACAAAAATAGCTTACATCATAAAACTGTTGGGAACGTAACAGTAGGCTACTTGCATCAGAATTCAAGGCTTTACTAAGTTTTGTACGATCATATGGTAAGTAATTTTCTTTTGTGATTAATACCAAGCGACCGTCATATCCTTCTTGCCTTAAAGTCTCTGCACATTTTGTACCAGCAGGTCCTATAGCAATTATTCAACATTAAAATTTAGTATAATTATTAACAAAATAACTCAGCTACCGCTTCCAATAACAATGAATGTACGCTTGTCTTCTGGATTTCGTTTAGTTAATAATTTCACAAGTTTTGAATTTTCAAGTGCACCCTTTTTAGCTGATACTTTAACATTGCCATTTACAACAGTTACATTATAACTTGGAATACTGTCCAAACCAGGAAAATCCTCAATATCACCTGCATGAGAAAAAAATGTATTGAACATCTTTCAATTTATATCGGATAAGAACTTGGATTTTACCTGTTTTTAAATTGAAACAAGCGCCATGCCAAGGACATCTTACTGTGCCATCCCCTAGAGTACCTTTGACTAAAGGTGCTCCATAATGTGAACACTTCGCACCAACAGAGAAAAACTCATTTTTTTGTTTGATAACTAAAACTTTATTACCATTTTTTCCAATCTCAAATTCTTTCATTCTAGTATTTAAAACAGAATTATTGAAAAGAAAGTTATTTTTTTTTTCATAAAACCAGTATGTAAGTAACTATAATATACTTAGCAACAAATTACCCATTATCAGGTATATCACTTTCTTTACACACAATTTGTTCGATAATATCATCACTGGCACCTGAAAATAGGCACATCAAATTATACATACGGCATATAAAACTGGTAATATGTATGTACCTATAAAATACAAATAAATATATTTATATACTAATAAATAAAGTGTATTTATGTATACACAAAAAAAAAAAAAAAAAACATTACCAACATTACAAGCAAATGATAAAAATACAATAAATTTAAACAAACACACCCGACATTGTTCTGCAAAACGCACGCTATTGGGAACGTATACTACTTCTAAATACTAGTCTTCGAGACTAAATAACAATCAATCCCTGTATGATATACCGGATTAATAGCCTGAAACCATGCACAAAAAAATGAATAGGTATACCTTATTTTTTTTTAAATCATAAATATGAACGAATTTACTATGATAAAAAAGCACTTTAAACAGAAAGTTTTACATTACAAATATATACCGCAAATCAATAATTTGTCCAGTTATTTTATTTATTTACATATTATATAAATAGTATAATTATATACATATATACATCACAATGAATGTTATTTGTTATTAGGATGAAAAATCTTTGAGAAATTATGTTTATAATATACAACCCTAAGAAATTACAAAAATGTGAAAAATAATATAGGTAGGTAACATAATATAAATAAATATGTATATTTTTATCATTTCAACAACAAGCAAAGACTAATTTTAAATGTTAATTATTCATGCATAAAGTTTGTTATTACCATATCACCAACTGTTATAATGGCATAGGTAATATAATTTGTATGTATAATGGTAGAATAAAAATTAATTTTGAGGCCATATCAAGACTGAGGTAATGTGTTAACAAACTAGTTGATAACATAAATGTTTCTAACAACTTTAGATCTTTTGTAGACAGCAAAATGCAAATAACATCTTAGAAACATTAGTTAATAATCCATGGGTCCGACACTGTTACTTAAGTTTACAGTTCTGGAGAAAGCTTCATTAAAATATAAATGCCATAAAATAAAATAATTTTAGAGATATGACATTTTGTACAGAAATATAATGGTAATTTCTTAACATGGTACCTACAATTTTCAATATATTCTGGCACAGTTTATTAATTATTATTTATAGTTATTTGACATTTTCCAGTTTCTCTAGGGGTCCAAGTAAAAACTTGGACGGTACAAATCTGGAATTTAATATTTAAAAAAAACCCTCACAAGTACAACTAATAAAAAACCTTATGTTAAATGTTCATGTATTTCTGAGTTATACAATTTTATATTCTATTTTTGTACTGTCCAGATTTTTACGGTCCAGTTTTGTACCATTCAATTTTTTCGCACTCCCTTCACTAGACTTCATATTGATAACATGTTATTAGCTTAGTAAAAATTCTGAACAATTTTTTTTTAAGATTCATTATAAGTTACACTTTTTACCAGTTTACAAAAAAAAAAGGCTGAGCATAATGCTATAGGTTTTTTTTTTTTTTGTTAATATTTTGTATTCACATTTAAGATAAAATGTATTAAAATACTCAAACATTTGTTTTATATTAAATTCCATTCAGAATCAATTTAAAAATAACCTACTATTTTCTATCTTGTAATTGAATATAATAGTGTTTTTGAAAATTTTAATTCTTATATTAGCTTCACTCGCCACAAATATCAAGACAGTTTAACATTTAATTGACTATTGTAATTTTTTTCCTTTTAATAATATCAAATCAGTCTTCATTAACCATTACATTAAATATGCCTGTTAATAGTAACATAGTAGTGTTTGAAATCAAATGCTAAGAACGTATATTCAGTTACTTAACAGATTACATTATGTATATAAATGATAAAAAAAATATTGACAATTTAAAAAACTAATATAAAATGGAAATTATGCATTGCATAATGCATATGCACTTATATTTTTTTTTTATTATTTAATATTTATGTTATTGTTATTATTTATGAAAGAATACATTCATTTTTAATTCAAAAAAATAATAGATAGGCACTGGGAAAAAAAAAAATACCCAAATACACCTAACATGATGAATATCTAGTCTATAGTGGAATGAGTAGGTAACTAGTTATTGCATCACTTTATTCAAAAAAAAATTTTATACTTTATTAATGACCTTCACATAAAGTAATATCATACTAAAAATTATTATATAATCTTATTATTTCACAAAAAAAAGTTCATGTTATAATATTGAAACGTGGATAAATATATATTTGAATGAATGAATGTTTTCAATAGAATTTAAAAAGAAGAAAATTTCAATAAAATACCTAAATTCTATTCAATTATATACATTTTACGTACTTATAAAAAATGTATTATACTATGGTTTCCTAGGGTGCGTAATTGAAAAAAAACATTAGCTAAACATTTGTGAAATACTTGTTTTAGTTAGGTACTTCAGAAATTATATTGTTGAAAACCATAATCAGTAATTTTCTTTACAAGTTATAAGAACTTAAAACTCAAAACCTTTCCCATCAATTTGTTTTGGGAAGTTCATTTCAAAATTTCAAATAGTTTACAAGTAGGCAGGTAGGTATCTAGTTAGTTTAAATGTACTTTGAATGCAAATTTACTTCCTTAAATACCTATAGAAATATATATTTGACGACAGGTGTCATTTAAATGAGGAATTTTCAAAATCAATTATTTTAGTCATTACACGATGTTTAAAGCATAATATACCTATTCTGGGTATTGGAATGAAAATAAAATTCAAAAAATAAATCAACTAAAAATTGTAGGTGAAGCAAAAATTATAGGTAGGTGATAGATATATAAAAATACTTTTATTGTATCTTTCCAATTATAAATTTTTTATATTTCATTATCATTAAAACCACAATGATTTTAACTATACGTACATTACTTAATGAAAATAAATACAAATTTGCTCTCTTGACTGTTTTACTATCTACCTATTATTATCGAAATAGATTTTTTATATTATATAATAAAAATGTATATGATTAAAAAAAACAACTATAAATTGTATGGCAATAAAATAACAAAGGTTAAATTTATCAATAAGTTAGTGTCTATTTGAAACAAACAATTATAAATAATTAGTCACGTAATAATATTATTATAAGTTATTATATTATGATTTTATTGAACTACTATAATAAATGTAAATATATACCATTAGGTGCAATTAAAGTACTATATGCAGGATAATAATATAATACCAAAGTCAAAGTTCGTCAACCATAGTTTTTCACAATTTGTATTAATACAATTACTGAGTTATATAATTAATTGTAAAAACCTAAATAGGTTGAATGAATGGTAACTACCTAGGTTCTCACTATTCATAAGATACCTGACACCTACCCATTTAAAAAAGTTAAACTGTATTAACATAAATGTACGCAATGACGCAAAAGCATTATGAATATATTAAAAAAAATACAATTACATTTTGTATGGAAAAATACTCTCTGACCCGTGATTAGAAAACAACAAAAGGTGTTACTAATTTATTCTAAACTTACATGCTAACATTTTAATTTGTTTTTAATCTATGTTAAACTGTATGTGGGTATATACTTATTATAAATTATATCACTTTTAATGTTTTCTTAAGTTATGATTGGTATTTAGAAAAACGTTTTTTTTTTTTCATATACTCAAATTATTCCATGAAATCAGTTACCATTAGACATTAACTTCATTTGCATTATAACAAGCCAGTATCATAACAATATGGGTTTTTCCAAAATTAAAGCACCTGTCTAAATTATGTTAAAATCAAAAATAGGTAAATATTAGAAATGAAATGGATGAGTTACGAGTATGATAGTAAGCCATAATATACGTATGTAAACAGCCACATTAATAAGAGTCTGAAGACAGAAATACTGATAATAATACTAAAGGGAAAATCGAAAGTGGAATAAATAGGTGTAGATTAGACAGTGGCAGAAGTTCAAGCACAGTCTGAAAGGAGAAAATGATTAGAAAAACGAGTATCCGCTGCCCGGAAAATTCAGCTACACATACAATACACTTACCACCTTCAGGGTTGTTCTTGGACGCTATCGAGCCCATTTGACAGCTCGGGAACAACTGACGGCGACGTGGAAAACGAGTAGCGAGAATTCGAAAGTATTCCAGTGTCGTATCGATCTTTTCCCTAGCCTTCTCGGCCTTTCACTACGAAATACCTAATAATTGGGTCTTGGCATGTGCGTGTGCGTAACGCGTACAAAGTGATTGCGGCGAATAGGTACCTAGGTAGGTACACGGTTAGGTCGTCGCCTCCGGGTGGTTAGTAGTAACTAGCGAACGTGCGTATGCGCTCGACTGAAAAATAAAAAAAAAAATGAATATAATATTTTAATAACGCAATAATTATAGAGTACACACGCGGGCGGAGGTGTAAGACTGGCCACTGACCAGTGGTGACCGGGCAGTGATTTGTAATTTTGTCGGAGGAACGGAGGACCTTGAATAGGGATTGGCGTTGTATAGGTTCAAAATATAAGTTCTGCCCGCGATAAACTGGAAAGGGACAAATAAAAATCGTAGAGTCGTTATCAACGTCGCAGTTTCTTTATCAGCTGTTGTTATCGGCATTATCCTATCGAGTCCATAGATAATGAAAAAAAAAAAAACAATAAGAACAATATTTCTTTATTATCTATGACCGTGTAACGTCTACGCACGTGCCCTCGAGAACGGACGGTAACCGTATGCAATCTTCGTGTTCATGTGAAACAAACAATATTTTCCATTGAATGAACCATATTATTTAATCTAACGTGATAATAGTAATAATACAAATTATTAAGTAATAAATATACCCATCTCTGTTGGACGCTGTGTTCGTCTCCGTATTTCCTGTGACGAATTATATTCGTTGCGTTTGAATGCAATATAATAATTGATAATCGTACCATACGCGTTAATGTCTTCGCCGATGGTATTATGATGTCCGCGAATTTGTATCGCTGGAGAAATGGATCAGATGACGCCGTCGGCCGAAGACGACTTAGACCTCGAAGTTTTCGACCCGTACACGCAAGCCGTGCTATTAAAAGGTAGGCACATGATATGCAGCTCAGTACCAAAGAACAGATGAATCTGTGTTCTGTGTTTTAAGCATCATTACGTGAGTTATCATTAAAAAAACAAAAATATACAAGCAACAATTGTTGTAAACGCTATGCCATTCTTATTGGTACGTCCTACTAAATTGCATTAATGTTTTATTCAGAAGCGTAGCTAGAAATACTCTTTTGGGTAGGCCAGATAAAATAATATAAAAGTTTTGGATGGGAAATACTACTTATACTCCGACTTATACTCATGTTTGATTTTTAAAATTGTGTTGATTTCTGAGACAAGTGGCCCGACCGCTAACTACGCCACTCACTGATCTTATTGTACATTTATAACTTAATAACTCTAAATTGTGTAAAATTAATAAATATTTAAAACTGCAACAACTACCTATAACTTTAAAATGTGTATTTTTTTTCCAAATGGTACTTTATATCGCCTTAGTTTTGAACCTACCGCCCATCAAGTGGTAGATTTAGGGAGGGAGTACTTTCGGATAAGCCTCTCCTTTAACATGTAGATACTTGTAGAAAAAATACAATACAAAAAAATACAAAATTCAATTATATAAATTATAACTTTTAAAGGAGTGAAAAAATGCAATTTACTTCACGAATTTCAAATTTTTTTTTTAAAAAAAAGACGTGTTTTTTTAGCGCTGATTTTGAAACTGTTTGAATTTTTTTGCAGATATCATTACTAAAAGTTATTTTCAAAAATCCGTATTTTTTTAAAAACAAATTCCTGATGTCTTTTTAGACGCTGATTTTGAATATGTTAAAAATAATTTTGTTAGAACGATTATTAATGAAGTTATAGAATAAAAAACTTAAAAAATTTATACTATTTTAATCGAAAATAACCTTAGATTTGTTGTGCAAAACCATGTCGTGTAGGTTAAAAACAAATGCATTTTGTGTGTACCTAGAAATCCGACGGAGTTACTCTGTTTTAGGCACGTTTACAAAAATATATTTCGGGGGGATGGAAGGGTTAAGGTTGTACACTTTCATACTCTTATAACAAAGAATTTCACATACTTGGAAGTGTAGGGTTATTTATTTTTTACTAAAAATGTCATTTTTATAACATTCAATTTTGGTTTTTTAGGGTACCTATAACTATTGATTGTAAAATAGTATATTCAATGCTATTACTAAATGATACATTTAATAATTTTTTCAGTGAATATAGCTTAAATGATAACGTAGTTCATATTATTGTGATGATAATGTAGACTATGTAATATCGCCTTGACAGTTATAATTTCCTAAAGACAGGAAAATCACAAAAAATTAAAAATGGAAATAATAATAATATATACCTACTACTGTGGTTGCCGCTTAAAGTGTTCACAGGTTATAAGAATCAGCCGCTTAAAATGATAAAAAGTTCCAGGAACGGAACTAACGGTAGTTATCCGTGCATCCTTCGTCACTTACTGTGTTCAAATTTTCGGTTATAGTGATCTGAAATAGAAATTATACAATAATACACAAAAGGAAGAAAAATCTGACGATTATTAATATACGAAGCTAATCTAATCTTATCTAAGTGTAATCCTCCTAAAGCCCCCCATAAACTGTCAGTCTTGAATGACATTAACGTAATTGACAGTCAAGACTGACCGTATATGAGTATGATTGATGCAATCAGTGGGTAAGTTGGCAAAGTGAAATTTCTGGGTCCCGATAAATCTATCCCGATAATCTAAAAAAAGCAGGCGAACATCATCAATTTTTTTTGAAAGAACCTATAAAACTTATGTATGTATAAATGTAAAATTATTTATTCTACCGATATTTTTTACCTGTTTTCGAGTTGCCGCTTATAGTGATCAAAATACTCTTGGACGAATGTGATCATCATAAGCGACGACCACTGTATCTAGTAATAAAATAAAAATAAAACCAAAATTGTATTTATCTTTCTCATTGATAGAAACCACTTTTGAGACTATTAGAAATCTACTTGCACCATAATTTTCATAAAATTTCAGGGGGGGGGGGTCAACTAGACACGAAAGAAAACTTGTATATATTTTTCGTATTTCGTATTTATTTTTCATATAAATGTATCACATAATGTCTTGTGATAGAGAAAGTTTGGTTAGTTTAGTGTGAAGTTTAGTGGAAATGAGACTATGCATTTATAATTTGAATGACAAGAAGCATAGCAATAAACATTGGATACATTGAAAACTTAATCCCGAAAATCTCGGGATTTCCAGGATCAAAAAATAGTCGGGAATGTATTCTCTATAGTAGGTACAGTGAGTAAATGTATTGATGATTAGAGCATGCCATGAGGAGAGGAATCTGAAGCCTTAAGAATTGTAGTGAAAATAAAGTTAAAATGAAAGAGTGGGAGTGGAAGACTGGAAAAGAGATGGTTGAATGTGATGATGATGATACAAGGACATCCAGTGTAGTTGGGAGTTGGGAGATTGGGTCAAGTTGAAATTTAGAATAAAAGTGGTTGACCACAAATAGCTAGGATAAAGAAAAAAATAGGATTTTAGTAGGTATATGTTAGTTTATTAATGTAGGAATCAAATATAGTAGTAGTGTCTGTGATAGAAATAACTATCCCCACAGTCAATTCAATAAAATATGTACTTCAATTTATCAGTTTTAAAAAGAAAAAAAATCTTTTCAAATTTCAAGACAAAATGTTATAAGTACCATCCAGCACCACCCACCCACAAATTCATGTGGTTCATATGAATTACCTAATGTACGTACTCGGTAATACTGCTGAAATCTATCTTATATAATTCATATTATAATAGGTTGATTATTCTTCTGATCTATACAATGCATTTAATTTATTACCTATAGGTATTGATGTGGTAAATATGTTTTTTTGAGGCTTCTGCCTCAACCACTATTAATTGGTTAACATGGGTGATTGAATGTGTAAGACTGTAGAACCATAAAATCCTAAGTTTAAATTAATAACTAATTATAATTGTGGTAAGTAAATGAAATTCCTGGGCTTCATAAAAAACATTCTACACTCATACTTTACAGCTTATAAGCAATTATAATTTATGAAATTTGATTTTAAATCTACCATAGATAAAACTAAGTCTCTGTGTACTGGTATCTCAAAATGAAGGTCTTAGCTACCTTAATTTCAGCACTGTACACAGTTGAACAATGGTTCCAATGTGAATCCAATGGTTTAATTGCTTATAAAGACCAATATTTATAAATTCTCGATTTGCTCCTTATCATCTATAATTAATAATATATGAAAAACACCAGCAATAATTTTAGTTCACTAGACAGTTCAGTAGCCAGTGAATATTGTATTAGTACAAAAACTCATTATTTGTAATAAATTATGTAAAACTATTATAAAATAGGTAATCTATGTGACATAATGGGTATTGTCATTTTATTATAGATAAATTATAAATTTATCCTATTGTTTAAACATAGTTTTGATAATTTTGTTTCCATTTAATAAAATACTGTAAATTAATGGTGGGTAGCTATTATTAGATTGGTTATTTTTTTGTCTGTAAATCAGTTTTTAACCAAAATATTATTCAATCATCAACTTTAGTGTTGGTTTCTGTTAATTTTTAAATTTTCTTCTAAATGGCGTATTAGTAAGATCATCTTTTGGTTTTATTTCTACTTTTTTTAATACCTAATGGAAGAAAACAAGAAATATTTATTATTTATGGAAAATTGTAGAATGTCTCCTTATTTCCAAGTTAAATCTATGCAAGTCTATACACATTTAAAATAATATTTGGTAATTACAATGAAGTTACATTAAACTATGTTAGGAAATTATTTACCAAAGCTTTTCAGAAAGAAGAAACAATTTCTTTGTCACACTCTTTATAGTCAGTCATGAATTAATAGTAATTTTGTTATCTGAAAAAAAAATTATACAAATATATTGCATATAAGTTATAACAATGTGAAATTATAAAAGAATAATGGGGAACTTGACCAATAATAATTCAATGAAATATTTTTTAAAAAATATATGCCAATCAAAACTGACGGTTTTTATGTTATATTATATTGTATTTTCACAATGGTTTTTTTTTTCAACACCAATTTCACGTCACGCATAAATCGGTGACATAAATGCATAATTAATTATGAAAATATAGTAAAACATAATAAACAATGTTATAATTACAATATTGTTGGTATATCTGGAAAATGTATGTGTAGGAACAGAAATTTGCACTAATTACTGATAATTATTATTTCAGGAGGTCTTTTAACAACAAAACATATTTTTCAGTACACAGAAGCTGAACTTCAGAAAAAATTCAATTTGACAGCAGCAGCCACTCGCCGTGTGTTTATTGAAGCATCAAAAATAAGCACATCAAACGTTAAGTAAATTTAAATTTTAAATGAATATAAGTAATATTTATTAAATTTATTAAAAAAAAAGTAGTGGACGCTATAAAGAACCTCATAATCAAGTGCTTACAACAGGATGTGATCACATCGACAAAGCTTTAGGTGGAGGTCTATTCAAATATGGTATCACAGAGATTTCGGGTGAAAGTGGTTGTGGAAAAACACAATTTTGCTTGCAGATCGCGTTGACTGTTCAATTACCATTATCATTTAAAGGTGCAAAATCTGGTAGGAACTCATGAATGTTAAAATAATTAATCAAATAGTTAAACAAAAAAATTATTACATTCATTTAAATATAGGAGCTGTATATATTTGTACTGAAGACAGATTTCCCTCGAGTCGAATACAACAAATGATATCCAATCTTCGATTTAAATATCAATGCGACAATAGAATAGATATGAGCGAATTGTGCCAAACAAATTATGGAGACAATATTTTGATTAGTCATATAGCAACTGTGGTAAATGTTGGTTTTTCCATTGGAAGATATGTTATTTTAACAGTGCTTGTATATTTCAGGAAGACTTGAAAAAATGTATCCACGAAATGCTGCCAAAAGCACTTCTTCATAGATCTATAAAACTAATTGTCATTGATAGTATTACAGCTGTATTTCGAGGCGAGTACACACTAAGTGAAGCGCCTCGTAGGTCTAGAGATCTTAGAGACTTGGCATTTTGTTTACACAATTTATCTGTCAAACATGGCCTGTGGATCATATGTGTTAATCAAGTAACAAACATATAATTATGATAACCATATATATTTTAACAATTATATTATATTTTCACTTATAGGTAACATCATCAATGTCTGATATCACAGGGAAAAAATTAGTGCCATCGTTAGGATTATCGTGGGCCAATTTGGTGACTACAAGACTTTTGATGTCCAAGACCCCATGTTCCAGATATATTGAAGTGATATTTAGCCCCCATTCTGGTCCAACGAGCGTTCCTTTTGTAGTAACTGAACAAGGAATTGAATCCCTGAACTAGAATGCTTTCTTTGTTCAATAAAAACAATTTATATTATTAATTATCATTCATGATATTTTTTTTTTCATGATTTAATTTACATTAATTTTACAATATATATTTATATAAAAAAATAATGCGTATTTATTATAAAAAAATGTCACATTTAATATTTAATAATATAAACAATGTTTAAACAAAAATTTTTTACCATTATGGTTTGGTTCTTAAAAATATTAAGTAAGTATTTAATGTTCTAACTTAAAAATAAACTTAATTTAGAAAAAAAAATGTGAATTTTAAAATATCCACTTTGAAGCACAATTTTTCTATTCCATTATGAGAGAAGCAGATGCATAGCTAACCGATGAATCATTAAGGTTGTAACATTGGCTAGATTGGGCATACTTTAAAAACTTGAGAGACATTTTTGGATTTGAATTTCGTAAATGAGCTGCAGCCTATTAAAAAAAAAAATAATAATAATAGTAATATGATTTATTCATCCAAAAAGGTGTCAATAGTATTTAATTTTATTGTTTTTGTTAATACAATATATTATTCAACATTTAATACTTGTAAATAAATATATAAATACAAAATGTATATATAAAAATAAATTAAATAAATGAATCAATGTGTCGCCTAGAGTATTATGATAAGTGTATTATACTCTATGTGACACATTGATTCATTTATTTTTATATGTACATTTTGTATTTATATATTTAATAACTATACTTATTTACTTTAATATTTATAGTTTATGATTCTTATATTACCTGCAGTAAAACACTGATGGGATGCCTGCCACATATTGTGTTCGAAAAAGTTTTTAAGTATTCAACAAATGCAGCGGGTTGTAATGTCTCAATAGTATCCATGCCCTTGAAAAAGAAAAATAAGTTTTTTTTAAGATCTCAATTAAAAACATAATCTAATTTCAAAGTGTACAATTAATAACTAATATTGTATTACTTATATCAAATTGTGATTATATCTGTTTTACCTTATGGTCTAAAGTTTTAATTGACTGATGAATTTCACCCCAAGATCTTTCATAGAACGTATAACGGAATCTTTGTCCCCAATGGCAAAAATCTGAAGATATTATAAAAAGATTTTTTGGATCTGCCAGATATTGAGCAAATATTTGACCGTAATAACACTCTTTTTCAGTACTCAATGATCCAACCATTATCGGCACAATAGTAAATTTATCTTTATAGCTAAAATACACATAAAAAAAAAAAAGTGTATAAATTATTATTCTAAGACTTGAACATTGTTTTCAGACTATTACTCTTGCATCACTTTGGCAATGTATGGCAACTGCATTTCTATGCTATGTTCATCTTCATCTACTTTCATACTCATCCTTTCAAATTTCCCGGTTGACTCAAGCTCTGAATATACTATGCATACATAAATAAATAGAAAAAAATGACTTGGTTTTTTTTTAAATAAAACATTATAATTAATGTTTACCTTCGTTGTCTATTTGTAAATCATAAAATGGTGTTTTATACTTTACAGCACTAGACAAAGCACATCCAGACAGACGAACATTGTGTGAAGGCCCCAATATAAAAATGCGTTGTCTAAAAATAATTTAGGAATTAAATTGAAAAAATATAAGTCAATCTATTAAACTTACACGACAAATGGACTTATTTGGCGATATGCAAATCCCGCACAGGCACCACAATATTGGTATCCAGCATGACTGCAAGAGTGAAAATTCATTAGTTAAAAAATTAATAATTTATCCTATATTTCAATTTCAAAATACTTACGGAGCTATTATAGCTCTAGCAGGCCCATGAGTCAATTCAGCAGCGCCTAACCAGTTTTCTAATTGATTACCAAGTTCCTTGGCTGTAAAACAAATCCTAACGTTATTTAAAACCAAATATGACGTTTTTTTAATATTATGTAAAAGCATACCAGATTCATTATACCAACTACCAGCATGACTAGCTCTACGTACAGCCATCTTTGTAAGACTGGTGGGTAAATTTATAGTAACATATAAAATAAAAAAGGAAAAGATATTATATTATTTTTATTATTATATTATATTTAACTGAATAAAGATAAACGTATGTACAATTAGAAATTAATAGTCTATAAATATTTTTTAATTGTAACACCTAAAATAGTAAAAACTAATAACTAAATAACTAAAGACAAAAAAATACGTATGTTCTAAATAAATTATTATACATAGAGAAAAATTCCCAGAAAATCTGATAACAAGATATTGAGTAGGACACCAGTGTTACCATTCTTTCTATGGAACAAACATATTTCATTCGATTATGGTCTTTATGCTTACAACACTGTCATTTGATTCCACGCTTATCATCGTGAATTAGTATTTTCTAATCTTGAACTCTATATCTGTTCTGAATCTGAATTCTGTGTTCTAGTAAGAAAATATTAAATATCCTGTCGGCTGTCACTAATTTCAAGTAATTGTATCTTTTATGAATGTATTGTTATTCTCGACAGTTAAATACAAGCCTTTCTTATAGTTTTCAAACCGTTTGCAAACATTTAATGAAACTGGTTTTGTAATTGGTAAGAGCGCAATATCTTTGATCGACAATGTCGGCTTCAGCAATTTATATATTGGACGTTAAGGGTAAAGTGTTAATATCCCGAAATTATCGAGGTGACATTGCACCTAATGTCATTGAAAAATTCATGCCACTGTTGATGGAGAAAGAAGAGGAAGGCTCACTGACGCCCTTGCTGCAGACCGAAGAATGTACATTTACTTATATCAAATGCAACAACTTGTATGTCGTGTCGACTACAAAAAAAAATGCGAACATCATGTTGGTTTTCGTGTTCTTACACAAAATCGTACGAGTCATGAATGAATATTTTAAGGAGATAGAAGAGGAAAGTATACGCGATAATTTTGTTGTAATTTATGAATTATTGGACGAGGTACTCGACTTTGGGTATCCACAAACAACAGATAGTAAAATTCTACAAGAATATATCACACAAGATGGTCACAAATTAGAAATTCAAGTAAGAATTCCCCCGGCAGTGACTAATGCCGTATCTTGGCGTTCTGAAGGGCTCAAGTATAGGAAAAATGAAGTGTTCCTAGATGTTATAGAATCAGTAAATTTATTAGCCAGTGCCAATGGAAATGTTCTTAGGAGTGAAATAGTAGGTTCAATTAAAATGAGAGTTTACTTGTCTGGAATGCCAGAACTGCGATTAGGTCTTAATGACAAAGTGTTGTTTGAAAGCACTGGGCGAGGCAAATCCAAATCCGTAGAACTTGAAGATGTCAAATTTCATCAATGTGTACGTCTGTCAAGATTTGAAAATGATAGAACTATATCATTTATTCCACCAGATGGAGAATTTGATTTGATGACTTACAGGTAATTTTCATCTTTAAATTTATTTGTAACATTTAGATACCTAATTAATATTAATGTTGTTATTACAGATTAAGTACACACATTAAACCTTTGATTTGGATTGAAAGTGTCATTGAAAGACATGCGCACAGTCGTGTTGAATACATAGTTAAAGCAAAGTCACAGTTTAAGCGTAGGTCTACCGCCAACAATGTAGAAGTAGTCATCCAAGTTCCAATGGATGCTGATTCTCCCAAATTCAAAACTACTGTTGGTTCAGTTAAGTACATGCCAGAGCAAAATGCCTTGATATGGTCAATCAAATCATTCCCAGGTGGCAAGGAATATTTGATGAGAGCACATTTTGGTCTACCAAGTGTAGAAAACGAAGAAACAGAAGGCAGGCCTCCTATCCAGGTAAGATTTGAAATACCATATTTCACGACATCAGGCATTCAGGTCCGGTACTTGAAAATTATTGAAAAGAGTGGTTATCAAGCGTTACCTTGGGTGCGATATATCACTCAAAATGGAGATTACCAGTTAAGAACCAATTAAAATCTTTTAACTTAAATATAATATTATATTGTATTATGATTTTTTTTTTCAATCCTAAAAAAATAAGATTATCGTTAACTATCAGATTACAAAAAAATTGTATTTTGGATTTTTATAATTTGCTTAAATAAGGTTATGCATGGTCTGCCTTGTGTATTATCTATATTTTATCCCAATATTTTCCTAAAAAAAAAAATTTACTTTATATAAAATTACTGGTGTTTGTACATTGTAAAAAAACAATATCTTACATCTACCTACTCTAAATTCTAATAATATTTTGTAGATGTATTTTATCAAATAGATCATATTATTATTATAACATTATCAGTTATTACTAGGTTTCATTGTTAAAGTTATTATAAGTACCAGTATTATATAAAATCATTAATTTTACAAAAAATTTGCATTTTTTTTTATAATTTGCTTAAGTAAGCTATCCACGTGGCTTTGCAAATACCCTTGTGTGGGAACATAGTACCTACTACTAATAGTCAAACCATTTTTTTGTCTGTTGCAAAAGATATCATTCACAGGCCATTACTATTTCTGTGACTATGTACTTTCCTTACTTATGCAAGGAAAGTACTGTGGTTCCTGTCCACATTTTGTATTGAACTCTTCTAATACAATTTTTATTACGTTCCCAGAGATACCATTGTATGCTTTGATGAGTCTTTCGTAGAAAACATCTTTCAAATTGTCATCCTTTTCTTCTGTTGGTGCATATACATTTGTCATACAAATATTAATTAGTCTTGTGTTGATAGTTAATATTGATTTCCGTTCAGATATCAGATTAAATAAAATAAAATCTTTAATGCACAGTATTAATATTTTATGAACTACAAAACCACTATCAAAATAATGTGTATTCTCCATTCCAGAGAAATATATTGTGTACTCTCTAATCATTAGTTGACATACTCCCAATCATCGTATTTCTTGGATAGCCGCTGTATTGATATTGTGGATGTTCAGAGTATCAGCTAAATTTTGGCTTGTCCATACTTGTTACATTCCATGTCGTGATCTTAAAATTAGCATTCAGTTTTCAAAAACTAGTCTTAAATCCATGTATTCTTGTACGAGGCTTAGGTGTAGTTGGTTTTATAACAGAATTATTTTACTGCGCAAAATTGTTAGCCTTGCATTAAAACCTCCAACCTGGAGGACCAGATCATCCTCAACCAGTTGGGACCAAGGGATGGCTTTTGCAGCACCCAGTGAAGGACACTGGGCAATATAGGTACTACTCTCCCTACGTCATATCCTTTTTTTCTCGCCTTTTTTTTTTTAGCTTTTATAGACCATTCCTAAATGGCCCTGGCCTTCGTTGCTTCTATATTTTACGCTATCTATCCTTATTTTCACTCGGTTCTTGCTCTATTTCTTGTGCAAGGTTGAAAGCAGAATCATATTATGAAATATTTGTATAAATATAATGTATGAAATAAAATGTATGGATTGATATAATATTATCTTGAAAAATATAAAATTTGAATGTGTAAAACTATAATATGAGAAATGTTTTTTAATTTGCTATTATTTTGTATGTGAATTATTGTGTTTTTTTGTTTGAAATATATTCAGTATAATATTATATAAGTGTTATCTTTTTCTTTTCTTTTATAAATACTTTTTAAAATGGTGAATGTTATTATTAATTTTGTAAGGAAATAAAACTATAATATTTGTTTATCCTTTAATTATCCGTGTAAAATCTAAAAAATTACATGATACATTACATAGGTATATATGTAAAATTTCTGATGTTTAACCTGTATAATATTTTTACTTGTATGCCAGACAGTTTAATACAATAATAAAATGTTAAAATGTTGAGATTTGTTTAAACATGATTGTAAGGAGAACTTTAGTTTTAAATAAAAATTACAAAATTCTATGACCATGTTTTTTATAATAATATAAATCCTTATATCACTTACAACATGGAATCTTTAGTTAAATACTCAAATCCTACTATAGCAGTGTAGTAGACATATTTATGGGTAGATGTACATGGACTGAAGTTACCGCAGACTATTATTAAATTGGAAAACCGACAAAATAAGTTTATTAAAACGAATCTATAAAAGTACTTTGATGGTTCACTCGGTTTGGTCAAATCCAACCGATTGTGACATGAAATGACCTGTCTTAAACTTACAATTGACTATCTTGAAACAGATTCAACAATCATTATTTTTGATTCTAAAGGTAGGTATGTAGAGTGTATTAAAGTGTGTACTGTGGTCTAATGTCACAAACTTAAAGTAATTAATAATTTATTAGACATTTGCAAGTGTTGAAAAGGTTTACAGGCATTATTGTTAGGTATAGCTTAAAACGTATGAAAAAAAAACATTTATGCATTGGCGATTTAAAAAATATATGTACCTAATATTTTGGAAGAAAAAAACGATTTTTACAATAACAGTATGGGTTTTATTTTAGATTTTGAGTGGAGTGAGAAATATATTACTTTTACAATGATAACACTTTTTCAGAAAGGAAATCTGACTGGAGTAATGCTTTAGGGAGGTAAACAAATATTATTAAAGAAAAATATATAATGCTTATGTAATTATTTTACCGTAATGTGACATATATATTGTTGAAAAAGCTACACTATTAATAAAACTTCGCTTTTAGTCGTTTTTTGATTAGCAATGGTTAATCGTTGCATACAGATATACATTTAATTTATACCTATATCCTACCTTTCAAACTTCTCACCTACAACAGTGACAGCACCCGTCCCCATTATCCTATGGCAGTCTTTTTTTTTTTATATATGTTCTAATCCAAAGTTATGGTCAACCCTGCACCCTGGATTTACAGTGTCCCACGAAGACATACCCATTGCAATATCTCCCGAAATAATAAAGAAAATCAAATTCTGTTTTTTTTGTGTATTACTCGTAGGGATAAGGACAACAAATATTTATATTTTAATTGAATTTATATGATTTAGTAAAAATACTAAAAAAACATTATGTTATTCTTTTTGAAAAATTTAAAGATTATTTTGTAGATTTTATAATTTAGAACCTTTTGCTTCATTAAACTCTTGATTATTAATAATTTTTTAAAATTCAGAGAAAAGTACCCATAATTATGTTGCAGGCTAATATATTAGTTAATTAATTATTATTATTATGGCTAATTGCTGTAAACATTTTTTTTCAAAACTCAAAAATTTTATTCAAATATAAATATTTGTAGTCAATATCCCTGCGAGTAATAAAAAAAAAAAAAATGGAATTTGATTATCTTTATTATCACAAGACATATTGGGTATATATTCATGGAATACTCTGTACATTCGTACATACTCGTAATGTTATAATAGAACGTGTCAAAACATCTATCGAATTTAAAAAATATATTTTTGTTTTGTTTGAAATATTCATAGAGTTTATAGATGGTTTTAAAAGATAATTGTAAGTACTATTTTGATTGGAAATTATTCAGAATACATTTTAAAAATTTAGGTTGACAAGGTTTTAAAGAAGTTGTAGTGTCTTAAAGTTTTATACAATACTAAACTTACTTACTCAATTGTCTCCATCAAAAGTAATTTTATTTTAATAGTAGACTAGATATTTGGCAGTCATCAACTTTGTAGTTGTTATGTGACAGACTTGATAAATCATCTTAAGTCTAACTAACTTGTAATTATCAATAGATTTCTTACTTCTATATTTGATTGACTTATAACTCGCTATAGCAGTGACTAAGGGGAAGCCCTTGTAAGTTAAAATCACTAAAATGTTTGCCAATAATCATATAATAAATAAAAGTCAAATCTTTTATTAATACAAGGATTTGTTTTATGTAAATTAAAATAAATAATTACGTACCTACTCTAATTTAAAAATTATTATTAATTTTTCTATTTTTTTTTTTAGAGGATACAACATTTTGCTTCCAGTCAGCAATAAAAAATAGATTTTTAATAATTTGTATTCCATAAAAAAAAAAATAAATGCGGTATCAACTAATTAGGTACATACCTACATCTTACATAATAACTAAACATTATTTAACTATTCGAAGATGTATTCAATGACTGAGTTTGAGTTTCACAAGTTAGCCATGTTCTATAAAAATCAGTTAATTTCAGTTGGTCAGGTTGCAATTTTGATGAACACTTTTGTCTTTTTCAATGACGATTCCATCATATAATATTATATAATGATTTTTTTTAAAAAAACACGTATTTTTAATATTAAAGAAAGAACAGAATTCAACTTTAACATGGCAAAATTGAATTCAAATGTTTTCATCTGATGGAGAGTTCCCAAGCCTTTTGCTCTAACGTCTGATAGTTTGATAGTACCTATCTAACGTTTCTATAGTTGCAGCAAATAATGAGAAACAATTTTCTTTTACTGCACTTCATTCAATTTGGAAACTTTTAGTTTATTTAATAGTACGATAAAGAACGCTACGAGCTGCCGGATGACCTCGGCACCCCCACGCACACCACATTCATGTAGCTCTACTCTCCTATATTCCTACTTAATCAAACCAGCAGATGTTCTGGCTTTCTTCGACAATGTGCTGGCAAATAGAAGTCGCGTTTTGCCCGGGCGTTTCTGAAATTTGTACGATTTCGGCGTTTGCCCGTAATAGCCCGTAATAGCATAATATTATATTCGTATCGAACAAAAATAAACAAAAATATTTATAACAATTTTAAGGCAATATTAATCTTTTTTCTCCTACGAACAAACCTATAATGACTACTCTTTGGAAGCTTGAACATCTTCATCTATATCCCTATAATATTATGTATTATAGACAAAAAATTGCCCTAGTTATATCATTATCACTTTTTTTTGATAACGCTGATAAAAATATCTAAGAAATAATAATAGCACAGCTATAATTAATAGGTACTAGGTAGGTACTATATTCATTTATTGCCCATAGTTTATAGCCATGATTCAAAAATCACAATCAAAATATTCCAAGGGGTGATCCACCCATTGCCTTCCCCCTTAAATATGCCACTGGGCTACCTACTTATAATTTCAAAATGTCTATCATAAATTAATAATAATATTAGTACGTATTATGTTAATACCTCGATTTTCTTTCAAAGGTTATTATTTATTAAGTACCTACTATAAACAACATACTTACGTTCAACAAATACACACCCATGACGTGACAAAAATTTAACGTCGTTAGCGATAATTATCACTGCTGCCTCAATTTAGACTATGATTTAGGTACTTGTATATATATTTTTCAGTATAGCGCTACATCTTTATAGCAGCAGTTCCACACTTGGTTAAGTTACACTAAAGTTAAACTAATGGCTGAGCAGAATATACCACCGTTAGGGGAAATTAATTGGAGCAATTAACAGTTAAGAAAACGTATAAAACGTGTTACTTATCTATATTCTATTTAATAAAACAAACAAATATGATTTGCGCTTTATTGTAATGGTCGAACAAAATAAAATAAACTTACATACTTCGCACGAGAGGGGGCACTGCTGTAGGTGAAAAGTTGGGAAGTCCGGTCTTTCAAAAAAACATTTTATCAACTTAATATTTAGCTATAGGTAATTTAGTAATTAAGTAGTTAATATCAAAACGAATCTAGACATTTTTTTTCAAAAAAAGTTCCACCAAATAAAAATACTCCTCAACTTTCATTGTTGGTGATTTACAATGAAAACAATTTGGAGCCGACAGAAAGTGTGATCCTAGAAAAAAACACTCAGAATTCAATGTTAAACTTAAATAAGGTGTTCTAATATAAACAAATTATTATTTGAAAAAAATTAAGGGGGAAGGGAGGGGATTAGTACGACATAATTATAGAAAAAGCTTATTTGTCTTTAGAAGAGTGGTTTACCAATCATCCTCTTCGCTCTTGGTGGCTGGTTACTTATAAAATAATATATAGGTATACAAATTATTTTAATATAAAAATGTTGAAATCAGTTTATTGTAGTCGGATAGGTGTCCATAAAAGTTTAATAAACTTGAGCGAAATTGAAATATGTGATTATCTTAATGAAAATTTAACCAATTATTTTTAACATCGTTTGAACTAACATTACATTAAGATATTAGAAAAACAAACATTTTTTTTAGCCTTTATAGTTGAGTGGCACCTTAATGTATATATTATATTGATATAGGTACCATTTTTATTTTAATTTATGTAAGTATTTAATTCAAGTTAAAAAAATATGATGAGAAAAGTATTCTATTTGTGATATGAGAATTTAAAATTAACATAAGAAGAAGGTATTAACTTTGAAAACTATTTGTATAATACCTACTGAATTAAAAATTGTTTATTTATTTTTAAACTCCAGAAATAATTGTATCCTTGATTCCATGTATATTGTACCTAACGAATATTTATACTGCATGTTACTTGATAAAATGATGAGTAGGTACTTATGTTTAGCGTATGGTGAAAGAAAGTTTGAATGTGTCACCCGCATGAACAAATAATACTAGCTTAGGTATCTAGGAATCCGTAGCACTGTTGGTTAGATCGAAGAGTAGGGAATAACTAACGGACAAGGACTTGAGTCTAGAGTGAAGTAGTAGTCTAGGAAAATGTATAGTGTAAGTGTAAGTATAATGGGCTAATGAAAATACCAATAAAAGAATTGCATTGTAAGTACTATTTGTGTTTTTAAATTTAATAATATGTAGTTTGTAAATTTGGTTTAGACTCATTTAATACCTATATAATATATTGCTATAAAAGTAGTCTTATGTATAAAGAAATGTTAAGTTAATTTATTAAACACACCTTCATAGAACATAAAAGTCTATGTATAAGTTGTAAGGTTATCTCAACTAGGTCTTGTAAATAAAGTTCTTACTAAAAACAATTATGAAAAATTGAGGAGTATAATAGTTGAAGACTTAAAGTGAATAATTTTGTATACATTTACATACATTTTTAATGTACATAATATTTTGTATATTTAATAATTAAGTAATTAAAATATCAAAGGCTGGATAAGTTAGTTGTATTAATAATGAACTCAACTGAAATTAAATAGTGAAACAAAGT